CGGGGAGGCCCTGATGACTACATTTCTTTAACAAGCCCAGTATTTCATTTTCCTCCTTGACTTGAAAGAGTAGGATTCTTCCTTTTTCAACAATCCCTCCTATTTTTATCTCATAAATCTCACTGGAATGATTGGGTTGAAAATAGCATTTACTGAGCTGGTAATGATTTTTCTGTTTAACTTTTTTTTTCTTTCTCAAGTGACTTAAAACAAGTTGTTGCCCACAGAGACGATGCCACCGTCCGCTCCTCCCCTTACACCGCGGTCATTGAAACTACAGAAATTTGACAATGGCGCCATCTCATGGAATACTAAAAAGTGACAAGAGGGCCTCCCCAGTGGCGCAGTGGTTGAGCGCTGGGTTGCGAAGCTGCCCACAGCCTCTGCAGCGCCGGTTCGATCCCCGGCTGCTCCCCGGCCACCGGAGGAGGGTCCCGCATGGCGCGCAGACCTCTCCTGCCGCCCGCTGCTCCCCTCAGCAGTGTGCTTTGGTCCTTCTGCCTGCTCTGCTCCCCGCTCTGGCTCTGGTGAATTCTCTCACCCTCCTGCGCTTCTGACTATACCCAGTGCTTGTATAAATAAATAAATAAATCTTAAAAAAAAAAAAATAAATAAAAAATAAAAAAAATAAAAAGTGACAAGAAGAAATTATTTCAAATTTTTCAACAAGTTTCTCCTAAATGCCTCTTTATCAGCTTTGGACACCTTCGTGGCTTATTTTACTTTTGGTTATTATTTCCATTCAAAACATACCACCGATTTAAAAAGTTATATATAAACATATAGCATAAAAATAGTCTATAAAAAGTATTTAAAATAAAACTCCTCATTTCTTTTTCCAGACATGGTACCCTGAGCATATATAAAAAAATGAATGAACAAACATACAATGACAAATATATGTATCTATGTATGCCACACAAATAAATGGGATAATATGTTATGTATTTTTCTGCAACATGTTTTCTTTTCCCCCTCTTTTGCCCATCATTAGTATATTTCCATTTCATAGGAAAGTAAGTAACTCGCTTTTAAAAAATTACTCCAAAATATCTCTGGATATGGAGTTTCCTTTTGGGATAATAAAAAAATGTTCTAAAATTAGATTGTGGGGCCTCCCCGGTGGCGCAGCGGTAGAGCGCTGGGTTGCGAAGCTGCCCGCGGCCTCTGCGGCGCCGGTTCAATCCCCGGCTGCTCCCCGGCCACTGGAGGAGGGTCCCACATGGCACGCAGACCTCTCCTGCTGCCCGCTGCTCCCCTCAGCAGCGCACTTTGGTCCTTCTGCCTGCTCTGCTCCCCGCTCTGGCTCTGGTGAATTCTCTCACCCTCCCGCGCTTCTGACTGTACCCAGGCTTGTATAAACAAACAAACAAACAAGCAAACAAATAAATAAAGAAAAACATGCCTCTATAAAAAAATAAATAAATAAATAAATAAATAAAATTAGATTGTGGTGATAGCTACACAGCTTGTGAAAATACTAAAAACCACTGAACTGTATATACTTCAAATTTTATGGTATGTAAATGATATCTCAATAAAGCTGTGTAATGAAAGAACAGGATGTCAAAACATATCCCAGTATAAGGACTTAAGGACTGCCTTTAATTTTTTTTTTTTCATAGAAGAACTGGAGTGTAGGCCAGAGGTGCAGTGGGAGGGGGTTGAAAGAGTCACCAGAGACAGAGTGGGGAGCAGAACAGGCGGATTCACTGAAATACACTGCTGAGGGGAGCAGCGGGCAAGACAAGACAGGTCTGCTGTGCCATGTGGCTCAGCTCCCTGGCTGGGGATCGAACTCAGACCAACAGCAGGCTGCAGTGTTAGCTTGACAGCGCTTGAGACTTAACCCCTGCACCACCAGAGAGGCCCCGGTTTCTAGCTTTTCTTTCACAGAATGTTCCATCCAAGCCAACCAAAAGTGGTGTCACGACTGAGGTTGTGTTCATAGCTGAACTGACCATCGTGACCACACCAGGAGAAAGAGGCTCAGCCAGGGAGAGCGAGGGGCGCGGGGCAGGCCTCTGCCCCCGAGTTATAATATTCATCCTGCAGCGCAGGATGAATAGGAAGGACCTTCACTTAAAAGTTGTTACGCATTTCAGGACGCTGGCATTGGCACATTAACCAAGAGTGGGGCCTATATGACCCCATGAAACTGAGCCTGCAGCCCCACCACAGACTCACTTCTCTTCCATCACCCCCTCAATAATGGCACACTCAAGAATCCCATCAGGCTCTGCCTCAGGGGGTGTCCAGCCCTCCACAGTCATCTCTGAGTGAGGCAGTTCAAGACATGATCTTGTTCATCACTTACAGGCTTTTCCCAATAAACTTTTATCACTTTTCATGGGAAAAGTGGGAATTAAGGAACTTATCTCAAGACTTGGGAAACAAGATAATAAACACTAGCAGGGCCTCCCTGGTGGCGCAAGGGGTTAAGTCTTAGCACTATGAAGCTATAGCCAGCCACTGCAGCACAAGTTCGCTCCCCAGCCAGGGAGATACCCACATGGCGCCACAGACCTCTCCTGTCTCGCCCGCTGCTCCCCTGAGCAGTGTATTTCAGTCAGTCTGCCTGTTCTGCTCCCCACTCTGTCTCTGGTGAATCCTCTCACCCTACACACTCACCTCTGGCCACTCGAACCCAGCTCTTGTATGCATAAATAAATAAATCTTTGAAAAAAAATAAACACTTGGACCTGATGGAGCGCTTATAATGCTGCTTGCAGAGTTTAGAAACTATGAAGTCTTGTAAAGTCTTTGTAATGGAAATGGTAAAAATCTTTGGGAAATGAGATGTTTTAGGGAGTTGTGCCCTTTGTGAGATTCTGAGATAGTAATACTTTAAGATTTAAAAGATTTATTTGATGAATGAAAGAAAAGTAGCCGATACTACAAAAGATAAATAGGGCATAATACTTATAAAAATAAAATATCAATTCTGAGACAAAAACTATCATATTTTAAAATACATTATATGAAAATGCATTTGTTGATTGAGCGCAAAAGCAAAAATAAGTGAACTTTAAAATCATTTAAAATTGAGCCTCCCCGGTGGTGCAGCAGGTTGAGCGCAGCGCTGTGAGGCTGTCCACAGTCTCTACAGCATGGGTTCGATTCCTGGCTGGCCAGGGAGATTCCCACATGGTGAGACAGCCCTCTCCTGTCTCACCCGCTGCTCCTCTCAGCAGGGCTTTCGATCCATCTGCCTGTTCTGCCCCCTACTCTGTCTCTGGTGAAGCCTCTCACCCTCCCGTGCCTCTGGCCTGTACCCCAGTTCTTGTATAAATAAAATAAAATCTTTAAAAAAAAATTTACATCCCTTGTTGAGTAGTTTGTAGTTTTACTTAAGCTAAGTAATATTGCATCGTTTATTTAGAGTTAATGAGGGGGTGGTGATGAAATTTTGATTAAAATTTTTGTTAAAATTTTGATTCCTACATTGAGTTACACATTCCTATCACACTACTGGTTATTAAATATTTTTTATAACACTGTGCACACCTCCTGGAAGCTTTGCAAGGAGTCCATGAGACATCCAGTATTGAGGTCTTGGACAACTTTCCTGTTTGTAGCACGGTATTTATTGTTACCAGTTTTCGCACTCTGGGGAAAGACTGTGTATCATGATAGTGTGGGTTTGGCATGATTTGGACTGCAAGGAATTTGCCAGATCCCTTGATGAGCATTTGCTTTTTCCATTAGAGACTTCACTTCTGATTCGTCGTGTGACCTCCTACCCCTCCAGAGCAGTCCTAGCAATGTTAGCGAACAGCTGTGAGTGGGACTTCCTCTGGTTTCCTGTGCTTCATCGTGTCCAAGCTGCGGTCTGCGAGCTTCCTGCACCAACCGAGAGATGAACACACAGATATGTCCCAACATGTCGGTTTTTCTGCAAACTCCCCACCCTCTCCCCATGCAGGCATGATGGTGCTCAGGGACAGGGCCCCCGCCTCTCCCCGGGGAGGGGCCTGTCAAGAAGGCGACACCTGTGAAATTCTGCTTCTAAGGGTCATCCCTGCAGAGATGAAACTCAAGAGGTTCTTTCCCTCCCATTTCCTCAGTGAGACATTAATGCAGCATGAGAATGACCATCACCTCCAATCATGCCTCTTCCTTTGAAAGAGCAGGTACCTCAGAAGTTATCATCAGAGGCCATAAAGGTCTTTTAGGAACTGAGTCAGGTTAAGTAAGATGATGAACTTCCAGCCTGTCGTAGCCAGGCAGGGAAGAAGTGGGGGTGAGAGCAGCAGGCTCTGGTTCTGCTGAGACACCCCCTCAACCCACTGACAGTAGCTAGGAGTGGGATTGGGAATGACCGACCCCCACAGGCTGGGACCTGGGGCCTGAGCATGAAGTCCTGAGGTGAGTCCACACTGGGGGCTACATGATGTCCCAGAAGGCCTGTTACCTGGCCAGGGACCTGGTTTCCTCACAGAGTGGGCACCTGTCCATAGGAACATGGAAACTTATCAGGCCAATCCTGGGTGGCAACAAGAATCAGTAACCCAAGTGGCCACACCTGGTCACAGCTCCCTCTCCTTGGGGAGCCACTCCCCACTTTCCATTTCATCCCGGTGACACCAGAATATTTGACTTTCCTTCTTTACACTTCATGGGACCAGGAGACTCTGGATCAGGTGGAAGGGACTCCTGAGGCAATCTGGATTGTGATGAGAGAATCTGAGGTCACCCAGGCCCATGGTGAAATGCAGAGTCCCAGGCGCATCTCCAGGAACATGGAGAGGGGTCTAGGAATCAATCGTGGGCAGAAACTCAGGCATTTCTGGTGCCAGGCTGGTGCTTCTCTCAACAGTCAATACCCACTTCACGATTTGAAACCGAACTCCCATGAAGTTCCTCTTGCTAAATCCAGAGACAGAAGCAGGGGAGGCGAGGTCACACAAAGACAGATACAAAGGGTTGGTTTTTTTCTTTCCCTTTTTTTTTTTTCTGTTTTCCTGCGTCCACCTTCCCAGGCAGTCCCCTCCCACATCTCTGCTAAAAAGAGCTGGTGGAAGACACAGGCAGGGCAAAGAGGCCACACACATCATGTCAAGTTTGTTCAGATAACTCCGATTTCTTTGACTTGATCAAAGAGGAGGAAGCTCGCTGGACTCTTGCCATCACACCACTGCACCAACGGCTTCGCCCTCCCGTCTCATGTCTCTACAGAGGATGTGCAGCCCCTGGAACACGCTGGGTTGGGAGCGGCAGTTTTTCTGCTGTCACATCAAGGATTCACTTACCATTTTGAGGCTTCAATCTCCAAACCGAAAGATGAGCTGGAAAAAGAGTTTTCTCATCTTCCTTTTCTCTCTTTTGGTCCCAAAAGGGGCAGCGGCCTGTAAGACAATGAAAAAAACAGAAGGTAAGTTTCATTTACTTTTCAAGTACTTTAGTACTTTGTACTAAAACCTTCCCCAGAATGGGAAGGTGGGCTCTTTTAAACATGATCATTCGTAAATAAGTTTTTCTCTGCTTCTACAGCCAAAGTAGTAAAGTCTTTTTCAAATGACATGATTTTAGGGAGGGTGTTGAAGCATCTTTCCTGAGACTCAGAGACAACAGTTTGGGTTGTTTGACAATAAAATCTTTCTCTGTTGTTTTTAATTAGAAAATCAATGCACAACCATTGTAAAAATAATGCAGGCATCACACAAAATATATAGATTGGGAGGCTGTTTATTATTACAGGGCTAGACTCAGAGTCCTGGGCCTCCCTGGTGGCCCAGAGGTTATGTTTCAGTGCTATCACTGCTGCGACTTGAGTTCGATTCCCAGCCAGGGAGCTGACCCACATAGGGCACAGCAGATCTCTCCTGTCTCACCCGCTGCTCCCCTCAGCAGTGTGTTTCAGTCAATATGCCTGTTCTGCTCCCCACTCTGTCTCTGGGGAATCCTCTCACCCCCTGCACCTCTGGCCTATACCCTAGATTTTCCATGCAAAAAAAAAAGCTGGACTAGAGGTCCTAAGCTTGTGGGACCTTTTCCAGCTGGCAGCCTAGACACACAACTTAACCACTTTAATTTCTTTCCTCTTTGAAGTGCGGATAAGAAACGCATCTCTCTGGGAAGTTTGTGAGGCCTGAGCCTGGCCAGGTCCCACAGCCCAGTGCCTGGTGTACAGGAGCCATCCATGAGAGCTGCCAAATGTTACCATATAAAATGCGAAGCTTCTGTAACACTACCTCCAAACCCCTCTGCTTCCAGATGAAACCACAATTAACAGCCATTTCCTATTCAATAGTATAGTAAAAAGACTTTTGTGACTTGTCTTTTTTTTTTTTTTTTTTTTACTTCATCTTCCAGCACAGAGATTTTTCTAAGTGGTAGAAGTAGATTATTTCCTTTTTTTAACAGCTCTCTGGCATTTCACAATAGGACTCACAATGATTCATTTAACCAACCCCTCCCTGATTCTTCCATTTAAAAAATCATATAACAATGAATGCTGCAATGACTATGCTTGTACAAGCCCTCCTTTGTGGACTCACAAGCATGAGACCTTCTGCGGGATAAAATACTAGAAGTGAAATTGTGGGGCCAAGGGCACACCCCTTTGACTCCTTATAGATTTTGTAAAATTGACCTCCCCACACAATGAACCTGTACTCGGCCCACCAGCAGTGTCTGCTCCGGTGGAGGGCAAGTGTCCCATCCGCTCACTCACAGAAGAACAATCCAGTTTTAAAATTTGTGCCAGTCAGTTGAGTACAAAATATTGTTTAAATTTGCAGCTGCCTTGTCATGTATGAAGTTGACCATCTTTTTTCCCTTTGACTATCCATGAAAGCACCTGCGTAGATGGAATTTAGGGATGGCCGTTTCTGGTTGGAAGCTAATGCAGGACCGGAAACAGGTCACCTGTTCAGATCAAAGATCAGGTGGGGCCTTGAGGTCATTTTTTTTTTAATTCCTTTCCCTCTTTTTTTTTTATTCTATTATATATATATTTTTTGGCCCCAGGTCTGGATGATGACCTTTTGCCTCTTCTACTGGGAATTACTTATTCATATTACTTGTCTAATTATCAGTTGCTTTATTTCTTATTGATTTTTGTATATAACAAGAATCTTATCCCTTCACTTATGTTTTAAACACTTTCTTCCAGACTGTCCTTTAATCTTACCACAGAGAAGTTGTAAGTTTTAAGATAATCAATTTTTTCCAAACTTTTCTTTATGGCTGCTAATTCCAAATATCTTACCTGGAAGAGCTTTTTCCTACCAAGTGATATAAAATGTTTCCCTAAATTCCTCTTAATTTCTGTGTTATTTTTTATGTTAGACTTTACAATAAGGGTTCTTTTTTTCCCTTGATTTTTTAAATAATGAAAACACACACACACAAGACACTAAGGTATACTGCGATCATATCAAAGGGTCTCAAGGTTTAGAGATGCCTGAACAACTCTAAACAACAAGAATAAAAATTGCAATGGATTGAAACACATCAAATACATTTAAATCTACACATTCGTAATGATCCTCAAACAAATTAAAAAAACCCACAGCAATAAAAGAAAAATATCTCACTGTTATGTTAAAATACAGTATTGCAAAGCCAACATTACCTCAACGAAGATAATTGGAAAAAATACTGCTAATTTTGGGGAGATGGTTATGGCATTGGGTCCAGTACTGTAGAGACACGAATTATCAATGTCCTTCAGACGAAGATCAGCAGGGACATACATGTGGTTAAGTCAAATTGGTTTTGGGAGAAAATGCCTGGCTGGGAACCACGGGATGTCTCAGCAAGAGAGTGCTAGAAAGGACTTAGGGTAAGATTGGGACTTGTGTTAAGTAATTTAGGGGAAGAGTCCAAGCAGCAGACTATAATCAGGATTGAATTCTGTTAGGAAGTAGGATTAAAGACGGGGTATCTTAATAATTCTTAACTAATGGGCAAGGAAAATAGAGCAAGGCTAAAGCCATGACTTCTAAAGAAACAGCAGTCACTTCTATTGGCCAACTTAGGGCGAGGCTTGGCCATTTTGTAATTTGGACAATGATTATGTCTTTATCTGTCTTCAGGCCTGATTGGGAAGTGGCCTTATTCTTTTTCTCAACCCAACATGGTAGTAGAGGTGGCTTTGTTTGATAGGGAAGTTCTAAGTGTGAGTGACAGGTCAGTTCCTGGAAGGCCAGTTCCCAGATGTCAGGGACTGTTTTTCTCTTTCTCAATACTGAAACTCACAGCTGAAATACTAGGCCGTCTGGGATTTGCAGTGGAAAGTAATGTGGGAGAATGAAATAGTGTTACCCTGAGTTGATAATTTTGGAAGCTGAGTGATAGGCCCATGGGGATGATTATAGTTTCTTCTCTGTTATGTCTGAAGTTTAAAAAAAATTCAAATAATGGACAAAACAGGTCATCCTGTTTGGCTATGGGACCTGAAACTTTAATGTTTCTAACTCAGCATGACCAGTCTTAGAGGCCAGGAGAGATAGCCAACAAAAGGGGCTGGTCAGGCCTCCATCCCTCCCTGGGAGAGCCCTTGGGGGGCTTCCTCACACAATGGTCAGCCTGGCTGAGGGGACAGGAGATGGCCTTCTTAGGAAAAGTAGCCAAGAACAGGGTATTTCCACCATTCGACCCACAAAATATGACCAGATGGCCATTGAGTTATCCTCAGGGATATTAACAAGGACTTTTTCTTGTGTTGTTTGCTTTCCAGAATTTTCTTCTCCGTATTTGAACTCAGAAACAAAAGCAGTCACGAGGGGTCAAAACGTCTCTCTGGTTTGTTCCATCCAGAACAGTTCACTGCAAATCACGTATCGTTTGTTTCGGAACCTGTGTTGTCTGGATACCCAGAACAAAACAGGTGACCCCATGGTGGTTAACCTAACCATTGCGGAAGTCCATGATTTGGGTCCCTACAAATGCAAAGCTACGGTTTCCAACTGTTCGAAATACAGTAGTGAGTTCAACTTCACCTTTGTCAGTAAGTAGAGCGCTTGTTACTTGGGGCCCCTGAGATGTGTGTGATTCATCCCTCCTCCTCTGCGGGCTCTCTCCGCCCCTGCAGAAACTCACTCAGGAGCTTGGGGAGGATGTCGCCTGTACTCTTCATAACTCCATTTTACTTTCTCTTTCAAATAACGGTAATGACAACAAATAGGCTGATGGTCTTAGACCAAAAATTCTCATATCAACAATTTGGAAAATTGAGGAGATCTTGTCTAGATGCACATGGGCAAAGAATAACTTTTCCTGGGCTTCCCTGGTGGTGCAGGCAGTGGAGCGCAGTACTGTGAAGCTGTCCGCAGCCTCTGCAGTTCTGGTTTGATCCCCGCCCGCCTCAGAGCAACCCACATGGGGAGGCAGACCTCTCCTGTCTCGCCCACTGCTCCTCTCAGCAGTGTATTTCGTCAGTCTGCCTGTTCTGCTCCCTGCTCTGTCTCTGGTGAATCCTCTCACCCTCCCACACATCTGGCCTGTACTCCAGTTCTTGTATAAATAAAAAAAAAATCTTTAAAAAAGATTTCCACCATTGCTGTGGGTTTCCTCCATTTGAATAGTAAGTGCCTACGTGTCTGCAGGAATTAAATCTGCTCTTAGGTAGTTCAGAACTTGGTGGTTTAAGCCCTAAATTAGTGGACTAAAAGCCCCCTAGTCTCCAGTTCCTGAGCTTCTGTCCCACACATCTACAGGACATCTTCCCTCATCCTCATCCCTCACCCCCCCAAAAAAGAATAACTTTTCCTTTTGAATTTGAATAAGAAGTCTTAGATTCAGTGTTGGCTTCTGTGACCAGCATCTTCAAATTTCCCCAGAACTTTCCCTTCCTCATCAGTCAGTCTTCTTCCTGCCCAGCCACAGCTTACCATTTTTATATTTTTCTTTCCTACCTTCCCACCCTAAGCCTCTCACATCTAGCATTAATGGCCTCATCTATGAAGATGATAATCTTCATAGGAGAGGAAAGAGGGGTTTTCCAGGTAATACAGGTACATTGTACCTGGAGTCTTCTCAACACAGTTGTCCTGACACACTGACCAAAATTTGAGTTATTCTCCTGGCCCATGCTCACAGGTACAGTAACCACTGGCCTGTGTGGTTCTTTAATTTAATTTAATTTTTTTAAAGGTTTAGTTATTTATGCCTACAAGAGCTGGGGCACAGGCCAGAGATGCAGGGGGTGAGAGGATCCACCAGAGACAGAGCGGGGAACAGAACAGGCAGACTGACTGAAACACACTGCAAAGGGGAGCAGCGGGCGGGACAGGAGAGGCTCGCATCGCCATGTGGGTTGCTCCCTGGCCAGCTAGGGATTGAACTCGTGCTGCAGAGGCTGCAGATCGCTTGACAGTGCAGCACCCAACCCCTTGCACCACCAGGGAGGCCCTGGTTCTTTAATTTTAAATTCAAAGTACTAAAATTAGATGGAATAAAAAATTCAGTGCCTCATTAGTCATATTTCAAGTACTCTGCAGCCACAGGGGTGGCTGGTAGCTGCTGTATTAAACAGCACAGACACAGAACATTTCCATTGTTACAGAAATTTCTATCAGAGGCCTCTGCTGCAGGCAGATTCTCTTTGTCACGCATCTTGTCATGCATCTAGACAAGATCTCCACAATCTTCCAAATTGTTGACATGGAAATTTTTAGGTTATCGCCATCTTAACAATCTGATGACAGTGATAGATTCTTCCCTCGAGAAGGGCTCGTGAGACTTCAGATACAAATTTCCATGTAAGACTTAAGAAGATCTAGGTTGAAATCTACTATCTTTACACAATTTTGAACACAAGCTGAATAGAAGCCGAGACTGTAAAAGAACTGTGAAGAAGGAGGGAAACTCTACAAATGTGGCCCTGGGCTGGGGTCAGTGGAGGGAGGGGGGCGGGGAGCAATGTGAGGCCATAACCTAACGACAATTTGCTCTAGTGATCAGAACTTGAATTAGTGGACTAAAAGCCCCCTAGTCTCCTGTTCCTGAGCTTCTGTCCCACAGATCTATAGGAAATCTTCCCTCATCCCACTCCTGTGAACTGGGCAGCCTGGTACTGCAGAAAGAGCAATGGCGTGGCCATCGAGGAATCTGTGTAACACCAGCTTTCTTGGGATTTCCTGTCTGGATCGACCTTAGCTGTAGCTCTAGTGCTCAATTACTGAAATCTGAATTGTAAAACTAGGCAGTATGATGCTATCATTGTCTGATTTTGAGTCTGAGTGAGAATCTCAGTCCATGGTGGGTGTGGAACGGGGTGAGGAAGGTAGGGCAGTTACTTGTCAGAGAAAGTATCTAGTTGCTCTTCAAATTCCTGAGATTCAGTATGAGAAAAGATGGCAAGATGCACCATGGCTGAGGGTTTCCTCCATTTGAATAGTAAGTGCCTCCGGATCTGCAGGAATTAAATCTGCTCTTAGATAGTTCAGAACTTGAATTAGTGGACTAAAAGCCCCCTAGTCTCCAGTTCCTGAGCTTCTGTCCCATACATCTCTAGGAAATCTTCCCTCCTCCTGCCTTCTGCGTAAATGCACATATTTCTTGCAATGTTAAAGTAACTACAGTGTCCTGTAGACATGTTTTGATAGATTATAAAACTATGATCTTCACTTAAATCAGATTAATAGTTACCTATTGAGGGACATCCCTGGTGGCGCAGAGGATTGAGCACAGAGCTGTGAAGCTGTCCACAGCCTCTGTAGCGCCGGTTCAATTCCTGGCTGGCCAAGGAGATTCCCACTTAGCGAGGCAGACCTCTCCTGTCTCGCCCACTGCTCCCCTCAGCAATGTACTTCGGTCCTTTTGCCTGTTCTGCTCCTTGCTCTGTCTCTGGTGAATTCTCTCACCCTCCCACTCCTCTGGCCTGTACCCCAGTGCTTGCATAAATAAATAAATCTTAAAAATAAAATAAAATAAACTTAAAAAATTAGCTACCTATTGAGAGCCTAGTGCAAATAATTGTGTTGTGTTCCTCCAGGGTTTTGATAAAGGTTAAGATATGATCTTGTTCCAAACCCAGGAAGGGCTTGAGTCATGAACACCACAACATTAGTCATTAATCACTCATGGGTACCAAAAATTATCCTTCTTTTATAAAAATACTGTATTTTTTTAAAGATTTATTTATTTATACAAGAGCTGGGGTACAGGCCAGAAGCACGGGAGGGTAAGAGGATTCACCAGAGACAGAGCAGGGAACAGAACAAGCAGACAGACCGAGAACACTGCTGAGGGGACCAGCGGGTGGGCGAGGCAGGAGAGGCCTGCCACACCATGTGGGAATCTCCCTGGCCAGCCAGGAATCGTACCGGCACTGCAGAGGCTGTGGACAGCTTCACAGTGCTGCGCTCAACCCGTTGCGCCACCAGGAAGGCCCCCCCAAAAAAACCCTGTATTATTAATGAATTATATAATGACACACAGCTGGATTTCCCAAGAACTAGCTTGTGAGCTGACAGAGCCTAGCAGACCCACACACTTCCAACTGACAATTTCCCTTGAATCTGTTCGTTGAGGGAGGATTACTTCCTATTTTTTTGAGGAAGGGGAAGATTACTGTACTGCTGAATTGTGTCTCTCCCCTTGCCACTTCGTTCTATGTGGAACTCCAAGGATGCTGAGAACGCTAAGTCCCAGCCTGGCCTTCCACTTCTTTATGAAGGGACATTTTCCGGGGTAGCAAAGGCAAAAGCAATATGTACTCTTGGACACTGAAAACTTGATCCAGTCTCATCCTCAAAAGAGCAGAGCCCACACTCTGGTGTTCAGTAAATTCTAACAAATGAGTCAGGCCCCAGAGTTAGACTTCGGCCTATAAGTTGTAGCCCTTCCATTTACTGTGTGACTTTAGGAAAGTGACTTAACCTCTCTGAGCCTTACTCAACTCTTTCGTAAAGCAATTTACATGAAGTGCCTAACAGTGTCTGGCATGACGTTAACATTCAATAAATGGTAGGTGTTTGGGTGACGTCAATCATGCCAACATAACTAAGGGCTTTGCCCAGTAAATGAACAGGCCATTCTGAGGCTGCTGAGCCTAACAGTGTAGCTAGTTTGTTAAACACTATGCTGCTTTTTCTCATCTGATGGAAGATGTAGTTGGTTGTGACTTTGAGAAGCTGAGGAACAAGTTAACTCGATAGCAGCGAGCAGCTGTGCACAGTGGCATAGGGTCCTGGGTGCACAGCACATTGGTTAATCTGAGAGACATGGTGACTCCAGACTACTCAACAGTTCAACATCCTTGGCAAAGACCTGTGCAGTGACCAGTGAATGCCGTCTTCTTGCAGATGAAGAGCGCTGTCCTTTCTGCCTACTGCTGCTTCTTCCAGGGTTATTATTGGTGCTAATAGTAATAATCCTAATTCTGGCATTTTGGATCCTACCAAAGGACAAAGCACGTAAGTTCTTTAGATTTCCCATGGGTTTGGGATACAGACAGCTGGGGAGAGGGGGAGGAAGCAGGGAAAGAAGGATCAGAAATGGGATGTGAAGAAAATGCAAAGAGGTGGGAAGGATCCAGAAGGGGGAGGGTAGAGAAAATGGACAGTTCCAGGTGGGATGATCCTTTCTCTTGTAAAAGCCTTTCTTGTTTAGATTGCTCCTGAGTGGGCTGCACTAACGAGAGGCCACCCTAGGCTTAATGCTCAGCTGCCACTGTCTTGAAATTCTTATACTATTTTTCAAAAATTTATTTTAAAAATGTGATAAAATATACATAATAAAATTTACCACTGCAATGACTGTTCAGCGGCATTAAGTACATTCACGTGGCCATGCCGCCTCCACCATCATCCACCCACCCGGTGCTTTTTTATCGTGCAAGACTAAAACTCTAGCCCTGTGAAACCAGGACTCCCCACTCATTGCCCACTCCTCCCAGGCCCTGGCACCACCATTCTACTTTGTCTCTATGAATTTTACAACTCTTGGTACTTCTGATAAGTGGAATAAGAGAGCACTTGTCCTTTTATAGCAGATATTATTTCACTTAGGACAGTTTTGGCAAGGTCTATCCATGTTCTAGCCTATGTCAGCATTTTCTGCCTTTTAACGCCTCAGAATATTCCATTACGTATAAAGACATTGATCCAGACACACTGCTAATCCACCCATCTATCAAACAAACCTGTGTGGCTCCACCATTTGGCTATTATGAATAACCTGCTGGATTGTGGGTGTGCAAACGTAGTAACTTCTCAGCCAAAGGCTCCACATTTTCCCTGTGCACTGAACTCTGCAAATGACATAGCGGGCCCTGCTGGCCAGCTCTTCACCGGCAAGAGTTTTGCCCTGTCACTGAGTCTGCGGTAGGAGGAAGCTCAGTCAGGTGGAGACCAGCCAGTGTCGTTCCTGGTGGCCCCAACTTAGTGCTGCATCAAGCCCCTGCTTTTGGCTCTTCCCATCTCAGAGCCACCTGTAGTTAGGACTTCAAAGTGGCCTTGCAATTGGCACAGATGTTCAGAGAAATATCGAGAAGTTCAGAGAAATATCGAGATCTGCACACAAGATGCTTGGAGTCTCAGCATAGCACCCGCCACCAAGCCCAGGAGCGCTAGGTGGGCTCCCCTGTCTGGGTGTCAGCCTTCTTACGTGGAGAGAGGGGCTCTCGGAACTGGGCCTAGAATCAGGTGGTGCACGTGGGGTTCCTCCTTCGCCCTCCGTCTCTAGAGTTGTCATTCAGAGACATCAGGATCTCAGTTGACCTGAAATTTAAAAATAGATGTCAAAGCAGAAACATCGTGGACACTTTTAAAACCCACCTCCCCTTCCTGCAAAAAAGTCCAGAGTCTTGCAAAATACGGAATTCATGTTCCTGATTGCCGGCCAGAGCAGAAAGCAGAGTCATCTGATAAATCATCCGATAAGCTAAACAGAGTCACCTGGTTGACGAGCTCACAGCTCCTGCCAGACATCAGACTTTTCTGTTCTTTTTGGCGAGGAAAGACAATAAGTCTCTGGTCGTTTGAAATGCAGTCTGACAGGCAAAGGATGTTATTCACAGACCTGGGAAAATAAACCGGACAGGCTCCTGGCTGGGAGAAGCAGTTGCCATAGAATCCTAGCTGCACCCATGGTTTTGCTTTAATTCAGTTGCGGCCTTTGGAGCAGGTGATTCTTTTAGAACTTGGGAAGGCGATAAAATAAGCACCATATGGCTGGATTGCTTCATTTAATGATTCTGCACCAATGTACGCAGGAAAAACTATGCGAGAACAGGCACCCCGGGACTGTGGAAAGACACCCGCGGAAGCTGGGATATATGCAAATATCTGTCCAAGCCAAGCAGGTAACAGAACTTGAGTATTTTGGTTGGTTTAGGTTTTTGTCTTTTTTTTTTATGGTTGTACACACGTGGGTTAAAAAAAAAAAAAAGGACAGGCATAGAGGACGATCTCCCTCCTACCCTGCACCCACTCCCACTTGCCAGGGGAGACGATCATTTGTTTAGATCCTTGCACAGAGGGGAGGCAGCCCCTCAGAGACAGGCCATCCTAACCCTGATTTCTCACTTGGCTACCTATCTTGCAGATTTTTTTTTAATCCATTTGGAATGATCTGTGCTGTGCTTTACAGCCTTTCGATCGCCCCCGAAAGCAGGCCTGTTTTATGATAACTAGACCCAGGGACAAGGCTGGCCGTGAGAACAGTCCCAGCCACCACGGCAGAGGGCCGGCCACGGGCCAGGTGCGCGCTGGGCATCTGCCGCCCGAAAGCAGACACCACACCCCAACTCACGTCGTTGCTTTGTCGTAGATGAACGACTTGTGCCAGACTGGGAACCAAGGCAGTGTGTTTCCACAGCCCAAGACAGGTGGTGTTATATTAATAAAAGCCTCGGTGGCTTTTTCAGGCTTTTATTGAGCTTTTATCAGGTGCACAGCAGGCAGGGGTGCCAGGGGCTGGCAGGCCGCCCAGCCCCCAGTGAGTCTTCACTCTTCCTGGGCTCTCTGGTGTTCTCATGTGGCCTCTGCATCTCTGCCATAGTAGGGCGGTGGGTGAAGCCACACCCTCCCGTGATCAGAGACTCAGAGTCTGTGTCTTTTGCCCAGAGACTAGACACTCCCAGGAGATCCATTACTCCTCGCCCGTGTTCCAGGAGGCGGCACCCAGAGAGCGCGGTGAGTCAAAGCAGGCAGCCCACAGACCTGAGGCAAACAGCAGGGGAGGGGCAGGGCCAGGGGTCCAAACAGGGGAGGTCCCCAGGGCTGTGGTGGTGGGAGAACTGGGGGACTACCATGATGCACAAAAGTGAACAACGATGTAAGAAATAAAATCGGCTGTCAGCAGGGCACGGCGGTCCCTGTGAGGCCACCACAGTGGAGGGCTTTGGGAGTCCAAGGATGGGAGCCGCATGTGCACCCCAGGAAGCCAATGACACCCCACTCCACAGCTCCTGCCAGAGCTCATGAGGAGATGGGCTGCTGGGAAGGGGGGCAGGATACAGCAGAGGCTGTTGTAGCACCAGGAAGAGCACAGGGCAGGATCTCTGTGATCCGGGCAGACAAGTAAAGGAGAGGCCTGGAGCCTGTGGTGGCTTTTGTTTTTAAAGATTTATTTATTTATACAAGCACTGGGTACAGTCAGAAGCGCGGGAGGGTGAGAGAATTCACCAGAGCCAGAGCGGGGAGCAGAGCAGGCAGAAGGACCGAAGTACACTGCTGAGGGGAGCAGCGGGCGGCAGGAGAGGTCTGCGCGCCATGTGGGACCCTCCTCCTGTGGCCCGGGGAGCAGCCGGGGATCGAACCTGCGCCAGAGGCCGCGGGCAGCTTCGCAACCCAGCGCTCAACCACTGCGCCGCCCTTGGTGGCTTTTTCAGGCTTTTATTGAGCTTTTATCAGGTACACAGCAGGCAGGGGTGCCGGGGGGCTGGCAGGCCACCCGGCCCCCTGTGAGTCTTCACTCTTCCTGGGCTCTCTGGCGTTCTCATGTGGCCTCTGCTTCTCTGCTGGTTCTGCTCTCATTCTCTCTTCTCGTTCTCGCTCTGCTGACGTCCCGATGACGCCGCCCTTATAAGCCCAGTCTCTTGGCCCAGGTGCACCCACCTATGCATGCCCACACCCTACTCCAGGTGCCCGCCATCAGGCATGCGTGTAGGACCCCAGGGAGTCATCATTAATGCTAATGGCAGGAGGGCAGAAAAGCCTGGTAATCACTTACCCTTCACTGTCCACATAAAACACTCCCTATTTCATACAGTCCAGGAAAAGCCCGTTAATACTTGGTGCTGTCCCAGTTTGTAGAAAGAATTTCTTCTTAGAGCCTCTGGGGACATATATCCTAAGTTTATCTAATTATTTCCTCATTTATATTCCAGAAGCCTCTAATGATTGTAAAACGGCCTGTGTCTATTCTGAACTCACCATATAAAATTTCAAGATACAAACTGCAACTCAGGGTAAGATGCTTTTGTCAAGCCGGCTGACGCGGAGAAAAAGCAAACTTGACTGACACTTAAAACATGTCTTACCTGTTTACTTAAGGTGAATCAGGGTCCGTCAGGTCCCAGCACGCTTCCTGGCCACTCAGGTATATTCAATCCCGTCATCGCACGAGAGGTTTGTGAGGTGGGATGCTGCCAGGTAACAGCGTTATAAAACTATTGCTACCTTCAGGCCTGGGCCATCCTCCCTGCAGTCGCGTTTACAAAGAATGATTGGGCCTCCTGGTGGTGCAAGGGGTTAAGCACCGCACTGTGAAGCAATCCGCAGCCTCTGCAGCACAAGTTCGATCCCCTCCCAGCCAGGGAGCAACCCACATGGTGCAGCAGACCTCTCCTGTCTCACCCACTGCTCCCCTCAGCAGTGTGTTTCAGTAATCTGCCTGTTCTGTTCCCCACTCTGTCTCTGGTGGATCCTCTCACTCCCCTACCCCTGCATCTCTGGCCTATACCCCAGCTCTTGTATGCATAAATAAATAAATGTTTAAAATAATATATAAAGAATGATTGTTCCCAGGTGGTTCTCTTCACACTGCCTCCTGGGAGCTTTAGAATGATCATGTTTTGGGTCCCGTGTCCCCACACCCACTGAAGCTGCATAAGCAAAAAGCACAAAGTAAAACCATGGGTAAAGCATAAATTGATGACCTTGAGGTGTAGCTGAAGTGCCCACAGTCACCTCGGAGAGAGCAAGGCAGGGCCCACCACACACCACATATATTCTCTGCTGCCATTTCACTTTGCTCTCGGCTTTGATAGGCCTGGAGCACACCTGTGTTGATTTTCACGGCCTTTCTCAGGCTCAGGGTTTAGCTAGTCATGTGGCGTCCCGTCCTGCCTTTCCCCTCAGCGTTCTGTGGCAGGAACAGCCTGGAGTCGATTTGGGAAGACAGGAGAATATATTCATTTTCTAGGAGTGTTGTCAACAAGTTACCACAAACTGGTGGCTTAGAACAACAGAAATGGATTTCCTCATCATGCTGAAGGCCAGAAATCCAAGTTCAAGGAGTGAGCAGGGCCACACACACTCTTGTTGAAGCTCTAGGAGGAGAATCCTTCTTACCTCTGTCAATTCCTGGTGGCTCCTGCTGTTCCTTGACTTGTGGCCGTGTTTTGGCAACCTCCACTGTGCACGGCCTTCTCCTCCCCGGCCTGGTCCACGGCTGTCTTCCGTGACCGTCTCTTGGAAGGATCACGATTTTTGGATTTAAGAACCACCTGGATTATCCAGGATGCTCTCATCAAGACCCTTAATCACATCTGCAAAGACCCGTTTTCCAAATGAGGGAACAGTCTCAGGTTCCAGGAATTAGGGGACATGGACTTGACTTTTGGGGGAGCCACCATTTGTCACTACCAGAGACAAAGCTCTGATTTGAATCTTTCTTCCTAGGAGTTATACGCCAAGCACAGTAGTTTTAGGGCTGCAGACAAACAACTTGACCCATTTTTTCTGCTCTCTTCTTTCGCTGGTGTCTAAACCCCAGTCTTAATGGTTCTAGCAATGAGCCTCTGCCTAGAAAAATCAGCGCTATCGTGGTGTCTAGTCATCGCTATTAGACACTCTTTCTGCAGCAACATCCTATATGGCCGATATGATTAATTTGCTTTTACAGGTGAGGAAACAGACTCAGGTGAGGTAATTTTACAAGGTCAACCGCAGCTCGGTGAGTGGCTGGACTGGGAGCTAAATCCTAGCAAAGGTCAACAAAAGCTCTGACCGTGGGAAGCCTCTTCAGGGCGGAAGGGACACTGTGTGCACGATGAATGCAAGGATCTTGTTGCCACAAAGCAGCACTCGAGGGCATTGCCTACCCACCGCCCCCTTTCATTGATATTTTCCTTTGGGGGAAATCAGAGAGTGTGGGGGCTGAGAGTGTGGGGGCTCCAGAGTTGACAGACTGATTCCAGGCTCGGTCACGCGCTAACCACGGGACCCTAGATGAGCCATGTCGCCTCTCGAGGCTTCAGTTTCCTCGTTTGGCTGGGGAAGAGGAGCGGGGAGAGAGTGAGCCCCACATCATGGAGCTGCTGTGAGAATGAATGAAGTGAGGGGCTTGGAGCAGGACCAGACAAACGAAAACAAAAAGGGGAGCAAATGTGATGGTGCTTCTGACAACTCTGAGGCATGGTAAGTCTTGAATGTCATGCACCTGCCCCGTGGCCACCCCTGGCTTTTGCATGTCTTAACCTGAGTGGGCCTCAGCCTGAGCACGAACTTGGCTGCAGGGGGGTGCAGGCGGAGAACGCAGCCTGTGACCCTGGGGGCAGGAGTGAAGGACCAGAGAGAGCGGCACAGGGAAGGAAAAGAAGGGAAGGAGCTCGAAGCTGAGTGACCACCCCCTTGACTGGATTCGGGCCACATAAGACGCTGTGAGGTCTAGAAGTCCAGGATGCCGGAGAATTTGCAGGGAGAAGCATTTGCCCTTTGGGTCCCACCCACTCGCTGGGAGCCACCCTAAGAGGACCCCACCCACAGGCCCCCGAGCCAGAGCTCAAAGAAGACAAAGATGCATGCCCCAGGCCTGGCACCTTCACTGTGAGGTGGCCCAAAGCCCACGCAGAATTGTTTCCATGGTTGTGGCGGGAATTTGGGGGAGACCAAGAGACTAGGGCACCCACCCTCCAGCACCTCTCAGATCTGCTCGGGCCCTCCCTTGGGTGAGGCTGCCACTGTGCATGGTGGGGGCTGCAGTCCCAGGCTCTGAAAAACTTACCAGGGCGGGCACATGGACAAGGCTGCGTCCCTGCTGGCCCTGGGGTTCCCACTGAGAGCCCCAATCTTCTCCCCCTCCCCATCCAAGGTTGCCTTCCCCCCAGAACTCCAGCTGGCCTAGATGGCTTACCTGAAGGGGGCTGTACCGGCAGGAAGGGATGGAGCGCAGGCTCTCTATGACCCGGGCAGACGGGGTGAGGGAGGAGAGAGTCCTGGAGCCCTCGGGGGCTTACCAGGCACACGGCGGGCCCAGCCCCCAGCACGTCTTCACTCTGGGCTCTCCGGCCTTCTCCGTGGCCTTGTTCTCTGCCCCTCTCGTGGTTCTCGTGGTTCTCCTGCTCTCTGCTCTTCCTGGCATCGCCGTGGGGCCGCCCTTTTAGGCCCAGTCTCAGCCCAGGGGAATCCCATCTGCACAGGCCACACCCCAGGCCAGGTGCCGCCGTCAGGCCTGCATCAGGACCGCAGGGTTCCGTCCTCTATCCTAATGGCGGGAGGGCAGAAAAGCCTGGTATCATTAACTTACCCTACAGGGGTACCCAGATCTTGCGCCTTCAGGGGCCTGAGCCCCTGCTGCCCTGCTCTTGTCAGGCCACGGTGGCCGCCTTTGGTGGCTGACAATTGTCGCCTGGCCTGGTGGCATCAAGAGATCCCCCCACTCTGGTGAATTCCAAATACTTCTCCCCCCTCCGTGGGCCACTCTTTCTGTGGGTCCACACACGGGTGTGGCCAAGTCGCTGAGAAGTCCTTGCGGCCGCTTCTCCTGGGGATGCGCTCGGTGGCTGAGAACAAGGGACTCGGGGCTCCTGGGGCCCCACTCTGCCTCAGGCTTCCTTCTCGCTCAGCTTCTGGCCCCGCGACTGCCGGGCTCCAGCTTCACGACTGGCCGAGCCATTCTCTACTTCCCAGGGTCTGCCCTGGTTCTCCCCTCAGGCCACCTCTCCCTCCACTCAAAGCTGGGGGCCCCGCGGCCTGAATGGGGCCGAGTCCGGCCACGGCCTGGTTCTGATTCGCCCGCACCTGTTAGGTCAACCGAGTGTGAGGCGGGTCTCTCCTCCCCTCCTCCAGCAGCTGCCGTGGCAGGAGTGAGCGGGGGGCACTAGGCCAGCGGGCACAGGTGACGCCGGGCTCTGTGCCACCTGCTCGAGAGACATCTGTTCTGCCCTCTCACATCAAGCTCGGACGCCAGCTGGCCGAATCCCTGGTCCTGAACGCACGTATCGGGAGGGCCAAGCATCCATGCCGCAGTTGCCCCACGCACGGGCGGGCCCCGGCCCCGGCCTGCTGGATCTGCTCCTTCGTGGAGCAAATGTTAATCAAATTCTGGACTTGGTATTGTGCCCAGCCTGCTCTTTGCCGTGGGAGACCAGGGTGGCTTCACATGCTGTCACGGAGGCCCTCTGGGTTTAGCAGCAAGCCCTGAATTAATAGCCTCTCATTTTCTCCTTGCAAAGCTTCTAAAAGAGTCAGTAGAAGCCAACCAACCGCACACTCCATGTAATTACACGGCCCATACCTTTCAAGTGCTAGAACCATGGCGTGACCTTCCCACGGCAGGGGAAAGTCCTAATGATGGTGAAGCTCTGGCGAGGGGTGCTCACCACCCCCTTACCACTGGCAAGAATCCTTGTAGTCATCTATCCCGTTGGCCAAGCGTTGCCCCAGAAGGTGAGGCCTCCTTCCACATCCAGGCTGCGCATGTGGACACCCAAGCATGTTCTACTACACCTCACCCAGGGCAGTGGAAAGTCCCAGGGCGGGAAATGAGCGTTTCTTGTGGTATAGTTGAAGCTACAATGGTCAGCACGAAGTGAGTGAAGCCTCAGATGCAGCTGGAATCAGAGGCGAGGCCCAGAGGTCGTGAGGCAGAGCGCAGCTAACTGGCACGTCATTTCTCAGCAGTCTCTTTAAAACCACTGTGATAAGGCCAGGGAAGGAACTGCCATGTACTGGACGCAGGCAGGTTGCAGGCCCTGGTAGCTGCTTCATGTGCTTCATGTGCCCCCCTCACAGCTAGTAGCCTCCTCGCTCCGCTCTGATTCCTGTGGTTTCCCTCTCTTACCCCTGGCACAGACATGCGGCCCCACCAACAGCATTGGATTGACTTGATCAGAGAAGAGGAAAGAAGAGCTTTAGTCCACGGGAGATTCTGACGTGTATGCAACCCTAGGTGGACATGTTGATCTAGACAACCCTCAATAAAAATAACTTATCTAAGGGCCTCTGTGGTGGTGCAGGTGTTGAGGTCTCGGCACCATCAGGCTATTGCCAGCCACTGCAGCGTGAGTTCGATCCTCGGCCAGGGAGCTGACCTCTCCTGTCTCGCCTGCTGCTCCCCTTAGCAGTGTATTTCAGTAAATCCGCCTTTTATTTTTATTTTTTTTATAGACGCAAGTTTTATTTATTTATTTGTTTGTTTGTTTTTATTTATACAAGCACTGGGTACAGTCAGAAGCGCGGGAGGCTGAAAGAATTCAGCAGAGCCAGAGCAGGGAGCAGAGCAGGCAGAAGGACAGAAGTACACTGCTGAGGGGAGCAGCGGGCGGCAGGAGAGGTCTGCGCGCCATGTGGGACCCTCCTCTGGTGGCCGGGGAGCAGCCGGGGATCGAACCGGTGCCGCAGAGCCACGGGCAGCCTCGCAACCCAGCGCTCAACCGCTGCGCCACCGGGGAGGCCCAAATCCGCCTTTTCTGCTCTCCACTCTGTCTCTGGTGGATCCTCTCACCCCTTCACCTCTGGCCTATACCCCAGTTCTTGTATGCATAAATAAAATCTTAAAAAAAAAAAAAAAGAGGGGCCTCCCCGGTGGCGCAGCAGGTTGAGCACGGCACTGTGAAGCTGTCCGCAGCCTCTGCAGCGCCAGTTCGATTCCTGGCCGGCCAGGAAGATTCCCATATAGCAAGGCAGACCTCTCCTGTCACGCCCACTGCTCCCCACAGCAATGGACTGCAGTCCTTCTGCCTGTTCTGCTCCCTGCTCTGTCTCTGGTGAATTCTCTCACCCTCCGGTGCCTCTGGCCTGGAGCCCAGTGCTTGCATGCAAGTTGAGGGCTGAAGTTGAGAGGCAGGGGGAGGGAAAGGACAAGGAAACATCAGGGATGGTGGGGTGTGTGTGTGTGAAATCTTTTCATTTGTTGAAAAAAAGACTTAGTCCAAGGTTTGCAAATCTAAGTTCCTCCATGGTCTAGATGTCCAGGTCACCCTTGTTCTTAGAGGTCAATAATCTAACTGGAGGGGGATAGAGAAACAGAAATGTACTAACCAAAAAATAAAAATGTACTAACCAAAAATAAAAATTTACACATCAGAATCTCCCGTAGACTAAAGCTCTTCTTTCCTCTTCTCTGATCAAGTCAATCCAAATGTGGTTGGTGGGGCCGCATGTCTGTGCCAGGGGTAAGTTAATGACTAGTTAACTTTTCAAGATGTTCCACAATAATCAGCTATAATTATTGTCAGATTGGTAATTGATAGTGTTAACACATCTGTAAGCAGCACATAAAAGTTCAAAGATTTTGGGCCTCCCTGGTGGCGCAAGGGGTTAAGACTCAAGCCTACGAAGCTCTCCGCAGCCACTGCAGTATGAGTTCGATACCCAACCAGGGAGCTACCCACATGGCACAGCAGACCTCTCCTGACTCACCCGCTGCTCCCCTCAGCAGTGTACTTCGGTTGATCTGCCTGTTCTGCTCCCCACTCTGTCGCTGGTGAATCCTCTCACCTCCCACCCCTCTGGCCTGGAGCCCAGTTCTTGCATGCATTAATAAATAAATCTTAAAAAAAAAAAATTCAAAGATTTCTGGTAAACATATCTATGAGGATCAGCTATGAAGTGTACTGTAATAGATGATGACATGTAGCATCTATTTTAGCTTGCTTTTCAAAAAAAAAAATCAATGAAGATTTTAATTTTTAAAGTTTAGTTTTGGGTTCATCGTTGATAGTTGACATTGTGGCTGTGGCAAGCTCCATAAGGACCTCTTCTTTCCTGGTAACAAAACCCATTTCAGAGAGAATAAGGCACTATTGTAGTTCCAAGGGAAAAATCGTGGTTTTTTCCCCAAATTAATCATCATATTCTCCTTTCCTTAGACAGTGACTGGCCTAGGAATGACCAGGGACCTAGCTCTGACCAATAAAATGTAGACAATAATTTTGATTGAGATGTCTGGGAAAGCTTTTACTTTCCTAACTGAGAAAGGAAGACTCTTGGCCGGCGAGCTCATCTCTTTGACGTTTCTCCTAACTAGAATGTGGAGGAGGCAGCTAGAAACACAGCAGCCACTTGGTAACCATGAAGAAGCAACAATTATGGAAAGAAAAGTCAATATAGCAAAGATGATGGAACAGAAAAGGCTATCCCAGGTCCCTCACAGAAACAGTTACGCCAGGTCTGGACAATCTACTCCCTGAATCTCTTGTTAAACAAACCGCCATTTACTTAATCCAAAACAGCAGGATTTTTGTTTCTTGTAGCTGAACATATACCTGGTATAATGGAATATATTTAAAAATATAATAAAATCTGTATTAAAAAGAACAACATCAGAAATGCCTGCCTCGTGTCAAGCAGCTAAAAGAAAATCTAAGATAACATTAGAAAAGGAGAATATTTATTATACAAATATTAGAATCTATACATTCTTGGCTGATGATATGTACTTGGCTAGAAAGTCTTTCACTTTGGAGATATGCATCATTTCCTTCATGGTGGTATCTCTACTTCTCAGATTTATTAATCCATTTTCTAAAGTAGCTTCAGTGATCAAAATAGTGAAGAGGATACTCATTTCATCGTATCTAAAAAAAAAAAGTAAAATATATGAGCACAGATGTAAACTGTAAGTTCATAACATTACCTGTTTTAATTACTTTAGAGTTCATGCTTCTAAAGTCACAAAACTCAAAGGCAGGGCTTGAGAACTGAACCAAGTTCAAGTTTCTGAATCTTATTCAAAGCAAAATTTCCAGAAAGTTTCTGACTGAAAGGTCAAAGCAGAAAATGAAATCTGAGAAATAAGGCCTGGTATTTTAACATATCATCTGGGGTGACATTTTGGATCAATCTCAGAATAAGCTCAGTCTTTTGATACTTAGATGCAATCTAAAAAAAATATTTTAGACTAAAATGTTACTACTAAAATAAAGATCGAGGGTACAACAAGTTAAACCAAAATCATGCTTAATTTGTAACAGTGCAGTAAGTTATAGTTTCTAGTTCAGCAGTAATTAAATATATCCACACTGGCCTTTCTGTGGCCCAGTCACTACTGTTTCTTTCAACATTGTAGGACTCTATCAGAAATTATCTTATTTATCTATCTATCTACTTATTCAGTGTTTATTTTGTCCCACTAGGTTATAAGCTTCGTAAGAACAGAAAACTTTTCTGTCTTCTTTATGGCTGTGTCAAAGGGTACAGAACATAGTAGATGATTAATAAATCTTTGTTTGGATAAGAACATCCTAGGACAATACAGACTTCACCATAAAAAGAACAACTCTAACTTGATAATATCCACGAGTCAAATAATATTTTAAAATCTGAAGGAACTGAAAAGTTCAAGTACCACCCCTTCACTCTATAAATGACAGTCATTTATTGCTCTGTCTATAGAAATCTAATTTTTCTGATATGATCTGAAAGGGGTGTTTTAAAAACACCCCTTCACAACTTCTGACCCAAGAGACTGTACACAAAGTGATTCAACACAAAAAGTTAAAAAAAAACAACAACAAAATAAATCCAAAGGAGAGAAGAGCAGATCACTTTATTTAAAAACAGAAGTTAATGAAACAGCAGAAGGTAAGACCAGAGACAGGGATATCAATCAGGAGATCATTTCAACCACTGAGCCAAGAGATAGTGACCTTGACTGGGCAGTGGCAGTGAGGGTGGAGACACGGAGGCGAGACATATATAGGAGGTAAGCTGGCATTTAGTGATGGGCTGGATGTGGAAAGTGAGGAAGAGGGGGGAGTCAGGACGACACCCAGGTTTCAGCCTTGACAGATGGGTAAACAGAGGTGCTGGTTACAGCGAAGGCTATTTCCCTGCTCTCTCGATGCCCACTCAATCTCAGAGCAGAGCAAACCACACCATGATGGGAAAGGCACTTCAACATGCGTAATTCCATCCCTGATTAATCAATAAATACAGATACACAGATTTTTCAACATTAAGTCTTGAAGTTGCATATAATATATGCTCAAATATGCAATTAACTAAGGGCTCATGGTTCTCTGAAAGGGAAATTTAGGAATAAATTTACGTATATTTACATTGTGTTTATATAGATGTATTTAGAAGCTTTATTACTGAAAGACACAAATGTTTATCTGAATAAACACATTTTTGAGTGACAACGAAGACAATTCTTACTTTGAATAAAGCTGTTCCATTGAGGACTGCATGGTTTCCAAATAACCAGGCCACACAGAAATTCCACTTTCTAGCAATTCATTAAATAATCCTTGACAAACCTGGGGAAAACATCAAAACTTCAAGTATGAAACAGATGAAGTAGCTAAGTGGTTATCCTCTATTTGTAAAACAAATCACATTTTTCAACTTTAATATATGCACAAGTTTCTTTAATTGTGACAATATTGTTTATAATTTGTTGTATACTTTTAAAGTTGTACTTCCTCTGAAAATGAAGAAATTAAGCATTGCAAAGCTGAATATAAAATGCAAATCTTCTCTGAAATTTTTATATTAAGTACAAAAATTAGTACCATCATCATCATCATGTGAAACTCAAATAAAACCAAAACAGATTCCATCTGAGGAAAAGTTGTCCAAAGGGCTATGTCAACTCTAAACTCAAGAGAGTTGAGAACTATCAGGAAGAGAAGGAAATAATGGAAACTAGGGAGACACAGCCAGGAAAGTATGAGGAAAACCAGGAGAGTGCCATTCTGAAGGCCAGCTAAAGAAAATATTTGGAGAAGATAATGACTGATTACTTGGAGTAGATGCTGTAGACAAAAGCCAGACAGGAAATGAAAAAGGAATAATGAGTGACACAGTAAACTTAACTTTTGTCTTAATAAGCAATGGTGAGGTAAAATGAAGCAAAATTTAAAAGGCCCTTAAACATCTAGAACTTGAGTTCTAGAGCAGGATCCCCCATCTGGCACTGCTGACATAGATGTTGTGCCTCATCCTCGGCCTCCACTAGATGCCGGTAGAGCCCTACCCTGCTGTGACAACCAAGATGTCTCCAGACATTACCAAATGTCCTGAGCAGGGAGGGAGCCTGAGCAAGCAGCACCCCTCGCAAACTTGAGTGGCTTTAGCATAAGCGGGAGGGCTCGTCAAAACAGACCGCTCAGCCTCTCTCCCAGCTTCTGAAACATCAGGTCTGCAGTGGGAACCAAGAATTGCATTTCTAACTTGTTCCAAGGGAAAGACCATAGCAAAGTAAATGGGTGTTCATTTGCTATTTGGAGGATGAAAATGTAGTTATTAATAAATCTAAGAAAATAATAGGGAAATTGGGCCTCCCCGGTGGCGCAGCGGTTGAGCACTGGGTTGCGAAGCTGCCCGCAGCCTCTGCAGCGCTGGTTTGATCCCTGGCCGCCGGGTGAGGGTCCCACATGGCGCGCAGACCTCTCCTGCCGCCCGCTGCTCCCCTCAGCAGTGTCAGTCTGCCTGTTCTGCTCTTCCCTTTGGCTCTGGTGAATTCTCTCACCCTTCCGTGCTTCTGACTGTACCCAGTGCTTGTACAAATAAATAAATAAATCTTTAAAAAAAAAAATAGTTCAATGCTAGCAAATGTTATAAAAAAAAAAAAAAAAAAAAAGAAAATAATAGGGAAATAAATACATAGATTTTAACAAAGTTAGCTGCTGCTGTTGTAGAGTAACCCCGATACAAAACGGGGTGCCTGACTGTGGGTCCTCACCTGCGCGCTTAAAAGGATTTATCCTTTCCCCCTAACACTGCCAGCAAAAAAATTTGCTCTTTTCACTGGAAGTTAGAAAAGGAGAGAAGCAGCTCTAAGCATAATTGTATGATGGGGAAGACCTGAGGGAATAAGAACCCTCACCCCATGGGTGAGAGTGCAAGTAGGTATAGCCAGTCCAGCGGCAATCTAGGTGAGATGGAGAAACTAAAGATACATATTCACTTTATCCAGCAATCCTGCACCTCTGCACACAACCAACAAACGCTCTTGCATGGCCCAGACACCTCTAGGCATAAGGAGCTGCCACACTGCTGAGGGAAAAAAGTTAAAAACAGAATATATACCATACTAAATAAACTTTTTGGTAAATTTAAAACACCCACTGGCATAAAATATTATATTCTTGGTAAACTAACAAAAACAAAAGAAAATAAGGCCTGCAATCATAATGACAAAAACTAGGGAGTGTGGTTCTTTGTCATGCAAACAAAAAACCTAGGAAGTGCTACTTACAAGGGTGCTGTGGGCCTACCACAACAGGGCAAAGTACAAATTAAGCCATTATCCTCCCTTTCCCTAAACTCACTATCTGTACCATCACAGACTTCTCCACCGGCAGAAAGCTGGGGGGGGGGGGGGGGTGGGGGTGGTGGGGGAGAAGCAATGTTTTTAGTGTTGTCACTCAGGTGTGAGTCAGGCAGAAATAATGACTGCTGGAGAGGTCCCTGAAAAGAAACTGACCCACCCTCCTGGCTTTTCTCAAGGGTACTCAGACTAGAGAGATCAGAGGGAAAAAATCAAAATAAAATTATAGCTCTAGAATCTGTGCTTATACCAAAAACATTATGTTAAGAAGGGAAGGTGTTAGGGGGAAAAGGATGTCCTAAAGCTAATTCCATACAGGCTTTTTGGACTCCACCCCCACCCCAGGCCAAAGCCAAAGACCCTGGAACTCCAAATCCCATCCCCACCAAAGGGAAGGTGGCTGGGACCTGAGGGTGGGGTTAAGCAGCCAGGTGGATATAAAAGGCAGACACGTGGGCTTTGGGGATCCCCCATTTTTGGCTCTCCGCCAGCTCGCAGCGGTCTGGCCAGCTCTGAGAGTGACTTTGGGTTTCCAGGTCGGCGGATCAGGTAGGACGCATTAAAGACTTTATTTTCCTATTTTCTCCCTGAGTTGTACATTTTCCTTATTTTCTTTTCCCTTGTAAATAAACCTTTTATTAACCTTTTGTGTGTGCCTGTAGTGGAGTATTCATAAGTCCCTTGTAAGCGCGCAGGTGAGGACCCACAGCCAGGCAACCCGTTCAATAGGACCTCCCTGGTGGCGCAGGTGGTTGACTGCAGTGCTGTGAAGCTGTCCACAGCCTCTGCAGCACTGGTTCAACCCACACAGTGTGGCAGACCTCTCCTGTCTCCCTGCTGCTCCCCTCAGCAGTGTATTTCAGTCAGTCTGCCTGTTCTGTTCCCAGCTCTGTCTCTGGTGAATCCTCTCACCCTCCCACACATCTGGCCTGTACCCAGGTTCTTGTATAAATAAATAATCTTAAAAAAAAAAAAAAAAAAAAGGGAAGGGAGCAAGATATAATTCACTAGATATTTATACAAATATTTTGATTTCAAAACTGTGTGTCCTTATTTTGAAAGTACACCTATGGCTGAGCATGACAGCAACAGCAAATCCCCTGAGTTGCATTCAGTGTCTTTTAAAATACTCTAAATTAACTATAATTAATCACAGTATCCAGTTTGTTATTTAAATATAAAAAAAGCAAATGAGGGCCTCCCCAGTGGCGCAGCGGTTGAGCGCTGGGTTGCGAAGCTGCCCGCAGCCTCTGCAGCGCCGGTTCAATCCCCGGCTGCTCCCCGGCCACCGGAGGAGGGTCCCACATGGCGCGCAGACCTCTCCTGCCGCCCGCTGCTCCCCTCAGCAGTGTACTTCGGTCCTTCTGCCTGCTCTGCTCCCCGCTCTGGCTCTGGTGAATTCTCTCACCCTCCCGCGCTTCTGACTGTACCCAGTGCTTGTATAAATAAATAAATAAATAAATCTGGGGGGGGGGGAGAAGCAAATGAATCAAGATAAAATTTTAAATGGGAAGTTACCCATTTACTTAGAAAAATGGTTATCATTGAAATTCTGACTCTAAAACTCATTTGACCTACCTGTCTCAGCTCCATTGCTGGGCCTCTTCCCATATCCAGAGCAACTTTAATAGGAGCCAAGCAAGGATGAAGTTTAAGTACCTAATGCAATTTAAAGAGAGGACAACACATCTAGTGTAAATATAACACAAATACAATGAAATATTTAACAATGAAAATTTTGTGTGAAAATGGAAGCTGGTTTGCGGTCACAAGAAATCGTGTAATGAAGTGTTTTCTGCTGTCTATAACCAGCTGCTCCTAGATTTCCCCACTTACATGTTCTGCAGAAGTAAGCTCACCTGATACTCTCCCATTTCCTGAGAACTCCATTTTCCCTGACTCCAAGGGCCCCTTCCCAGCATCGCGGCCTCTAGCCTGGGCCATGGGGTTAGTATTTGAACCTTGTTTTACCAGAGTCGCCCCCTCTTCTTACTCAGCACTTAAATGGCTACCTGGTGCCAGATATAGTTCAATGTGCTAGGGACAAAAACTCTCATCCTTCATGGTGAGGGAAGACTGATAATAAGCAAAATAAGTAATATATTTGAAGATGATTAAGTGCTTAAAAAAAAAAAGGAAGATATGCCGGAGACAGAGCTGGCCAGGGCAGGCTGAGGAGGCCTTTTGCAATTTTTAAATAAAAATGGAAAGAGAAGGTCTCTGAGCATCTGAGCAAATACTTGAAAGGAGGTTGGGCAACAAGACACACAGATGCTGCAGGAAGAGTATTCCAGGCAAAGGGGAGAACAAAAGACAAGGCTGGGAGCACGACTGGCATGTTCTGAAAAGAGCAAGGAAGCCCAGTCACGAGAGCAGGCCACGGCGGGGGAAGCACAGTAGGAGAGGGCAAAAAGGAAAAGGTTTTGAACACATTTTAGGGGCTTTGGCTTTTCTTCTGAGTGAGATGAGGAGCTTCCTGGAGTTTTGAGCAGAGAAGCAAAGCAACAGGTACCTTTTAAAAGGTCACTCTGTTGGGGAGGGAAGGAATGATGGCGGCTTAGGTGGACATGGTAAGAAATGGACAAATTCAAGATATATTTTGAAGGTAGAAACAGGTAGGTTTTGCTGATGGTGTAGATGTGGGTAAAAGAGACAGAAAAGATGCCTACCCTATAAATCCTGAGTCCCAGAACAAATCTGTAATTGGATGTTCTCTATGGCCACGTTAGGTTAAATGTGCATCACATAGAATAAATCACCTCTGCAGAGCAGTGCTGCCAACCCTGGCTTACATTCCCAGCTGAGCACTTAACATGTTAAAACTTCTGACTTGAGGCAGCTTTCACATTCAGTGGGACTTGACTATTTTAAACTTGCCACTAACACACCTACTTCTCCACATTTTAAGCTAATAATCATGCCTCCTAATTCCCTGAGAAAATACAGGCGATAAGTAAAATTTCCTTCAAAGGCTAGCCAGACCTGGTAGCCTATTTGTTTATACCATCACTTCTTTCCTCCCTGCTATTTGAAATAATTCCATTTCAAGACAAATCCCTTCACTTGTGTTTGTGATTGTGTCCCGATAACTCCTGTTTCTTCCAAAATCTTGCTCTATAGCCATTTCTTTTCCCTCATACAGCACCAACCTCTCCTTCTCTTGATTTTGAGGACATAAAAATGCTCTAACTGCATGTTCTAAAATAAGCCCTTCCCGTGACCCAGGCCCTCATCTAGTTCTGAGGTACTGTGATGAGCCACATGGGTCAGACCAGCAGCAGAGAGGTCAACAGCACAAGTCATGCTTGCGACTTCCTCCCATGTAACAACAGTCAGCTTTCTGATACAAATGGAGGTCACTAATGGAAAGGCTCAGGGGGTAAGCAGCAGCAGGAACTCTCCAGCTGACTGTGAGCAAACAGAAATGTCTTTGTGTTCCCTAATAGGATGCTTAGTTTAATTCTGTGGGTACCAGCTTATTATTACTGTGCCCAGATTCTAAAGAAACTGGAAAATACTTATATTATTTATACTAAAAGAAATTTATTATTCAGGGTTTTGTTAGAAATCAAGTATATTAACATTAAGGGGGGGGGCGGGCATATTTTTAGCCACCCAAGTCTAACTTTGGAATATTGAAAGCACCTTTCTATGAAGATTTTTCTTTCTCGTGAAGGAGTTCTCCGTTAGCTGGAAAGAATCATACAGGTAAGCCAGCATGCCTCGGTCTAGATCTCCAGTTACAGACAAAACAGAAGGAACCACATTTTTTCGTCCATCTCGACCCTTCATAGAAAAGTAGAACAAAAAATAAAATATCATTTAGCAGACTATTTCTTAAAATTACATATTTTAGACTTAAAAAATGAAGATATAAACTTCCAATTCACTTCACAAAGCATCCATTCTGTGCAAGCTGCTAGTCACCACTGGGCCCACAAAGATGATTCATGACCCAGTCTCTGCTCCCCACTGAGTCTTTAAGAATGACTGCAGTAAGAATGTCTTGAATTTTAAACCTGACGGGTGCTGGGGCCACTCTCAGAGATTCTGAACAGACTGGACGGCAGTAGGAACAAGGCATCACTGTAGGAACAAGGCATCACTGTTTTTTCAGTGCTCCCCAGGTGAGAATTGACACTTGGAAATTTGAAGATTATAACAAAATCCAGAAAGTCCTTAGAGAAAACAATTGGTATGCTTGTGGAAAGGGGAAATTATTTATGGGAATATAAAGTTCTTCTCATAATGAGCAAACAGCCTTAAAAAAACTTGCTTCTTAGGCATTCCTGGTGGCACAAGGGGTTAAGTGTCAGCACTATGAAGCTTATTGGCAGTCACTGTAGCACAAGTTCAATCCCCGGCCAGGGAGATAACCCACATGGCGCAGCAGACCTCTCCTGTCTCACTCACTGCTCCCCTCAGTAGTGTATTTCAGTCAATCCGCCTGTTCTGCTCCCCTACTCTGTCTCTGGTGAATCCTTTCACGCCCCCGCCAACACACACACATACCTCTGGCCTACACCCCAGTTCTTGTAAGCATAAATAAATAAAATATAAATCTTAAAAAAAAAAAACTTGCCTCTTACTACTTTAAGGCTATGATTATGAATATTAAATATACCATAATGCAGGATTTAGACCAAGTACTATTAAACTTATTATTCCCTCCCTTTTATTTATTTATTTGTTTGTTTGTTTGTTTGTTTTGTTTATACATGCACTGGGTACAGTCAGAAGTGCGGGAGGGTGAGAGAATTCACCAGAGCCAGAGCGGGGAGCAGAGCAGGCAGAAGGACCGAAGTACACTGCTGAGGGGAGCAGTGGGCGGCAGGAGAGGTCTGCGCGCCATGTGGGACCCTCCCCGGTGGCGGGGGATTGAACCGGCGCTGCAGAGGCTGTGGGCAGCTTCGCAGCCCAGCGCTCAACCGCTGCACCACCTGGGAGGCCCTATTTATTTATTTTTTAAAAGATTTATTTATTTATGCATACAAGAGCTGGGGCACAGGTCAGAGATGCCGGGGGGTGAGAGGATTCACCAGAGACAGAGTGGGGAACAGAACAGGCAGATTGACTGAAATACACTGCTGAGGGGAGCAGTGGGCAAGTCAGGAGAGGTCTGCTGTGCCATGTGGGTAGCTCCCTGGCGCCAGCTGGGGATCGAACTCATGCTGAAGAGGTTGTGAACTCTTTTATAGTGCGGTGCCACCAGGGAGGCCCTATTCTCTCCCTTTCAAACCGATGAGGAAAGAATCGTTTCAAATTTTATAAAATGTCAATTCTAGAAAAATATTTTAAGTTTTAATAAAAGCAGTTCTTTCTTCACCATCCCTTTTCCCTTTGGCCAGGACTAAGTTTTTGGTCAGCTGACAGAAGCACTAAACCTGGAATGTCCAGGGCCAAACTCTGGGCTGATGTGACTGGGGTACAAGGCCAGGCTTTCTGACTTCCTCTTCCTTTCCTTCTTCCCTTAGTTCTGGTCAGGGCACCTGATGAGGGGGACTTTAAAAGGGTGAGCAGCATGCCCAGGGGCAAGCTCTCTAACTAGTCTTTCTTCCTCCCCCTTTTATATGAGGCAGGTTTCTCACTGCTAAGTAAGATAACCACAAAAAATCCACCATTTCACAAGCCTCTGGGCAAGAATCTGCAGTGGATACTGCAACTGGCAGGTCAAAATTTGCCAAGAAAAAGATTATTTATGTAGTCTTAAATTAACTGCCCACAAAAGATTTACTCATTAGTAAGTACAAAATGCTTGTCAACTTTATATTGGAGGAAATCTGGTAGCACCATCTTAATTAAGTGATAAAAGTCACACTGATATCCATCTTGATATGATGTCTTGCAATGAGGATATTCCTAGCAAAAATACTTAAATCATGAGAAAACATTGGAAAAACCCAAACTGCAGGGACATGCTACAAATTAACTGGCATATATTCTTCAAAAACATCAACGTCATCAAGGACAAGGAAAGGGGAAAGGAATTGTTCATTTGAAATATGTGCTACCAGATTTCATCTGGACCCTATAAAGGGTATATTGGAAAAATACATTATGTCCGAAGGGTTCTGTGCACTGCACAGTTATACAGATGAGTGTTCTTGCACTTGAGAAATACATACTAAGCTATTAAGAGGCCACAGGGCATCTTGTCTGCAACTTATTCTCAAACAGTTTAAAACTGATCATAGAGAATCTGCATAAAGGCTACACAGGAACTAAAAGTAAAACATACGTGTAACTTAGACCCGTTTCCAGGATACATGTGTAAAAGTTCATGATCTCCTAGATTCCAGAGGGTTTCTATTGGCTCCTTTCCCCAAGGGAAATTGTAGTAAAGTTTGTTTCCTTTTCGTCCCTCTTCATCCTGACAATCGCTGCTGCTGAAGTTGGATGGACTCACTGCAAACTAGAAAACAAAGTGTCTTATTAACTTATTAATAAGTAAAGATGCCCGAGACATTTTATGTAGCATCTGAAAGTGGTCAAATCCCAAATAAAAATTAAGTTTAATTAAATATGAGTAATATACTGCTAAAATTACTGTGTTTTAATTTGAAAGAACTACAGAGAAAAACTGTTGGATGCTATCTAGCTAGCCTCTTTGTGGTCAGTTAGTAAAAAGGAAAAGTAACCATGAACTCAAAGGGATATCAAAGTATCATATACTAACCATTCTTATCCTCCTGTGAAGTGCTTGACTCTTTGTGAATATTCCATTTAGTTTAGATGGGTGGTTGGGGATTTTAAGAGTTGGAGAAAGAAAAACAGCCAAACAAAAATGCTTAGCGCAATTCTTTTATCTTCAGCATAAATTAAAACTTGGTTATAAATTACAGAGCCATTTCAATAATATGGAGGTAGGAAGCAAAAGCTAAAGATGGTAAGAGTGAGCAAAGGTCAAACTTGACACCAGCCAAGAATGCCAGGTTAGAGAGCTGAACTTTACCTTGTATGTAAAGTCTTATCAACGAAACCTTCTGAGCAAGAGATAATTAATAACGTCTTTACCAAAGTAACTTTGTCATATAGAACATTGAAAATCATTATAAAGAGTTTTTATCTGTATTTATCATAATTGACTCTTATAAACATATAACATAGGTACATCAAGTATCATTTCATTTATTATAGAGAAGTCTTACCTCTGACACACTAAGACAACTTACTTATTAATTATAAAATTAAGGGTAATTATTGTAGTACCTTTCTCCACCACAGGAGTCGATGACGTAACCAGAAGTCAAGCCACTGGCTTGCAGTTCTTGCTGAAGTAAACCATACCAGTGAAGCTTCAGTCTTCTCACCGAGTCTTTGGAGATCAGAAACATCAGATATTTATTATTGGAAAATTATATAACCCATCCCAAAGTGAAAATGACCAGTTCATGACCATTTAAATACAGGCCCAAGTTATTTACCATATTTTGTACCTTTTAACACCATCAGGTGTTTGTTTCGTTTCAGAAACAGGATGAAAACACACCCCAATCTGAGCAAGGCCAAAAGGTAACTTCTTGTTTACCAGATCCAGACAATTAACATAGTGGGACAAGGCACCTGGTCAAAAGAAAAATCAATCATTGTACAAATCTACTCTGTAAGCCCAATCACCATTTTGGTAAATATATAGACAAACTGATACAATAATGCTAGCACAGCAGTATAAGTAGCATGGTATTATTAAGGCAGATTTTAATCAACAAAACTAAGGCTCTACATAATTTTAAGCAGAATTTCCCCAACTTTTAAACATTTTCAAATCTACAAAAAGTTGAAAAAAAAATAGTACAATAAATACTATTTACCTGTAAACAGTATACTAAATACTAAATACCTGTATATCCTTTATCTAGATTCACCAGTTGTCAACATTTTGCCATTTATTTTTTCTTGTTCACCCAAAACATTTCAAAATGCATCTCCTAAAGTTCAAAGTATTATTTTACCATACAATCAACATAATACCATCATTTCATCTAAATAGGCTTAGTATTTTATTTTCTTTAATTTTCACTCAAAATGTCACTATGGCTGTTCTTTTCTCCCTAATCAAGGGGCATGTGCTGCATTTTGATATGGTTTCTTCAATATTTTTGAATCTAGAGCATTTCCCGATTCCTTCCTCTCTAACTTTCCTTTTAGTGGTATTGGCTTTTGATTTGAGCCCAGACAGTCAGATTATTTCACACTAGAGATTTGTCTGGTTGCTTCCTTATGATTTAATTTGGGTTAACCATTTTTAGCAGGAAGAAATATATATATATACACAGTTGATGTATAAGTCTCTCTTTTTTAAAGATTTACTTATTTATGCATATAAGAACTGGGATACAGACCAGAGTTGTGGGGGTGAGAGGATTCACCAGAGGCAGGGTGGGGAACAGAACAGGTGGACTGACTGAAATACATTGCTGAGGGGAGCAGCGGGAAGATAGGAGAGGTCTGCTGCACCACGTGGGTCAGATCCCTGACCAGGAAGTGAATTCGTGCTGCAGTGGCTGCAGACAGCATCATAGTGCTGAGACTCAACCCTCTGCGCCACCAGGGAGGCCCCGATGGGGAAGTTTTATTTAACAGAGGGACATAGTGTCAAGTTATCTATTAATAAAACCAAATTTGATTACCTGATTAAAGTAATGAAAATCCATTCTCCAGCAATATCCTGCTGCCCAACAATCTTTCTCTCAGCCAATAGTTTAAAATCTGTTGGTGATCCTTGATTGAATTATTATATTGGATTATTATAAAATCATGAAGTAGTGCTATTCCAGACCTATCTTTCCTTCCTTACTTATTGCGTTCCTTCTGTAGAACCATAAACTTTCTCCATCTTTTCTCTCTACCAGGCTTCTTACTCTGTTTGGCACTATGGATTTTGTTCTGTGTTATAATTCATTAACATCAATATTCAATGTGTCCCAAATTTAGCCAGTGGGAGCCTTCTTAAAGCCGGCATGTGTGTCCCTTTGCTATGACCCCGTTAGTCTTCAAGTAATTCTTTGCTTTCTAGAACCACAAAATGTGCCAAATTTGCCCTGTACTTTCCCTGTTCCAGACCTGGAAGCCATTTTTCAAGTACTGGTTCATTTTAGAAACCAAGATCTGTTCATTGCCACGAACATCATTGCTTCTTTTAATGAATCAAGCCAGGAAATACATATCTGAAGTTTTTGAATTTGATACTGCCAATTCAAATTTAACAATATAGAGTTGATCCTTGTCTTCTTTTATATTTGGATCCCTTTCTTCTTACAGTGAAAATCTTGGTTCTTCATAACATTAATCTATGTTATGCTTTAACATATAAAACAGCTCCAGAATTAGAATTCCCACAGCAACAAATGTAAATCCTCTCAGGAAGAAAAAAACACTGCCCCCCCCCCAAAAAAAGACTCAATTTACCTTACAATTTTTGTATACACAAGTTACTTAGACTATCACAGGCAAAATTCAAGTCACCAAAACCCTAAAGACAAACAGATACCAGAAACAGGTTTGTGATTAGACGTGGACTTTAAAATGTGATAAATGTGTTCAAGAAAGCTGATGACAAGATGGGGGAAAGGCTGAACATACATGTAATTAATCACAGAAGGACTGAAGAAAGATAATGGGGCAATAACAATATCTGGGGACAGAACTGTGGAGAATTTTTTGAGACTTCGTAAGCAGAGGCTACCACATTCAAACAAAAGCATGAGGAACATAAAGAAGTGGCCAACTGGTTAAGTCTAAGCTGAAAACACTAGACAGCCAAAGAATTTGGCAAACAAGTGGCTTTACATTTCCTGAAGGCAAGACCATGTCTACGCTGGAGGAAGGGGACTCTAAGAGTGCAAAGTCTCCTCTTCCAAAAGGGAAGAAAAATAATGATTTGTTTTGCAATATGGTAATAAGCAGTGACTTAACTGCCTCAAAAGTAAAGCCATCCATGGAATAATTAAAGTAGTACAAATCAAAATTCTCACATTTATGTTATTAAGGTGTCTTTAAAAAGCTACATACAGGGCCTTCCTGGTGGCACAAGGGGTTAAGCAACACACTGTGAAGCAATCCGCAGCCTCTGCAGCAAGATCTCAATACCTGGCTGGCCAGGGAGCAACCCACATGGCATAGCAGACCTCTCCTGTCTTGCCCGCTGCTCCCCTCAGCAGCGTATTTCAGTCTGCTTGCTCTGTTCCCCGCTCTGTCTCTGGTGGATCCTCTCCCCGCCCCCCAACTCCCGCATCTCTGGCCTGTACCTCAGTTCTTGTATGCATAAATAAATCTTAAAAAAAATAAATAAAAGGCTACATACAATACGGATACTAATTTGCAGAGATCCCTGGACATTGGTTATTTTTCATTGCTTTCCAGTAACGTGGAATGAAAAATGGCAAGGACAGCATTCTGCAAAGAGAAGTGGGGGGGGGGGGGGCGGGCGGCACATCTGCCCCCTACAGAACCTGTTTTCATGGAATCTCTGTAATGTTTTTGTTGACTTTAAAGGCAACTGGTACCCTACCAACTTATGTGCATTCGCTCAAGAATCACTTATAAAGTTTAATCAGTCCTATTGTTTCTCGAACTCAAAAAGGGCTCTTCCAACAACAAACAGACCGTGATCAGTTTTCATGTAAAAAACTGGGGGAGGGAGGGCAATTTCCTTTTGCCTTGGAACAATCAGCTCCTGATTAACAAATGTCTATTGTGTGTAAACTTGAAGAAAGTGACTGTGGAAATATCGGCCAGCAGCGTGGAACTGATGCACAAATGATGCCAACACACAACTTCAGCTGGTCTCAGATCCTGGGGCTGCCCCGTGGAACCGCGAGCACTACCGGCCCCGGGAGGCTCCGGAAGGCAGGCCGTCAGGGCACCTCACCGAGCAGACGGAGGCGCAGCAGGCGTCTTCTTCGCCCAGGGACTAACGGGCCCGGTGGCAATTCCCGAATCGAGGCGGCTTTTCCACCCCGACACCTACTCCGAAGCGTGCAACCGCGCGGCATACCGTGAAGAAGGTTCTCCCGCAGCTCCCCAGAAGTTCTGAGCACGTTCTCAAGGCGCGCTACTAGCTGGTCCTTACTCAGGTCTCCGTCCTGCAGGGCCTCGCGCAGCGCCTCCGCGGAGACTGACCTGGCGGCCCCGGCCCGCGGCCGCGCGGGGCCCGGCGGGTGGAGCGGGGCGTCCACGCGCAGCACCTGCTGCTCCCGCAGCGCCGCCAGCGCCGCCCACCACTCCGCCGCCAGGTTCTGCCGCAGCTCGGCGCCCAGGGGCCCGAGGCCGGGGTGGCGCCCGCGCAGGAGCGCGTCCCGGCCGGGCGGCGGCCCCGCGCCGCCGAGGAAGTGCCGGCGCCGGCAGAGCTCCAGCAGCGCCGCGCCGCCGTCCCCGCGCTCGGGGGCCGCTCCCGGCGCGCTCCCCGCCGGCGGCGCTCCGCGGGCGCCGCTCGCTGACGTCAGCCGCGCCGGCGGCCCTCCACGGACTCGGCCCCCCAAGGCGGAAAACAGGCGCCGGCAGCCCCTCCGGCAGGCGCCCGCCGCCGCCCCGCAGCGCATGGCCCGGGGGACGAGCGCCCCGGCCGCCGCCGCCAACGGCCGCCCCCGAGCGCGCCCGCAGGCAACTGCGCAGGCGCGGCCAAACGAGCGTGCGCGCGCCAAGCGGCCCCGCCCACGGAAGCGCGTCACTGCGCCCCGGCCGCTGCGGGCTTCCCGGCCGCCATGATGGGAGCCGGCCTTCGGGGCTCGCGCGCCTCCGCCCGGCCTGGTCCCCGCTCCCCGCCCCTGAATTTAACCAGCCCTCTCCAGCGACGTCACCCCTCCGCTTTCCCCTGTCGTGCCGTCGCCGGTGCGTCCGCCTTATCTTCCTTTTTACAAATCACACATGAAATGTCGCGGTGTTCTCCAAACGCTGAAGTACACCTCACGAAAATAAGCATTGGTTCGAATTTTTTTTTTCCCCGAATTTTTAGTTTTAATCCATTAAGGCGGGTTAGGGCCCCAGGCAAAGTGGCAGCAACTCTCGGTCAATGTCACCGCCGCCGGCGAGCCTCCGCCCGCAGGAATGCGGGCGCGCGGGTGCGGGCTGGGGGAGGGCACAGGCCCGCCGCCTGCAGTATCTCCGCCACCGGGGATACGCGCACCTTTTCCTACCAGGGGCCTCTTCTAAGGAGTGAAGACAGGCAGAAAAACTTGTTTAAGAGACTCAGGATTACCTAGCAGGTTTATGACAATCTTAACTCCATTTTAACTTCGAACCCTTAAGAAAATTGCCCAAACGGTGGACTGAGAAAAATACAGATTCCAAAGTCCACTGGTTCCTGTACTTGCAGCCCCTTAAGTGGCTAAGGAAACTTTGAAATGAACCCAGGTGAAATGAACCAGCTCCTAGAGTCCACTGGAGTACCAAGAAAGCAAGCGTAGTTTATAAAGGAACTGAATACGATGTAGGTCAAGTTTAGAAAATTATTCTATACAGGCATGTGTGCAAGTTTGCATAAGCTAGAAAAATAAGGTACTGCTGAAAAGCAATTACTTCAAAAGTGGGCACTTCAAACATACCAGGGAAGAGGCCTACACGCAAATAAATAAAAAGAGAGAATGGGGAGAAAAAATCACATTTATTAGTTAAGACAACCACAGGCTGGACACAACACACATGCTAAAAAGTGGACTGTCTTTCAAAGGTAAATACGTAAATATTTCCACAGCCCCACAATCATTTCAGTGTTTACAAATTAAAAGGCCCACGTTAAGACATTGAACAGTAAAATATGTAATAAATGCTCCAATCTACCCCAAAAGCTTCTTATAAATTATGTCATAATGAATTTGACTAACCATGCTATTGAAAACTGCTCAGTTAACTAGAGGCTGAACCAGTTTTCAATGTATTAGTCCTGGAATTACCACTCCCCATCACACCCACCAAACTGGTTTTACATTTTAGAGATAAGGCATTAACACCAATTAAAGCCTCAGTTTAATTAGAATTTAAATGAAGTCTCATAAAAACCTCCACTCTCCTGACAAAAAGTAAACACACTATCAAACTCTCTGGAGACATTCAGACCTACTTCTAGAGATTGAAACAAAGGGATTAGAAAGGTCGATAAACCAAAGTTAAATCTTTTTAAAGCCACTCCCTGGATCTTTCTAGCAGTAAGTTCCCGTTGATCCCAACAGGATGACTTGTACTGTATAGTCACTGTGCTTTTGGTTATCATGCTCTCGATTAACCATTAATTTTGACGTTTTTTTCTTGGGTTCACTTGAATGTGAACAGATCTTACAGTCTGAAGTCCTTTATCCTTTAGAAGTCCCTGAATTAATGGAAAGACATTCGTGACTCCCACTATTACCACAGAGTCGCAGGAAGCTTGTTAAGACTATAATAATCTATGTATAACCTGCATCCGAATACTGTAAAGTTCAAATTTAGCTCTTGGCCAACCACCTTAAGTGGGTCTTAGCTATTCGTAATAGAGCCGAGAGCATGAATAGAACCTCTTGAAAAAGCAAGTACTGAAGCCTCTCAAATTATGACCTTTGCAAAAGGAACAATCATATTTTTGTACAGCAGCTTCAGGGTGGGGCTTTACAGTTATTTCCTATTATTTCACTATGAACTCATTTCACCGTTCTGCTAATAAAATAGGATACCAAAGGACTCACCTGATGTTGGGAGGTACTGACAGAAAGCCTTTGTGCAACTTCAAGATTTACCTACATCAATCCCACTTTAATTTCTGCAGTATGAATAGATTTTAAGGACATTCTGATCTCCCACTTCCCAAAATTAAAGCATGTAAAGGAGTAGTCAATTTAGTTAGGATCAAGAAACAGACCATCTAAGCAAGGTTTTACATGACATATGTAAAATAAAGTACAATTTCCACTTAATTCAGTCTTCAAATATTTTTTATTGGAAGGCCATGCATTGCCTTCATTTATTGTATTTCAAATCACTGTACATTTACTTTTGTGAAAACACTGCCTGCATTTTCTAGTACAAAAAAAACCTAAAAATTGTTTTCAGGAATGTAGAGAAATATCCAACTTAAATAGCGAAAAAGTGCACCATAATTACTGCTGCACTGCAGTCATTTCTGCATTTCCCATGTTTCTTAAATAACTATCTTGTTTGATAACACACAATATAAAGAGCAATTATGAAAAACAGACATTTACATATACCTCTTAAGTCTTATTGGGAATATCCTGTTGGCATTGGATAACCAATCATAGGCGCAGCTGCAGTAGCAGGATATGCATATGCCTGTTGGTTCATACCATTGTGCATATTTGGAACATTACTTCCGTATTGCTGAGTGCTATCATAACCATTCTGGTAAGTCCCTGTTGGATTACCAGTCCTAAAACTGGTCTGTATACCAGCAGACACAAAATTACTTCCAAAGCTCCCATTGGTGTAATTTGCAGCACTGTAAACACCATTCTGAGTTTTTGCCCCAAAATCTCTCTTAAGCAGACTAGAGTAACCTCGGTCATAATTTTCCCTGTCTCTAAAAGTATTAAATCCACCCCTTTTGCCCGCAGAGTATCTGTCCCGGCGGTCATCCTTCATGCCTCCTCTACCCCTGGAACGACCTGTCCAAAAAAAAAAAAAAAAAGCAAATTTATTATTGCTATGGCACAAATCACTAACAGAAGTAATCATGTGGCATTATTCACTATAGCTTTGAACTGTTTTCTCAAATAGTTGCACATGGAAGACTTGACTTATACACCAATCCCATTTAAACCTATTTACAGACAATAAAGTGACCGCAAATAAATCAACATCTCTTACAGAAGGTCAGTCTTACCTGAACCTCTGTCTTCGACCAACTGAAGCAACTTGGGATTAATTGCTTGATTAGCTTCACGAAGCACAGAGATAAGGTCGCTCACTTGCTTTATGTTATTAGGTGTAAAGAAAGTGTATGCTGTGCCTGTTTTGGTACTGCGAGCAGTTCTTCCAATTCGATGAATATAATCCTCTGAGGAGTTAGGGTAGTCATAATTGATGACAAATTTCACATCTTCCACATCTGTAAGGTGTTGCAGTGTGGCAAAATAGCAATGTACGGAGTTTTGCACACCACAACAGCCAGACCAAAAATAAAAAGTTAGACAATTGTATTCCCAAGAAGGTACGGGCTGCAAAAAACAGTTAAAATGGTTATCCATTCCCTGTAGGATTACCATTGAGGTTGAGAGAAAAAAAAAAAAAAAAAAAAAAAAAAAAGGAAAAAAAAAAAAAGCACATGTCATCTGTATGTTGCATAACCCACCCAATGAGAAAGCCTATCAAAAGTAACATGTATTCCCTAGAAGAGTCCCCATCAGCAAGTCCCCTTACAGATCATCAAGTGACATCTGAATGCTTCTGTGCAGTAGGGCCACTTAAAGGTTCACAGCAACCTCTTCATGTGCTCATTTTGAGGACCTTTAAACAAAAATGTACACGGTCCTTTGCATTTACACACTCATCAGAAGTTCAAAATTCTGGCCACACTGCTTGTCTTGCCAAGACCTTACAACTGCAGCTGCAAGAAAAACATACCTGTCCCCCAAAAGTTGTTTTTATGCACTGTGTCTCGTCTAGGCAAGCGCTTCCAAGAAGCCAGGATTCACTTGAGAATGTGTCTCTCTCTGGCAGGTCTCGACATGACGACTACTGTGTAGGTGAGGGAGGAACTTTCAAAGCACTGCTTTCTTTTCCCACTGACTAAGTGTGAGAAGTTGCTCCTGCTCTAGATCTCATGTGCCAGTACTCACCAATTTGTAAAAGGCTTTAGTACCTTTTAAAGCTGCTCTCTCCATTTCAAACTTGAACAAAAATTTCATTGAACATTGAAGTTTGGAAATATTTCTTCGACATTTCAGCAAACTCACTGAAACTCAAAGACCCACAGATCACAGTAAACAGTTTGAAACAATGCTGTACCATGGCAGTCATGCAAAGCATGGGACAGAAGAAATACCACGGCAGTGAACTGTGAGGATAACTTCCATTTTTTTCCCCCGGAGAGAACAGTTTACAGAGGCAGAGGTCGTATGTTCTGCCTTTTGAAGATTACTGGCACACTTTCAGCTTTTCACCTCTCTAATCGACTGGAAGCAGCCAGCCGATCACTAGTCCTCCATCCCCCTCGAGTCCTCCGATTGTCATGCCTAGGCCTTGCCACAAAGACTGCACCTTTATATGAAAAAAACTTAGAAAAAACGCAGAGGTTAAAGAAAGCAATAAACTTTCTTTAAAAAAATTATATGGAGATCTTCTGGGAAACCAAGCCATGAATGCGAGTTTGTACTAACCTAGCCCTCTGGAGGCCACATCTGTAGCAATCAGAATAGGAGCTTTTCCATGTTTGAATTCTGCAAAACAAAGCACACATATTATCACCACTAATCTGAGTGGAATTCTAAGTTTCAAGAAAGACTTTTTCATTTGAAATACTTACCATTTAGAACCCAGTCACGTTCCTGCTGACTCTTGTCACCATGGATACCCATGGCAGGCCACCTAAATTGAAATAACCTTATTAGATTAACACAAAAACTTGATAGATTAAGTCTAATGCTTAATCATTTTTGATTCCAGATCCCTTGGAATCCCTTATTTCAATTTCACTTAAAATAATGTATTGCAGTTTTACCTACACCAACAAAATGATTTCCATCTATGAAAACTGCTCATCTGTTTGCCCTTTCCTCGAAACACAGCTGTATTACATGTGCTTCAAAGGAGGAAGTCCAACATACCCATCTCTCCTCATTTTTCTAGTAAGTTCATCACATCTTCTTTTGGTTTCAACAAAAACAATGGTTTTATTTTCCTTCTCACTCATGATCTCTTCCATCAGGCGAATAAGTCTTGAAAGGAAATAAATCGAGAATTTTAAAAGCAGTTCACGGTCATAACCATGCACTTACAGTCAAACATCAATTTACATGGCCACAAGCCAAAAGAAACACCTCCCTAACCATTTATAAGCAATTCTACCCTTATCCTTTAGAAAACCAAAGGATAAGAACTCCTTTTCCTATAAGAATGCCACAAATAAGGTAATAACCAATTACCTCAATAGGGAAGCGAAGCAATTTTCAAAAGGAATGCCTCATTTTAAATGAGCCACACTCAAATTCCACCCAATTAGAAGTTACTTTTTTAGGACAACTTATAAAACTGCAACTCCTCAATTTGTATAACAAAGTTTTAGGGGTTCACAAAGAACGTACAAAAAACTTACTTCTCATCCTTTTCCACATCATGACACACATCCACAATCTGGAGGATGTTATGGTTTGCACTCAGTTCCAGTGCACCAATGTTTATATGAATATAGTCTTTCAGGAAATCTTCAGCAAGCTGTCTTACTTCTTTTGGCCAAGTTGCACTCCACATTAGGGTTTGCCTATCAGGCTAAAGAATTGGGGGGTTAAAAACAGGAATAATAAAGCTTTGTACTATAAGAACTTAGAACTAAGTTAAAGATTACTTATTTGAGGGCACTTACTCTTATCTGATCCACAATCTTTCTTATTTGGGGTTCAAAGCCCATATCAAGCATTCTATCTGCTTCATCAAGGACAAGGTAGGTGGTTCGTCTCAGATTGGTTTTCCCACACTCCAAAAAGTCAATCAGTCTTCCAGGTGTTGCAATACAAATCTCCACACCTTCAATAAAACACATAAATGTAACTATGGTACCTAAAATCTTCGGCACCACCACAGACATACAGAAACCTCTTTTGGTTACTTGCCTCTCTCCAAATCACGTATTTGTGGTCCCTTGGGAGCACCACCATAGATGCATGTAGACTTCAAGCGACATGCCCTACAATATTCAGCAGCTACTTGCTGTACCTGTTGAGCCAGTTCCCGAGTTGGTGCCAGCACCAAGCACTAAGAGGAACAGAAAGAATGGCTTTTATTTTAGCCAAGACCTGGATTCTAGTTTTAAGCTTTTCTGTGTTATGCCCAATTCCCAAAGCAACTTTGTCTTCAGTTAAACTGGATGAAAATACTATCATTTCTATACAAAAACCACCACTGTATATAAAAACTCTCACAATACATTACATAAATATATAAAAGCTTCTGGTCAAAAATTAAACATACTTACAATAGGCCCATCACCTCTCTCTAGGAATGGCTGGTGATTGATATGGACGATGGCAGGCAGCAAATACTATTTAGAGGGGAGCAAAGAACAAAAGTTAAACTAAAACACTTCCAGATGCCTCTCACCCCATTTTCTCTAGCACATCAGTTACTTAAGTTATCCCAAACTTACAGACAATGTTTTCCCAGATCCAGTCTGTGCTACTCCAACCATATCCAATCCACTTAGGGCAACTGGCCATCCCTGAGCTTGAATAGCAGTGGGTTCTGTAAAGTTCTGTCTTGCAATCACATCCATGACATTTGCTATGATTAGAAACAGCAATTTGGTGAAAATTAAATATCAAGGTGGGGGAGATTTTAGAGTAAAGAGAGTAAGACTCAAAACTAGTACCTACCCGGAAAATTTGCTTCATAAAAATTCAGAACTGGCTTGGGGCAGTTGTGACCTCTAACTGTAACTTCCTTGCTTCTTCTGTATGTCTCCACCTCTTGCTACAAAACAAGTTTTAATAATCTAGTTAAGTCTCATGACATCCTCCTCTAAACTAAATATAAAGCCAACAGGTCTCTAAATTTTTATCTAGCTACTTTAAAGGAGCAATCTTAAAACCTGGATGCAGATATGATGCATAAAACCCAGCTACAGTGTTATACCCTACCATCTATGCAGAAAAATTTCAGTTATTTCCAAAAGTAATATTTGTTTCCCTACTACTAAATCGAACTGTACATCTCTCAAAACTTGGAAGACATTTCTGGTCAGAGTCTGACTTGTTAGAAACCATTACTGAGTCATCACTTGATAAAACCACAGAAAATTACTTACCGCTGTGCGTCTTGCCAAATCAGGGTGTTCTTGATAAAAATTCTTCTCAAATTTGGGCAGCTCATCAAGATTCCACTTCTTTTTAACTAGTTTCTCCCCAGGGTTTCCAAACTTCTTTCCAGATAAGGGCCCTGCCCTACTTCCTCCAAATCGAGGTGCACCAAACCTGAAATTAAAAAAAAAAATTTGCACTTTTAAATACCATTTTATATGTAGCTCCCTTTGCACATAATAAAAAAAAAACACGAGACGTAAGACCTAGCACTGTGGTTAACGACGACCAGTCTCTCCTAAGCCACAATTATCTCCGAATCTCTCTAGTTCCCAGTTTCAAGTACACACTACTGAAGCCAAATGCACAGCCCAGGATTTATCAGGTTGGAAACCCAAACCCCCCAAGTTCAGATTACAAGAGACAACAGCTTGTGGCGACTAGTCTTTCCCACGAGTTTAAGAATTAAATATCTGATAAAACAACAACACAAGGAGGGACGAGGAGCGTAAGCAACGAAGACGTTACTTATCGCTGTTTTCACGCAAAGCAGCTTTGCCTCTATGGATAACAGACATCACGAGCCGTGGAGGACGAGAAAGGTGGGTCTCGGGAAGTCTAATCCGATCGAGTTAGGGGGATTCCCTTGGAAGGGCTCCCGATCAAGGCAGCAAAATTACATAACGCAAAGAAAAGGAGGAGGAGGAGCTGGCGACTACCGGGGGAGGAGTCCCGGCCCGGGCGGAGTCGGCCGGGCGGCGTTCCCGCTGGGGCGGCGCTTCCCCCTTTGTCTCGCATTTCTCTCTGCGCCACATTTTCTCGACGCTGCCATTTTGAGCTCCTCCGCCGGGCGGGGTAACAAAGGCGCCGCCGCCATGTCCGACGCCGGCATTTTGTACCCGCGGCTCGGCCACATGGCGATTCCGGCGGCGCCCGCCGCCCTCCAGCCCCAGCTGCACCCATGGCGTCGGAAGCGGCCCCTTCGGCCCCCACCGAATTCCCGGGACCCCGAAAACACCTTCCCCAAAGGTCGCACCGAACAGCGGCGACCTCGCCCGCCTCGGAGCGTCGCGCTTCCCTCGCCTCACAACACGCTCGGCGTTCCCCCAACAGCTGCGGGGTCGCCGGGCCCCGACGCCCCCCCACACTGAAGGGAGTTTGGGGGCCTTGGCAAAACAAGCTCTTCCAGTCAGTTTTTAATAAATTATGAAAATGCCACAAATTTGTGACTAAAAACGCCCCAAATAGACCGAAAAAGTCAAGTTCCCCCCGCGCCCCTCCCCCCGCCGCCGCCCTCCGCGGCCTCCCATCCCCCACCCGCCGGGCCTGACAGGTCGGTTCCCACACTCACCCTCGATCCCGACCGCGATCCCGGTCACTCGAATAACCCGACATGGCGTCAATGGTTGCGGTTGGCGGGGAACGAAGCAGAGAGAATCGGGAGCGACGAGTCGCTACAGAAGGCTTCGTCGACAGCGAAGCCTTGCGGGGGCGGCAGAGGCGGAGGGACCGCGATGACAGGAGCCGGAGCTGCTCAACAAGAGACCGGTGGAAATGAATGAGGTGCCGGCCGCGTCCCGGCAGCCGGTTTTATAGCCTGGACCGCCTCCTCCGCCGCAGAGGCTGCTGGGAGCCGCTCTATGACCTAATCACCCCGCCCTGCGCTGGGGCCGCAACTCCCGCCGGCGTTCCGGAATCCGCCATGTTCTCGCCCCTCCCCCTGCGGCCCCTCCCTCACAGTCGCCCGTTTCTCGCCCCTTCGAGACTGGGCCCACCCACCCCGAGAATGCCTCAGTCTTTACTCGCTTGATTTTACCTTTTTATCGTCTTTCTACACCTCAGAGAAGCCACCCACCCTTTTCTAGGTTCAGCCCAGGCGGTAAAATGGCCACACAGGCCAACCCACTCTGCCCACTCGGAGATGTTTACGTCTCCAAAGAGCCCTCACGCCCATAGCCAAACCCCACGGGAGGGCGGGGCCTGGCACTGTCACGTGGCTGCTCCCGCCCACCGGGCGAGAGGCCGCACTACTTCTCCAGTTGGCGTCGGCGGAGGAATACAAAGTGAAACGCTCACCGGAAGTACCGGGCTAACGCCCCGGGAGAGCGGCCGCGGCGGCTGGGTGACCCCGGCTGTCAAACCCGCCGCCCTGAGCCTCCCTCAGCGAGCTCTTGCCCGCGGAGAATGGGCTCTAAAGCCTGCAAACCGCCGTCTAGGCACGTGCTGCAAAAGGAAGTGCTCCCGCGGCGGCCAATCAGCGGCGAGAAGCCGTTTTAACGTCCTCCCTCCTGTACCCCGCCTGGGCGCTGCGCTCGCTCCCCCGCCCCCGGCGCGGCCCTTCCCGGACACCGTACCCCGCACGCTCGGCCGGGCGTCTGGCGGCGACCGGCGTCCGCGACATGGCCTTCCCGGAGGCTGGTGAGTCTCCGCCTGGAGGCTCGGTTTGTGTGGCCTGAAGCCGTCCAACCCCCCGAACGGCCCTGCCCGTTTTATCCGGAGGCTCCGGTCGGCCCCCGCCGGGTCTGGGGTGCCGGCGGGGCTCGTCACTGACGCCCCGCGGCGGCAGGCGGGTGCCCGGGAGAGGGGCCCTGAGCCCGGCGCTCGGTCCGCTGGGAGGCGGGGGGCGCGAGTCGGGGTGGGGAGGGGGCTCGGCGGCGACAGCGCAGCTCGCCGGGCTGCCGGGAGGGGGGCGGCTCCGCGGACGCGCGGGTCTCGCATGGTGGACGCGGGGTTCAACTCTGGGGAACGGCACTGTGAGGAGGGGTCGACGGCCCCGCCGGAGTGGAAGGACGGCGGAGTCCTCTCTTCGGTGCCCCCTGGAGTTAGCGGCTCCGACTAGCATCGCTCTTGCGGAGCGAGTCGGTTGGGTTGTCCGGGACGCCGGCCTCCCTTCTCTGCGACGGCGTTCAAGCCGGTTGTCATGGTTTGGGCAACGGTGGGACGTGGACTTGGGCACGGGGCGATCACAGGCCTTGAAGAGTTTCTTTCTCCCCTTCTCCCTCCCTCTCTTCCCCCTCTCGTTTGTGAGGGGAGACCGTGCCTGGAATACATACCCGCTTCGTTCCCACAACCTGCGTCCAAGTGCACGGAACCTAATACAGAACTTGCCCCCTTATTGCCAGTCATTTCAGGCAACAGATGTTTCACGCTTTTTAAATTACTTTTCATCGAGAGACTGTTGAGGTGCTTTTAATAATCCCGACTCGAATAATCTGGGTGTGGGACGCGAACTTCACCTGTATCGGTGAGGTAGTAGTTCTGAATTTAGACACGTTTTTATTTATTCCCTATATTTTCTTTCACATACATCAGACTTCAAAGCTAACAAATGCAGTAGTGTTGGCGTCATCACTCCGGTTCTTAAGTCTAAGTTAATCACCATCTACTTGGGCACCAGAGAAATTCTCCCTTGCACAAGATAATTGGGTGAAAACATGGCTCGTGCTATTGGGAATATGAAGCAACATTCATTAGCTTCTAGTGGCTTCGGACTCTCACTAACTATCCTGTTTATCACATTATAGTCCCATTTACTTGTAAATGTGGTTAAAACACTTACGTATGGCTTGTAAAATAAGAACTATTGGTAAATAAAGAGTTTAGGTTGCAAAGGTAAAAACTGAATTTGCATCCTAATTTTGACTGCATTGAAACTATCATTCTGGAGTCATCCTAAGAAATTAAATACATATTTTTAAAAATCCTGCCAATCATATATAGTGTTGTAAGCCATTGTTACCTCAATAAGGGAAAAATAAATGAAATATCAAAAAGTCATGCCTACCTAAGAAGGCCTCTAAAATTTTATAAAGATTCCTTATTTTCTACATGTTTCAATGTGTTTTTGTGTGCCCATGTTTTTTAATGTGCGTTGTATGACTTTTATCATGCTACTCAAGTCTTATCTTTTTTTCCCCAACAGAGTGGGTAACCATTGCTAATAACCTCCTTTTGAAATGTCACATACACCTGAGAATACGTGAACTAGAAGACTGTGATGCTAATGTTTTTATTGCTCTTTATCAATCCATTTTGGGAGAAAAGGTACCAGGTAAGGGTCCTAAAAAGTGGGAATAATACACTCTTAGGCCAAAAGTTTCTAGTGCCTTTCTTTGTATATCCTATGGTATTTGTAAAATCTCCATTTTCTTTTTGTTTGCATCTTATTTCTATCTAAAGGGTTGCATACATTACCTTAATGATCATATCAGTTTGACTAGTTTTAGTCATCACTGTTTAATCATGCCTAATGCCTTATAAAAGTCACACCTTTTCTGTAAATGTACCTTTCAAAGGTTTTGAGGTTGAGTTGGACTTGGAAAATCATTGGTCCTGTTACTTAGCCACTGTTAGGGATAAGAACTGGTGTTTGTACTATATGAATATAGTTTACCAGTAAATTCAGAAATTCATAGTCCTGTCATAAGTTGTGGCTTGCTCATTTCTTTCAGAGGTATCACACATTATTTGTTTATATGCCTGATTAAATATTTCAGAGTCCTTACCTTTAGATTCCTCACTGCCTCTGTTTTTTCATATAGTTTATAACCATTAAACTCTATATGGTCTCTTTTCCTTTCCCATTGTTACTATGAGTCAGTGCCCTCATCACTTTCTGGAATTATGGGGAAGAACTCTAGCTGGTATCTTTGGTACTAGTCTCAATACTTCTTAGAGTTCAGAGACATATATAGTTATTAGACCAGTTTTTTTAAAAACTTTTTTCATCCTACCCTGAAGTAGCCATCTTCCTCAACACCAGAGAAAAAAACCTCCAAATTTAATTTTATATTAAAATCATTCTGCACTCTGGTCTGTACTGATTTTTAAAACTTTTACACCAATAATTCTCTGCAGGCTACTTTAGCAGGACATACAAGAATCCTCCTTTCACACCTATTGTGGGGTTTTTCTCACTCATGGAAAACAGCCCACAGTTCATGGGTTTCATCCTCACATACTGCCTTCTTTATTAGAGTGTTTGTATCTCCTTGAATTTGAGGACTTGGTTTTATCTTCTTTATATTCAACCAATAAGATTCTAGGTGCAATTCAGGCTCTATTAGCTTTATTTCTACTTTATAGCCTATTGTTTGGGGGCAGATATTATTGTAATATTTAAGCATACTCAGAAGCCTGATCAGAAACAGATAGCTGAGGGCCTCCCCGGTGGCGCAGTGGTAGAGCGCTGGGTTGCGAGGCTGCCCGCGGCCTCTGCGGCGCCGGTTCGATCCTTGGCTGCTCCCCGGCCACCAGAGGAGGGTCCCACATGGCGTGCAGACCTCCCCTGCCGCCCGCTGCTCCCCTCAGCAGTGTACTTCGGTCCTTCTGCCTGCTCTGCTCCCCGCTCTGGCTCTGGTGAATTCTCTCACCCTCCCACGCTTCTGACTGTACCCAGTGCATGTATAAACAAAACAAACAGACAGGCAAACAAATAAATAAAGAAAAACATGCCTCTATTAAAAAAAAAAAAAAAAAGAAAAAAAGAAACAGATAGCTGAAACCTTGGACTTTCACAGATGCAAAGTCATTTAGCTTTTTTCCTGCAGACCTGATAGCTGTTCCTAGGAGTCAAGAAGATGAAGCTCACAATGTACAAGCAGTAATTGATTCATTGGCCTTGGATTACCTGCAGGTCAGCTTGTCTCACATATCAGGTAATTACTCATTTTACGAATATAATCTGTTAAGTAGAGCTCTGTACATTAATCAGTCAAATGAGTTAACTTAAGAAACAGGCCAAATGGCAAGAGTAAAGCCAAGACGGTTGACTGGTATAGTTACAGCAGCCATCCTTGAGCATTTCCAAGAGAATCAAATATTGAGTTTGATGGATCTGGGTCTGAAGTATAGTATCCTAGTTGGTAGCTTGAGGTATGTTTGTTACTTTATTTTAAAGCTGCCATTTTGCTTGTTTATAGGAACTAAAATCAGATATACCTAAAGGTTCATTAATAAGAATAGGTTAAATAAATTATGATAGATCCAGATAGGAAACTACTCTGCAGTTGTACAGGGTAATTAATGATTCTCTCTATATGATGTTCCACATAGGTGGAACAATCTCCAGTATGTATTTTGTGAGAAAAGTGTGGTGCAGTTACAATAATGTGCCTGGTATGGTGTTATTTGTAAAAACAACGGTGGGGAGAATATGTAAGCAGTTGACTGCAAGCAGGAGGACTCTTCAGCTATGCATGTAACCTATAATACTTGATATAACTTCTACACTTTTTGAATTTGAACCATGTGAATATATTATCTATTCAAAATAAATAAAACTGTAAACTCTTTTTGAACTGTTTTTTCCAAAATAAAATGTACCTACTATGCTTGTACTCTGAAGCCAAACATACCAAAGTATTTGTAAATCTCTATATGTAGATCATGAGAAAATGAGGACTACTCCAGTAAATTATTTCAAGCTAGTAAACAGAGGGACTCTTGGAAACTTGAAATTATATGTAAATCACTAAGAGAAGGTTTATGTTACTTACTCTGTAAAAGTAAAGGATGTAAATATTGATCAGGATAAATCATTTACATCTCAATTTTATGTTGACAAGAAGAAATGTTTTGTAAAAACTATCTTGCAGTTCTAGTAGAGCAAATGCGGTCAATCTGTTTAGAGATAATTCACTCTGAAAGATAACCCCACATTTCACTGTGCTTTTGCCACTTGGAATTAATCACCTGACTAGAACAATTCTATATTTTTCAATCATCCTGTAGCAAGGTTATGTCTACTTATAGAACTTTTTAATGCAAAGCGCCCCCCCCCCCCAAACAACTCACACCTACCCCATGAGAAGTTGCAAAAGTACTTACCTCGTCCTGTAGACTGTAAGGCAGTTTTTCAATCCTTGTGTTTTCAAGCAGTTTCTCCTACATTGTGAAGCCTTGCATTCTGGCAGGCAGTCTTAGTTGCTGGGTTGGTGGAGTATGCTCCCCATCCTGGAAACTGAGAAGTTGCTGAGTATACCCTTGTGTATACTTGTGTATCTTGTTAAGCCAGAAAAACATGCAATCTAAAAACAATATTTCCGATTAGTTTTAAACAGAAAAATCCCCACACATTGTCTTATCTTTACTAGTTGTATTTTAAGACATCAAGTTTCCAGGTTAGGTTTGTTTTGTGTCATATCTGAAGTTATAAATGGTCATTCTCTCAAATTCCAGATTTCTACTGTTCTTCTCCCATACTGGTTTGAACTCATGAGCATATCAGGCATGGTCTCCCAAAGGATTACCCAAAAGAATTACCCAAAAGGACTACTCAAAAGAATTAAGTTCCACTCATACCTGATGTTTAGTGGAGTCCAGTTTAGGTGACATAAAACATGTCAAGTTTCCCTGCTTTTTACCAACCCATTCCTTGTTAACCTTTCAACTTAACATCTGTTGAAGATCTATCATGGGCTAGGTACTGTGCTAGGGACTAAAGATCGCCTTCTTGTATAAATGTGGTGGGAGTTGACCCTGGAGAGGTTGGGGGTCGGGTGAGATTAAAAAGGATTTTAATATACAGAGCTATGATAACTTTTAATCAGAAAAATGGGATAATCTATACAAAATGAATAGGAATTAATATACATTTAGAAACTATTAGGATTCCTGGTGAAAATACCCCAACACATTTGGTTTTTGTTGTAATATTACTCTCCTGCTATTCAGAACAAATCACATGAGGAGGATCCTACATCCTGCCATTTTGTTTCCCTAACCTAGTAAGTTTGTGTTTGGCTGCTTTATATTTTGGAACAAAATTAACAGAGGATGTTTTCTCAAGTCCACTTATTTTGCTTCTTGATAAAAGGAAGGAACATGCCAGTGAATTGTCAACCACTATATTCAAGGCTACCCCTTTTATTTCTCCAAATATAATCAGGCAGCAGGAAATTAATGTTTTTAATATTTATGATAACCATTGTTTCTCCTGGGTTAGTTTCTGATCTTTGTATTCTTGAACAGTATTTTCACAATGGTCTATCCATTTCAAAATTATGAGACTTTTTATTTCTCGGCTAAATTTTTTAATAGCTTTATATTTGTTGTTTAGGAGAAAATATAATAAGAGGAGATAAAGAAGCTATTAAGAATCTACTAGAAATATTTGATGGGTTGCTCGAATATCTTACAGAACACATCAGTGAAACATCTGACGAGAAAAGTAAGTTAAGAATTGAAAGTTGGTTTGGCTTATAGTCTATTTCTCTCTTTGTTTGCCTTTTATCTTTTTGCTTATTTTTCTAAGGAAATAAAGTCATTAATATACCTAATTCATGAAGTGAATTTCAATTCTTACTACTCCAAGTATTTAAAAACACTTAACTACCCTAGACCATCATTATGTCTTTTGCCATCTTGGATATTGCATGTAAATTACTTAAAACTTTAATAGCTAAATTCTGGCTAAAATTGCTTATTCCGTTCATAAAATTCCTTACTCTAAAATTTCATGTATCAGAACTGCTATTTTTGCTAAAAATTTCAGATGTTGCTGAGGCATCAGAAAGAAGTGGTATGTTTCTGTCTTCAGCCTATACTTAGATTGTGATAGACTACTCTTTATTTTACTCTTCAGCCCAGTTCCCCAATGGTAACAATTTATTATGTGAAATTTTGATTGTAAGCTTTTTAATGATATTTGTAAAAATCAGCATTGCCATATTTTCCAAAGGGGCTATGGTTATTTAAAATGGATTAGCAGGAATCTAGAAAACTTAAATAAGGGACCAGGAAAATGAATAACTATAAGAAAGTGAAAATCAAAATCAACAAAAAACTATGAACCAGAGACATTTTTAGGGGGGCGGCGGCGGGAGGGGAGGGATTGGGGTCAGAATGGGGGGGGGCTGCAATTGTATGGGGAATATAAAAATAAAATTTATTATTTAAAAAAAAAAAATGGATTAGCAGGGCCTCCCCTGGTGGCGCAGCGGTTGAGCACTGGGTTGCGAAGCTGCCCGCAGCCCCTGCGGCGCCAGTTTGATCCCCGGCTGCTCCCCGGCCACCAGAGGAGGGTCCCACATGGCGCGCAAACCTCTCCTGCCGCCCGCTGCTCCTCTCAGCAGTGTACTTCGGTCCTTCTGCCTGCTCTGCTCCCTGCTCTGGCTCTAGTGAATTCTCTCACCCTCCCACGCTTCTGACTGTACCCAGTGCTTGTATAAATAAATAAATAAATCTTTAAAAAAAAAAAAAATAAAATGGATTAGCAGTATACAAGGCTACTTACAATCTTTGGCTTAATAAATCCCATTTCTAGGAATTTATCCTAAGGAAATAATAGCGAGTTAGGCACATTAGAATCTTCATTGCAATGTTATTTATCTTTGGGGGAAGGGGGGGAAGCAATATGCATTAATAATTTGAGATTGGTTAAGTAAATACTGCCGTATCAGAGATAGAATAATACATGATCCATTTAAGAATAAGCTTCCTATTAATGAAGTTATCCAAAAACCGTTTTTAGCAGCAACTGCAATTGACATAAATTCCAGTACTAATAAAAATTCTGTGTAGGCGTATAATACCCCTATACAGAAATAGTATTAACTTGGGCTTTTATTGGTATTGTTTTTATTCTAAACAGGTGAAAGTGACCAAGGTTTTAAAGAATCCCATAGCGGGGAACCTTTGGAAGGGCCAGAAAGTACCAACGATTCCAAATCATCATGGAAAAGAGCTTCTTTTGGGAGGTAGGACTCAGTGTCTGGGAACTCAATCAAAATAGATTACTCTTTCCCTTCTATTAAGGATTAAAATTCCACATTATTACACCAGAATGGCAGCAAAAAAAGGCAAAGCTAATTTGAAAATTCTACTAATCTGTCATACTTTAAGCCTCCAAGAGTTTTAAGCACCTTCAGCTATATAAAAGCATTAACCACCTGCTTGTTTTTAATTTTTCCCTTGATCACCAGAGTAGTTTATGTTCCTTACAGAGAACTTGTAAAGTACAGAAAAATAAAAAAAGCAGAAAGAAAAGGTGAAATCTACCATTCAGAACTTAAATAACTGCTGATAACATTTTGTTGTATATTAATCTTTTTTTCTTTTTTTGGATTTTGTGATACTATCTATAGACATAATTTTGTTTCCTGTATTTAAATTTTTAACACATCCTCTTTAAACTGTCATGTTTAAATCATGTATAACATATTGGTGCATCGTAATTTACTAACCTATGAAGTGGTTGTTCCTGTTTTTATCATAATTATCTTTTATCTTTTTTTTGTTTTTTTAAAGATTTATTTATTTATACAAGCACTGGGGTACAGGCCAGAGGCACGGGAGGGTGTGAGAATTCACCAGAGACAGCAGGGAGCAGAACAGGCAGAAGGACCGAAGTACATTGCTGAGGGGAGCAGCGGGGGAGACAGGAGAGGTCTGCCTTGCCATGTGGGAATCTCCCTGGTCAGCCGGGAATTGAACCAGTGCTGCAGAGGCTGTGGACAGCTTCACAGTGCTGCACTTAATCCGCTGCACCACTGGGGAGGTCCCCCTAATTACCTTTTAATACCTCTGTCCCACCTCCCTCTCATATCTTTAAGCTAGAGGCAGAGCCTTAAGAGTTTTAAAATTTGTACTCTCATAGACAAAATATAGATATGTATTTCCCCCCGCTCTGAGTTGATCACTTGTTTCTGTTTTGTTTTCATTTATTTTAAATATTAAACATAAATCCACCACCATCCTTTGGATCCCCTCCATCTTAGCTCTGACCACCAATCTTTTTTTCTGGTTACCTCCGTTCTCTTGTCAAAAAGTCCACTGTGTCTATTTATCTGCTTTGTTTCCTTATATTCCTGTATATAGGTATGATGATATGATAGTTTCTCCTTCTGAATTATTTCACTTGCATAATCCTTTCTCTGAAAATGGCAAAATTTCATCTGTTATATATATTTACACACACACATCTTCTTTATCCAGTCATTCAAACATCTATCAGTGGGTACTTAGGTTTTTTCCACATCTTGGCTATTGTGAATAGTGCTGCAATTAACAGAGGTGCATGTAACTCTTCAGGTTAATGATTTTATATTCTTTGGATAGGTATGCAGAATTGGGAATGCTAATCACATGGTAGTTCTATTTTCAGGTTTTTGAGAAAGCGCCACACTCTTTTCCAAAGTGGTTCTACCAGTTTACATTCCTTTTTCCTCTAGCTCACCAACGCTTGTTAGCTCACCAACGCTTGTTAACGTGTCTTTTTATGTAAGCCCTTCTCACAGGTGTGAGTTACCTCATTATGGTTTTAATTTGTATTTCCCTAATAAGTGATGATGAGCATTTTTTCATATGCTTGCTGACCCTCTATTTGTCTTCTTTTAGACAAGTGTGTAGTCAGATGTTCTGATTTTTGATTGGGTTGTTTGAATTTTGGGTTGTCTAAATCTTTAGATACCTTAGATATTAACCCCTTATTAGATGTATGTCAGCTGTTTCCTCCCATTTAGTAAGCTTATTCCTTTCTGCTTTTTTTCCCCCACTGTGCAGAAGCTATTTAGTTCATTTCCCTTAACATTGGAGTTGTCACTCCCCAAACATATCTGTAAGGCTGATGCACGATTGTATCACCTGTTTTCTTCTATGCATTTTATAGTTTCAAGTCTTATATCCAACACTTATATTTTTGTGTATGGAGTTAGACTATAATCCAGTTTCTTTTGCGTGTGGCTGTCAGTTTTTCCACACCATTTATAGAATGATTTTTTCTTTCTCCATTGTATGATCCTGGTTCCTTTGTCATAAACTGTCATTTTAGATGTGGGTTTATTTCTTGGCTTTTGAGTCCATTCCATTGATCTTTGTTTTTAATTCTATACCATACTGTTTGAATTTCTGTCATTTTGTGATATAGCCTGAACGTCAGGTAATGTGATGCTTCCATCTTCTTTTTTCTCAAGATTGCTTTAGCTATTTGGGGTTCTTTTATGGTTTCACATAAATTTTAGTGTTCTTTGATCCATCCAGCCACTCTGTGCCTATTGATTAATGAATCATGCCGTTAACTTTTAGGGTAATTATTAAAATGTAAGTATTTGTCATTTTTTTGTCTTTTGGATATTTTCATAGTTTGTACTTTTCTTGTGTTTTGGTAAATTCCTTTTGTGTTACATTTGAATTCCCTTTTCAGTTTCTTAATTCTTCTATGGATTTTTCTTTTGGGGTTACCATGAGGTTTATGTATGAGGGATACCTTATATCATTAGATTATAACCCATTAGGTAGATTGTAACACAGTAGGTAGATTAATCATGAACTCATTCTAATAATGCACAGTTTCTCCTCCCTTACCACACGATATATTTTCACTGTCTTGCTGCTTTTAGGTAGGGTTTATTTTCATTTTATGGAAGTCCCTTTAGTATTGCAAGGGTAGTTTAGTGATGATGAATCCTCTTAATTTTTGTTTATAAAGTTCTTTATCACTCCTTCAATTCTGTGTGATAGTCAAGCAGGGTAGAGTGTTTTTGGTTGGAAATCCTTTATGTTCAGCACTTTAAATATATCATGCCTTTTCCTTCTGACTTGTAAGATTTGTTTTTTTTCCCCCTCCATGCTCACACCTTGACCTACGTAAGGTTTTTGTCAAGAAATTTGCAGATATCTTATAATGGGTTCCCTTGTATATACTTCATTTTTCTTTAGTTGCTTTTAGAATTTCTCTTTATTCTTAATCTTTGTCATTTTAATTATGTCTTGGTGTATATGGTTGTACTTCTTGCTAACTAAAGTTTGAGTGAATAGCTGATACTCATTAGTCAAGGTTTGAAAAGTACAGTGCCTTGATGTTTAGGTATAGTACCTTGTGGGAAATGTGTCTTAAAGGATACCATAAGATGAATTTCTTGACGTTATTTTTCATTATTAGATTAAAAAAAAAAAAAAGTAAAAGTGAAACAGTACAGGATATTTAATGCAAAATTAATGCCCTACCAAGACTTCCCTTCAGTCCCATATCCCGAGAGTAACCAATGTTGTTAGTTCTGTGTGTATTCTCCTATATATTTAATCTTTGATGCTATTCACAGTTGTTTCCATAATCAAAATAAAACTGATTAACCACAGAAAGAAGTCTCCCTTTTTCTGTACATAGCATTGAGTAATCTGAACACCCACAGGGAGGCTGCTTGAAGCAACTCTCAGGAGTCTTATGGGAAGGGCCCTCTGTGGTATGGTCTGACCCAGTGTAAAGGAGGGAACTCTTTCAGGTACTCCTTGTCATCTGAGGCATTGGGTCCCACTTGGGATGGAGATGAAACAGAATCCACTGGTGAACTAATTAGACTTGGAGATACTGCACACACCTTTTCACTCAGAAGTAATGGTGAGTAAACTTTAAAATCAGTTATTTTTATTCAACATACAGATATAGAAATGTAATAGTCAATACTTAGGAGTGTTTATATGCTGAGAAGACTAGAGAAAACCCTAATCAGGTATCAGAATTGAAATTCCAGAATACTGCCATTACCCACTGGGTGTTAACCAATACCAATCAAATGGGATTCTACAGGCATATGAGCAAATAGGTATATTCAAGTCTGTTGTGTACTGTGTGGGAAGGAATTCTAGATGCAGTACACTCTCAATACCTTTAGGAATAGTTTCCTGAATTGGGTGTCTCACTTTTTTCATGTTTCAGCTAGTAAGTCTACAATCCAGTAGCAATTTTTCTCCCAAGATTTAGGTCACATTTCCAGTAGTTTACTGCTTATTCACAGTAAACCTGAGTATCTGCCAGACCTGCTGGAGGAGGTCAGACTCCATTCAGCTTTCTCTCCTGCCCTCCTTGGTTGCCATACTCTTTCCTGGCATCATATTGTTTCTTCTCCTGGGATACTCTTGCTTCCTTTATCTTCCTAGCAAACTTAACCAACAGACACCCGTGTCCCTTACCTGCCCCGGACTTTGAGGCTCTGCATTCCGACATTGTGTCCTTCTCACCTTATTTTGGTGAACATCTTTCACACTGCATAGTAAATGTGAGTTTGTCTATTATGTAAAATCTGAATCCCAGGGACAGTAGCCATATCTCATACACATTCAGCAAATGTTTAATGCCTTCCCTGGACAGGCAGTGGTGATACAGTGGTAAACAAAATAACACACATATCCTTTCCCTCATGGAACTTACATTCTCATGGAGGCAGCCAATAAAAAAAGACAGATAAATGAAATATATTGTAGAATTATTCATCCTAATATTTCAAAATTTAGCAAACATTAAGCCCACAATAACTTTTTTTTTTTTTTTTTTGAGCAGAAGAACATGAATGTTAGAGTGGAATTAACTACATTAAATTGGGAATCAAGTGACCTATAATCTCATCCAGGCTCTGGTACTGGCTGTATGAATCTGGCAATACCCTTAACTTTTCTGAGCCTCAGTTACTTCAAGTGTGAAATTTGAAAACTTGACTGAACTGTCTGTAACTTACGTCTCATCATTAATGCTGATTTCAAGGAATAGATGCTGCACTTAATAAATTATATCTGGAAGATTAGATAGTAGATCAAAGACATGTGCTTGCCACTGGGAAAGACAAAGTAATAGAATGATCAGAGTCAAGTGTAGATTAGACAAGAATGTTTTTTTTTTTTTTAAAGTTTATTGTGTACTTTTATTTTTTATTTTTTATTTTTTTATACTTTTTTTTATAGAGGCATGTTTTTATTTATTTATTTATTTTGTTTTGTTTGTTTGTTTATACAAGCACTGGGTACAGTCAGAAGCGCGGGAGGGTGAGAGAATTCACCAGAGCCAGAGCAGGGAGCAGAGCAGGCAGAAGGACCGAAGGGGGCTTCCCCTAGTGGCACAGGGGTTGAGCGCTGGGCTGCAAAGCTGCCCACAGCCTCTGCAGCGCTGGTTCAATCCCCGGCCCCAGGCGAGGGTCCCACATGGCACACAGACCTCTCCTGCTGCGCCCACTGCTCCCCTCAGCAGTGTATTTCATCAGTCTGCCTGTTCTGTTCTCCACTCTGGCTCTGGTGAATCCTCTCACCCTCCTGTGCTTCTGACTGTACCCAGTTGCCTGTATAAATAAATAAATCTTTAAAAAAATAAAAATAAAAAAATAAATAGAACCAAAGCTTTCAGGCTTGATAAAAAAAAAAAAAAAGAAGGACCGAAGGACACTGCTGAGGGGAGCAGCGGGCGGCAGGAGAGGTCTGCGCACCATGTGGGACCCTCCTCCGGTGGCCGGGGAGCAGCCAGGGATCGAACCGGCGCCACAGAGGCCGCGGGCAGCTTCGCAACCCAGCGCTCAACCGCTGCACCACTGGGGAGGCCCCGACAAGAATGTTTCTTGAAGTAGAGAGTTGGGTGACAGAAGATGGAAGGGATGTGATTTTAGAAATGGGATATGATAGCAAATGCCATCTAGAAAGACTGTCTATCAAAAGTGAATTGCTCTCAGAATTTAGGTGTTCAAATTATAATGCAATTAAGGCAGAAGTGAAAAAGTTGAGAGAAGCCAGGAAAAATGTTTGAACTTGATATGAATGCTTATAGTAACTACCTTTGTATTTGGTTTTAAGTCATCACATACCCATCATCATATACATTCACAAGCATCTAATAAAGGCTTTGGTTCCTGGACTATGAAACATTAGTTTTAGGTGCACAACAATTATTGGGTGTGTGTGTGTTTATACATTATATATATAAGGTATATGTGCTACATATCGTCCATAGATATGTCTCATATATGAGATACATATTCACATATATGAGATACATATATATCTCAAAATGAGCACAATAGTAAGTCTAGTTAGCATCTATCACCACACAGAATATTTTTTTCTTATGATGAGAACTGTTATGGTACTTTTAGTGACTTTCAGAGATACATATCTACAGTATTAACTGTGGTCACCTTGCTGTACAGTACATCCTCATGAGGTACTTATAATGAAGCATTTATACACAACTTTTGATCACCATCACCCATTTTCTTCTACTCAGGGCCCCCCATTTTTTTTGTAAACCAAATGTACATTTATTATGTAGATGTTTATATAATTGAAATTATGTTTTCAGTGGAGAAGCTCAGAGTTTTTGCAGTATCTAAGAGTACATCATCAGACAATATAAAGATTAAGGAGAAATATTTGAATGTGTAACTTTCATCCTGACAAATAAAGGTTCCAGCTATTAGCTAAGCATGAGATTTTTAGGAGAAATTCCATCAAACAGGCAGCATATGAGAGACATTCAGGAAAATGGATCCAAGAAAAAATGCATGGTAAAATGCCTGGTAAAAATGAATTGACATCAAACTCAGATAGTAGAGAAACTGTGGACCCAGTTATGGATTTTGAATATTAGATCTTAGATGGTATTCATGTGAAATAAGTTATGGAGGAGAATCACATTTTAATCTGAAAATGGCCATATTGAACTAGATTGTAGAAAAGGAAAGCACAAAAATAATGTTAATTTTTAAAAGTTGTCAGAGGTGTATCAAAATGTTTTAAATATATAGTGTCTTAGTACATATTTCATGGCTCTTAGGGAGTACAAGGTGAATTTTTCTGTATTTAGTGATTAGGGCAATTGTACATAATGGCAATAGTGAGTTTTCAGGGTACATTCTGGTATCTTCAAAGTGAGGGATAAGTTTATGGTGAAACTTTTCCTTAAACTGAAGGACTAGTCATTTAGAGTGGGAAAGTTATGAGTATTTCACTTGGACAGTTTGTGTATTATGGATTTCTAAGGGAGCAAAGTGGATGCTCCCTCAATTTCAGAAATATTTTAGCATAGTTCTCTATGTAATAACAATATAAAGTTGATTCAGTATATTAAACATTAAAAAATTGGACGAAACATTTTGTTTGACTTATCTCAGTTATCTTAGGGATATACCCACACAGATCAGCCTTTATAAAGCTCTGACACTTATTTTTCTAAAGCAAAGTAATAACACACTGTGTAAAATTTTTAAGTTATATAAATCATTCTGGACTACAGACCTACATGTTGCTCTCATAGTTCCATGATTATGCCATTCCCGAGAATTTTTTTTGAGATTTTTAACTTCTGGGTATAGAGCTTTCTGACATTAGTATAACATTCAGCAACTATTTTGCTACCTAAAAAGATTTTTACCTCTTAATATTTTCTTTTCTAGGTACCCAAGATCCTAATGACATGCAGTTTAAAAAAACCTCACCCATACCATCCTCCACATCACATGAAGAGATGCTGAAACCTCCCTCATCTAGTTTTTTGTCCAAGAGTAGGACATCCTTTATTGAAAACAGTGAGTAAATGTATGATTAGTTCCTGAAGTCACTGCTCTGTGTGGTTTAGTTCTTGGGACAATTGCTACTGCTTATATTAGTCTTTTTACTTTTGTCACTCTATACTTAATGCAGTCCTTTTTGGTTTTACATGATCTTGCTTGCTATTAATTATGAGCCCTGATTTCTTAAGATGACCATATTTTTGGTCACATATTTTTGCATCCTTTATTATCTGAATTTTCTCCTCGCAAAGAGACTTTAAGACTTGTACAAGATTCTCTAATATGTATTTTAGTTGGTGGTCTATGATTTTTTTCGTGAATGACAAAACATAGTAACTTGAAAAAACAGCCTCTTGTAGTTAGCTCTGGGATTGTCATGTGCTCAGTATTGTGTCATTGTTAATGGCTAACTAGTTTTATGACATGTGACTGAATCATAATTTATATAGCTGTTCTTCAAACCAATTAGGCTTTTAATAATTTTTAATTTTAAAATAACTTTTCAGAGAATATTTTTATGATAGCAATTTTTTTTACCTATATCTTACGTGCTTTTTTTAAAAATCTAGTTAAAAATGTATTTCTAAGCAGTGCATCTGAACATGCTTATATAGATATGTATGTATATAAACTGATTATTTATTATTTCTTAGTTTCATTTAATGTTCACTTTAATTTGTTCAACTAGTGGAAATTCCTCCTGTGGATATGATTCCAAGTGCTAGAAAGCTAGGGGAGCCTATACAATCTGCTATTCCTTTACATCCACCCTACCACCCTTCAGCGCCTCGAGCATCCTGCCCCATGGGTAAAGAATACCTGCATTCAAGTCACTGCTCCCCTACCATGAATTCTACTGGAGAGGGCACCACATTTTCTGTGGTGAGTAGAAATGCTTGTTTTCTATAGTTTTAAAGGGGTGTCTGTCTACCTGTATTAGTCAAGGATACTGTACCAGTCAGAGTGCTGCCACTTCTTAAAATTTATCCCTGCATGATCTTATTCTAGCAAGACAAGGACAGGAGAAATGTATAAAATGGGAACTAGCACATATAAGGAGTAGCACATAAGGAGTAGCACATATATGGGAGTAGCACATATTAAGTGTTTCTTTTGTGCCAGGCACAGTTCAAGGTACTTTATAGGTATTGCATAATTTATTCCTGACAATATCTCTGAAGCAACTATAATTTTTTTATTTCCCGTGGGGAAACTGATAGAGGTTGAGTATTGTCTGAGGTCACACAGCAGCTGTAGAATCAGGATTCAATCGCAGGCATTCTGGCTTCAGAACCCATTTTGTGTGCCCTTAATTAAATAATTCTAAAAACTTCAAGAAAGTATGAAAAAGAACCTTTCTTCCACAATCCTGTTACCTAGCATTAACTACTATTAACATCTTGACCTACTTGCTTCCACTCTTTCCTCATGGGAAAAAGACCAATATGGCCATCTTGTCCCTCTTTTCCTAGAAACAAGAACAAGCAGGCATATCTGCAAAGGTTGAATTTATAAACAATGATATAATATTATTAAAAATTCCAACAGTGCAGAAAAAGTACAAAGATGAAATAAGCATCCTTAGCATTAGGTGACCACCATCCTACACATTCTGGTCATCTATTCAGGTAGGAGGGTGGACAGATTAAAAACTGAAAAAAGATCACAGGATGAGGATTACCTTTGCAGGAGTCTCAGGAAGGATGGTGGAAGAAGGGCTTCTGAGTTGCTGGTAATACTCCAATTCTTGACCTGAGTGGCAGTTAAGTGGGAATGTTCATTTTGTAATAAGAGCAGAATTCGTACACTTAAATTTTTTTAAAATGACAATAGTATAGTTTACTAAAAGTATTTAATTTGCTTCAATAAAAGAAAAAGATAATGAAGTAAAATTAAGGAGGCTGTTAAACATCGTAAGGAATATTTTCTGTAAGATTCCTTCTAAGGTTAGAAAGATAATGTTTACTTTAATACTTTTGCACTTGTGATTTGTTGTGTCTTCTTCCAAAGCAATTTTCTCTGTTTTTAAAAGGAACCAGATGATAGTGTTTTCTTCACTTCCAAGTCGCCTAAAGATAGCCAACAGGAAATATATCCAGCGCAGGTCCAGTGTCCTAGGACAAGGAAACTTCCCAAAGGAAAAAGGTAACATTACTGCAGCTCTTAATGCTTATACTCTGTTTGCAAAGGACTTGCAAAAAGTAAGGGTAGTGTAGTGTCTAAACTTGGCTGTGAAGACCAGTATGTAATATTTGTTAAAGTATTTACAGTTAAAAAATTCAATTTTTTTTTAACCAGGTATATTTTGCTATTTTAATGTCACATGGTCACTTATTGCAGATATGAAAACAAAACTGCAGTCTCATCATGGGATTCACCTTCCTCCCAGAGGCCCAGAAAGAGGTTAACAGAACAAGAATTACATGCAGTATCAGAGAAACTCTCTCAGCGGCTCTCTGAACTAGATTGGGTAAGTCTTGATTATTATCTATACTGAGATTCCCATGCTTTGTGAACATTTCAGTGATCTTCCAATTTGAAGATAAAAGTAAAGTACTAGAAAATTAGTTGTCTCATTATGTTACATAAGTCAAGCAGGTATGACAGAATGAGAAATTATCACCTGGATTTTCATGGTATAACGAAATTTGGTACAGACTTAACCCAAATTTTATAAAAATGAATTGTCAGTTAATATGAATGATTATGTTAAACTGTTTACATACATCTATACAGTTTCTACTTGTTATCAAGTCAAAGACAGAGTTGATGTGAAATTGGATGGATCTCAGATTCTCAAAAATACAGTATTATAGGTTGATCTAGCATTGAATAAATCTCTGATTTACTTTAAGTTTATTGAGACTGAGTAATCTGTAGCACTAATATGCCCTTGAAAAATTAGACATGCATAAATATCTGAAAATTCATTATCAGGGCTGATAACTTTTTAAAAGTTCTGTTTACTTCCAAATTGCATTCTAACTGAAATCAATGAATGATACTGAAGAGAATTTTCTCTATAGATGTTAAAATGTGCCCTGGGAAATCGAACTAAAGAAACGACTGACTATGAAGAAGATACTGGAAATGAAGAGACACTATCTCAGCACAGTGACAGCATCATGGAATGTGGACCAAAGAAGCGAAGGCCAGGTACCTATTCATTCCAGACATAGCAGGATGAGGATGGCCCAGGGAACCACTAAGACAATTCCCCTTTTCACAACTAGCATTTGCCTAAGAAGAATGGAACATAAAACGGTTTGAAGAGAGAAGTGATTTATTTAATCTCTTGGGCAGTGTGGAATTAGGAGGACTAATTACTAAGTAAGGAAGATTCAGGACTACTTAGAAAACGCTAAACTACATTAACTTTTGTTCAAAAGCATGAGCTTTATGCAGATAAACTATGTACATGTGTATATGCACTTCACCTCCTCAGGACACAGGCAAGTAAAAGGATTGCAGACATACGGCTCAAAGGGTTTAATATGTTCTTCTTCCTCCATCACCGGGAGCACTTAAATGAGGGCCTTTGTGTGCAGCAGGTTTTTCATATGTTACTTCATTTTCAACCCAAAGTTGTATATTGAACCTAAGTATTTATTTGAGATAGTAAATACCTATGTCTGTTTACTTGGTGTGGCTAACCATACAAACTAATACAAATTAATTATAGGTGAGAGTACATTTTGCACATTTACAGTCTGTATCTTGGATTTGGTAAAAATCAACCACTAGGCTTCCAACTTAACATTTCTGGCTGTCAGGAACAAATGCATATGTCCCTTCTGTATTGTAGGACTTGCCACGCATAGAAAGTCACCCTACAGATCTCATTCACTCTCTCCATCACCAGTTAACAGAAACAAGCAGCTCCTCATGGAGAGAAAGAGACAGCAAAAGTCAAAAGAAACAGATGAACGCCGATGCCAAGCAAAGGTACATACCAGTTACCTTAAGTCAAGTGCACCAAGGAACATGCTTTGGTTAAAAGCTTAGAATGCATTTGATATTCTCGAGCTGAGTACATGATCAAAAATTATGTAACATAACATTTATGTCTTCATTATGGAGCATAAAATTTGCACTTATGAAACTTGAGAAGACTGTTGCATATAGCCCACAGCTCCAGTGCATTAAGAACGAGATCGGGATTGATTATTTTCAGAGATGAAAAAGAATTTGGGGCAAATTAAATGTTATCAGACCACTTGAGTGGTAGATAGGATGAAAGTGCCCAATATAAGAATGAAAAGTGTGATTGAGGTTTCAACAAGGAGAATGGTATGATTAACAAGGAAGGCTTTCTGCTATGTAAGAGGCAAGAATTTTGAAATGTAGCATAAATTTAGAATTCAAGTTATTTGCTATAGTAGTATTTTATAATGATATTTTAAAATAGTATTTTAAAAGCTGAAATAAGTTCAGGTGTCTTAAAATGATGTGTAACCAAAATTATTTTAAAAACTGCTAACAATAAAGGGCCTCCCCGGTGGCGCAGCGGTTGAGCTCTGGGTTGCGAAGCTGCCCATGGCCTCTGCAGCGCCAGTTCGATCCCCGGCTGCAACCCGGCCACCGGAGGAGGGTCCCACATGTTGCGCAGACCTCTCCTGCCGCCCGCTGCTCCCCTCAGCAGTGTACTTCGGTCCTTCTGCCTGCTCTGCTCCCCGCTCTGGCTCTGGTGAATTCTCTCACCCTCCCGTGCTTCTGACTGTACCCAGTGCTTGTATAAATAAATAAATAAATCTTTAAAAAAAAAAAAAAAAAAAAAAAACTGCTAACAATAAATACTTAAATATCCAACCCATCAAAGACATATGCTTGCAACCCAATGCATAAAGTTTCCACAATACCTTAAATACACTGTTTTGATAGTTGAACACATTTTGCTATACTTTCAGTATGGTGGAGCTTTAACCCTTTCTTATATTTAATATTATCACTGACTTAAATTTGTTTGGATATTCTTTGGTTCCTAAACAAAAAATTTACTATTTGCATTTAAGAGAAATGGCAACAAATAGGATATGGGAAAGGAGAAATAGAAAAAAAGAATGGGACTTCCCTGGTGGCACAGGGGTTAAAGACAGAGCTATCAAGCTATCCCCAGATACCGCAGCATGAGTTTGATCCCCAGCGGGCCTGGGAGCAACCCACATGGCGCAGCAGACCTCTCCTGTCTCAGCCACTGCTCCCCTCACCAGTGTATTTCAGTAGATCTGCCTGTTTTGCTTCCCCACTTTCTCTGGTGAAGCCTTTCACCCCCTGCATCTCTGGCCTATACCCCAGGTCTTGTATGAATAAATAAATAAATCTTAAAAAAAAACCAAACTAACAAAAACAAGTGTTCTATGAAATTTCATTTTATGTCCCAACAAATCTAAAAAAGAAAGGGAATGGCAGAATCTTAGGTCAATTTTTTCCCTTCATTTTCACTTGTGCATGTTTTTAATAACTTAATAGCATATTGCCTTTTCCCCTTTAGGCACTAACTGAAGCATTTGAAAGAGAACTAAGAAGAAATAAAGTTCAAGAGAATACTGGACTGCTAGGAATAAATGAGGAGGAGGAAACAGTGGGTAAAAGTCTCTACTGTAATAAATGCCATTTGATCAGATCATTGGGAAGTACAGAGATGATCTTTCTAAAAGGTTAAAAGAATCAGCAGGACTGATTAGCTCCTCAGAAGTCAGGATTTCGTTTCCTGATGTAGGATTTTCTCTTAATTCAGAGGGCAGCCAAGTTCTAAGAAAGGGTAAGATGTAGCACCAAAGAACACTAGTATTTCTCCTCCTTCCATCAGTTTCTAAAGGGTTCTGCTGTTCAGCAGTTCATCAAAGGTGATGAGAAAGATGGCTGAGGCTGACAGGGTGAAGGAGAATAAGGGAAGACAGCAAGTTCCAGTTACTTTGTAGCTGGTTGGAGGACACCCAGAGCATATGTTTTTTAATAGCCTTTCAAAGGGATGGTTACAGGAGCTAACTGAAAGCAGGGGGGAAATGCTTATGCTAAAAATGTTCGTTAACAAAGCATGATATATAGTATAGTATGATGATAACTAAGCATTGTTTAAAAAAATTTTAATCTATATGGGAAAAGTTGTCAAAGCAGCATGGACATCAAAACAGTATGAGTGGTTGTATTTTAAGTGTGGGACTATGGTGGGGATGAAACTTGAAGAGGATTCAGTGGCTTTTCAAATTCTAAGGGATGCCGGGGACCAAAAGATGCTTTTAACTAAGAAAGATAAATACTAACCAGATTTTAGAAATTTGAAGGCAGGCGTTTAAACTGGTGACTAGTTATTTTTGTCAATATGTAATATGTAAGATGATCTATGAAAGTTATTAGATCTCTCCTTTATTTCTATTCTGTTTTATATCTGCTCTAAGGACAAAATAAACAGAGCTGTTCGTAAAGGAACTTCAAAATGTAGTCAGCCCTGGAAGATTTACTCTAGAAGAACCACAACTCAAAGTCCAAGAGATGGTTTGCCAAATAAAGCAGTTCCAAGTAAGAACCACAAAATTGTATTTTATGGAAAGCTGGCATCCTTTGAAAGTGTGTGCTACATTCCAAGGACACAACACTGAAAACATCCACAAGTCAGCTGGAGAAAGTTCCTTCTTTTATCACTGCCATATGGTAGATTTCTGTAAAGAGAGATAAAACTCTTTATGGCATTCATTTAAAACTCTTAAATACCAGCTTTGGCTTCACTCTGCCCACTTCCACTGGTTGCCTTTGGTTTCTGGGAAGGTGGCAGAACCAGAGAGGTGTTCCACAGCAAACAGATGGCCTGTTCAGCTCCAGTTATATTTACAGTTTGTGCCAGTGAGTGTTAAGAGTCCTATTATGGAGAAAACGAGGTCATGAGAAATGCCAGGATGCAGCTTCAAAGACCGCTGGCCTTTTAACTACATCCCATTAGACAGTCTTTGCCTCCAAGGAGGGCTGAGGAGTCTGACCACACGCACAGCATCCACCCTGGCACCGAGTCAGCTGAGCGGGTCAGCTGGACCTTCACAAGACCAGCATGTCTTCAGTCAGGACTGTTGAGTTTATTTTCATCTTTATAAGTAGTTGGCTTAATCAGGTCAAAGAAAGGAAAGCAAAAGAAGTATGTACATTTAGAATGTTCTTTTCAGGATCAGAACCACATCATTTAGATAAGCTCTGATCTAGCAGAAAGGTGGGATGAAAGTTGCCATTAAGGGCCTCCCTGATGGCACAGCGATTGAGCGCTGGGTTGTAAAGCTGCCCGCAGCCTCTGCAGCGCCGGTTCAATTCCCAGCCACCAGGCGAGGGTCCCACATGGCACGCAGACCTCTCCTGCCACCTGCTGCTCCCCTCAGCAGTGTACTTCGTCAATCTGCCTGCTCTGCTCTCCGCTCTAACTCTGGTGAATTCTCTCACCCTCCCGCACTTCTGACTGTACCCAGTGCTTGTATAAATAAATAATCTTTAAAAAAAAAAAAAAAAGATAGTTGCCATTAAAAGCTATCAGTCTGTCTCAGATTAAGAGTGTCTTTGTTTCTGTTTTTGCTTTTTTACCTTGCAGTGAAAGTGAATGAGCAGAGTCTCCTGCCTCTGATGCTGGAGCAGTTTCCATTTCTCTATGTTTCTGGACAAACACTAAGCAAAATGTGGAAACAGCAAATTGCACAGATTGAACAGCTTAAAAAGGATGCATGTAGAGAAAATCGATCGAAGAAGAAACTCCAGGATGAAGTAAGTGAACTCTCAAATTTAAGCATAGAAATATAACCCACAAAGGGGAAGAACTTTTCCTTACAGAGTAGTGAATCGCATTACTGACCTCCTTTTCTGCTCCCCTAAAAGATAGAAGAAGCCTTAAGAAGGCAGGATCTCCTTACTGCACTTGTCAAGAAAGAATATGAACATAACAAGAGACTGGTATGTCAAAAGCAAGTTGGATATTGTAATTTTGAAGTTAAGTTGCATTGTTTACTTTTATATGTACAAGCTATAAACTCAACTTCCTAACACATGTGGAAGCCAGCTAGCCCTTCAGCCAAAACTGATGAGGGGAAAAGGTGCTAGGTGCTTTATATATAGTTTCATTTTATCTTTATAGTGACATACTGGGGATATTTCCTTTGAAATAGAAAACCTGAGGCTTTGAGATACCTATTGACTTGCCCTGGGCCTCCCATAATCAGTATGGGGCTAGGCTGAGATTTTATTTCCTTTTTTTCTTTTTCTTTCTTTTTATATTCCCCATACATAGGCTGAGATTTTAATCCAGATCTGTCTACTTCCACAGCCCCTTCAAGGCGCCAGATGGTTGCATTTTAGTGCTTTTTTGTCTTTACCCATTTTTCTCAGGTCCCAAGTAAAGAGCTGAGGTAGTTTACCAGCCTCCACTGTGACAGGATTTAGAACTGTACATAGCACACACATCCTTTGTTGAGTATAACGAAGGGAGAAAGCAGAGCAAAGGTAGCATGCCGGAGGGAGAGATTTAAAAACCCTTGGTTGAGTGTAGAGTAAGCAAAGTGTAGAGAACTATTCTAAACAATTCCAAAAGAAGGGGAAGTCATCACAAGAACTGAATGTGGTACTTTTGTATTGGGAATGGAGGGGGACAAATATCTAAACACCAAGTTGAAAGCTTTATGTACATGGCCTCATTTCATCCTCACTGTTTTATAAGATATTGTCTAAATTTTCTTAGTTTTGACTAAGTTTTGTTTGAAAGTGTGTGTAATTATTCCCTTTTTTTTTTTTTTTAAGATTGATTTATTTATTTATGCATATAAGAGCTGGGTAAAGGCCAGAGATGCAGGGGGTGAGAAGATTCACCAGAGACAGCGGGGAACAGAACAGGCAGACAATGAAATACACTGCTGAGGGGAGCAGCGGGTGAGACAGGAGAGGTCTGCTGTGCCATGTGGGTTGCTCCCTGGCCACTTGGGGATCGAACTTGTGCTGCAGAGGCTGCGGACAGCTTCATGGTGTGGTGCTAAACCCCTTGCCACCACTAGGGAGGCCCTTTTCTGTTAATTTTTTTTTTTTTTTATTAGAACAACTGGTACCTTTTTTTTTTTAAATGAATTTTATTTTTATAATCCCCATACAATTGCAACCCCCTTATTTTGACCCCAATCCCTTTTCTGTTACTTTTAAACTGACATCTCAGTGAGGCTTAGGTGACCCTCTGGTGGAATGGGGAGATGAGATCCCTATTTCCACCTTGAACATTGCTGTTCTCTGCAACAGAGGGGCTCAATGGGACAGTTCTTTGGACTGAGGTGCCAAAGGCTCTCTGTCTGCTCAGGCCTTAGGCTACTGGTCCGCCACACTTGACTTCCTGCTTAAAAACACTATGAGGAGGAATGGGGCAGATGACAACACCGGAGTCCATCTCCTCTTCCTTAACTCTTTCTCCCATCCCCTTTCCCTTTCTTAGCAAGACTTCAAGGACCGAATTCATAGGCAGAAGTTGACTCAATCAAAGATAAAAGAAAATCGGCAGCAGATCATTCGTGCCCGAAAATATTATGATGAATATAGAGTTCAGTTGCGTGCCAAAATGTTGAGAATGAGAACCCGGGAAGAAATGGTAAATATGGCTTTTTCCATCTGACCCTGTTAAAAAGGTGTAGTTTGTCAGTTGCTAACATTCATTCCACCGCCTTTGTGACTCTTGCCAAATTTGAATCCCGAATCCAAATCCAAGTTCTAAAATGTTAACCATAAGAGTTCAGACTTGTTCACACCTTAATTTTATTACCCACAGTGCATCTATCCCTTCCCCTTATTTAAGGTCTTAATTTTCTTTCACCTCCTACACAGAAGTACTTTTTAGTACAGTTACTTGAAGAGTTTGGGAACAGGTTATGAGAGAGAAGCTTAAGGTGTGAAAGATGACTTAAGATTCCACACAAAATCAGGAAGGTAATGTAGGACAGATATGCTATGAGGTGTGTGTTTGCACAAGAATGTGCGCTCTCATTCTAATCAAGCTGGAATGCTTACTCTTTTGGGATTCCAAACTGTCAGTAAATGTTACTGCTAGCATAAAACATTAATGTGAGGGAGGGCCTCCCCTGGTGGCGGAGCAGTTGAGCGCTGGGTTGCGAGGCTGTCCGCAGCCTCTGCAGCGCCAGTTTAATCCCCGGCCACCTGCGAGGGTCCCACAAAAAAAAAAAAAAAATTAAGGTGATTATAGGTAATGAGGCTAAATACTCTGAGGTAGGTTATACAGATTAAAAAGGTTTTGACCTTGGTTGTGTAAAAGTGTTCCATTAACAAACCTACAGTTTAAAATTCCAGTCTTAAAAAAAACAAGCTACATCTGAAATTTTCAGGCTTACTTTAAAAAAATTTTAAAAATAAATAAAAAGGTTTTGAGAGGTTAAAATAACTTGACAAAGGCAGTAGTGCTAGCTAACAAATGCATGGCTGAAAGAACCAGTTCTTCAGTCAGGAATTGTTACTAATCAGTGGAGGGCAAGGGGGCATATCCAAATTCTTTGAACAATTTGTTTCCTGTGTCCTGCTTAGATAATAAACCACCTCACCCCCAAACATAGCACATGTATAATGTTTCTGCCCTGGGATTCTTCTTAATAAATTTAGCTGCTTGAGACTTCTTTTCTGAAAGTAGTAAAGATATAGTATGTATGGGATATATGAGATATAAGAAAAGATAAAGAAAACCATTATTCATCACAGAAATAGAAATCAAAACCACACTGACCTACCACTCTTACACACTAGGATGGTTAAAGAAAAAAAGATAAATACTGGCAAATTGTGGAGAATTAGAACACCTTCCCTGGTGGATTTGTAAAATGGCATAGCCACTTAGAAACAGTTCTCAGAATATTTTGGCAGTTCTCAAAAGGTTAAATATAGTCTACCATACGACTTAGCAGTTTCACTCCTGATATATCCACACAAATAACTTGTCCACATATGTTCACATTACCATTATTTATAATGGCCAAAAAGAGTACACCACCCAAATGTCTATTAACTGATCACTGGATTTAAAAAAAGTGATACATCCATACAGCATCATGCTATAGATGAATCTTGGAACTATGCTAAGTGAAAGAAGGCAGACACAAAAGGCTGAACATACATTCCATGTATATGAAATGTCCAGAACAGGCAAAGCTATAGATAAGAATGATTTAGTGGTTAATAGGAGGCTCCTAATGGGTATAGAGCTTCTTGTCGGAGTGATGAAGATGTTCTGAAATTACTGTTGATACAACCTGTGACTATATTGAAACCTACTGAATTATATCTTTAAAGGCTGAATTTTATGCTATATATATCTCAGAGCTGTTACTTTAAAAAAAAACCTTTGTAAAATATGATCAGTACATCTCTCCAGTGAAGTTCAGCATAACTATTTTCTGATTGAATAACTGACAGATATTTAAGAAACTGTTTGAAGAAGGCTTACAAATTCAGAAGCAGAGATTACGAGACCTAAGAAACTATGCCAAAGAAAAGAGAAATGAACAAAAGCAACAACACCAGAACGAACTGGACTCAATGGAGAACTACTATAAAGACCAGGTGAGCTCACTCTTGCTTCACTGACATTCTAATGTGCTTAGTCCTAACCAGCTGTGTCAAAAGTTAGCTTGATCTGTTAAACAGTAAAGCTCCAGACATTAACTCAATTTGTCACTATACAGGTTAGGCCCCAAAGATTTAAATTTAAGATGAAACATACTAGTGTTTAACCAAATATATATTCCATATTGCCCTGTTTCAACTAAAGTAAAAATCACAAGCCTATGAACATTAAGTATAGAAACAAAGATAAGTAATCTTTGGACCACAGACAAAAGATTGTTTTTTATCTTCCCTGTAAACAGTTTTCATTACTGGCAGAAGCTATATCACAAGAACGTCAAGAACTCAAAGCCAGAGAGAAAGCCCAGACCCAGGTAATAATGAACAAGATAAAAATAATTTCTTTACGTTTTTAAGAAGTAGGAAATCGCCATATAATATCTTTTGCGGGGAGGGGCATGGACTGAATACTAATAAGATCCACTTATGATGCAAAATATTTATCCTATGATTTTACATTCACCTATTCAGGTCTCTGAGAGCTGCTGCTAAGTTATTGCAGGAGCTTGATGAGAGCTGGTAGGTGGAAAGGGCATAAAAATAGATGGAGGCGCGGATAAATTTTGTGAACAGCACAATGACATGATTCTCTTTTAGACATTACATAAGGTGAAGAGGGAGCTGCGATCTAAGATGGAGAAGGAAATCCAGCAGTTGCAGTATATGATAACACAGAACGACGACGATGCTTTCTTCCGGGAGCTGGAAGCTGAGCGCTTCAGATCTCGGCTTCAAATGGCTTCCTTTCAGTACAGTAAAAACCCCTTCCCGTGAGGCCAGACTTCACTGGTAAAATTTCTGGACTTCACCAAATCAGAACTAGAACTGAGCCAGTAAACAATCTAAACTAGAAGAGTTATTTTTAAATGTCTTACCTATATACAGTCCCAACAATTTTTATGAAATTATGTAATTTTTAAAATAAAATCATTTTCTTAAAAGTTACTGCTTCTTGACAGTTGTAACGTAAGACACTTAAAACAATGGGTATCTCTCAACATTCTGAGGGCTGCTCAGGACAGTCGGTGCAGGAGGGGAGAAGGGACAAGGGGATAACAAGGGATGGTAGTGAGGAATAAAATACTAGTAACAGGGCCTCCCCAGTGGCGCAGTGGTTGAGCGCTGGGTTGTGAAGCTGCCCACGGCCTCTGCGGCGCCGGTTCGATCCCCGGCTGCTCCCCGGCCACCAGAGGAGGGTCCCACATGGCGCGCAGACCTCTCCTGCCACCCGCTGCTCCCCTCAGCAGTGTACTTCGGTCCTTCTGCCTGCTCTGCTCCCCGCTCTGGCTCTGGTGAATTCTCTCACCCTCCCACGCTTCTGACTGTACCCAGTGCTTGTATAAACAAAACAAACAAATAAATAAAACATGCCTCTATTAAAAAAAAAATACTAGTAACAAAAAGGAATGAATGATAGCACCTATATCAGAGTTTGGGGAGGACTGCATGAGGCAATGCACTGGAGAGCGTAGACTGGCATGCAGCATATAGTAAGCAAAAGTAGTAACTGGTAGGCAACTAAGAAAAGTTCTGGTTTTCTAAAACCTTGAAAGGGGGGAATAAAGGCATACACTCTTTGTTAGTCACACTTGTACTAAAACAACAAGCCTTACTGAGCAAGGAGTTCCTGAAACCTGCTGCTGTCAGTCAACAAAAATAGTAAGAAGATAGCACCTGACCAAAAAATCTCTTTCAGAAGAGAGAGAAGTGGGCTTGTCATCAGAGCTGGGAAGATACAGTGTGAGTGCAAGGTTTTTCACATGGTTGCAGGAATGTAAGAATTTATGCACTGTGGCGTCTAGCAGTTGGTAATGGGCAGCATGAGGAGAGACAAGGGGTATGAGGCCAGACTATGCACCTCAAAAGAGCACTAGTGATTGCAGGTGGAAAGGAAACAATGAATTTGAAGTGACAAAAAGTACACCACTCCAATTTCTGTTATGGGCAACTATGAGAAAAAAAATCCATTTTGGTGGGGGTTATCTTCTGTAGAGGAGGCTTCCATGAAGGCCAACAGCTGGAGGGAGGCTTCAGGAAAGTTTAGGTTCTGTGGACTTCTGATCAAAGCTAGAGCCTGGCAGAGAGTACCAGGAAACCACTGGGAGGGAGAAGAGGGGCTCCACTGGAGCACGTGGAGCACGTAGCCAGTAGCATGGGGGCAAGCATAGGGACAAGGACAGAGGCCCAGTGGCCAGAAGGCCTGGTCCTGGAGAAATGAGTAGTAGCTGGATCTATTGCTGTTGTCCCACTGCTGCCTCTGGCAGCTGACAATGTTGGACCACTGGGCAGGCAAGGGCTTCCTGAGAAAAGACTTGGTGGATCAGCCAAGTCTGGAGCATGAGGAGGAAAGACAAGCAGACAGTTGCAATGTACTTGTGACAATATATAATAAACTCGTCACTAAAGACAAGTCAATGAGTACAGGTAGATGGAAAGGGTGGGGGAAATGTACAAGATGAGTCTAGATATAGAAGAGCTATAACATAAGTTACAAAGAGAAAAATGCTAAAGTAGATCTGGATAGAAAGCTATCCACAATATATTCGTGAGTAAAATGAGCAAATCTTAAACTATGTAGTGTGGTGCCACTTTATTTTAAAATGGTACAAGTGGATATTATATAAATTATATTTATATATTTATATATAAATATTTATTATATATTACATTAATAATGTAATATAATCAATATAGATAAGATCTAGAAGAATATGCCCCAAAGATAATAGTAGGTCTGAATGGTAGAGTATATAAACTTTCACTCTGTGCTTAATATATTCTAATACTAATTGAATTTGCTGAAACAAGCATAATGATGCTTCATAACTTAATATTAAATGTTTTAGGATTCTTAAGTTGCTAAGTTCCGGTCAGCTTTTTACCAAGCTAAAAACTTGGAATAATCAGAGAAGAAGGGGTGAGGGAATTTACCAGGGAAGGAACAGGCAAGCTTTTTAAGCCAAGGTCAAAGAATAGGTAATTAAAAATTAAAGAAGCCAACATATTTTTGAAAAACAGAAAGCAAATAAGGTGGTAACTTATTGAGCAGCAGAGGATGTTGTAATCCAAGTGCCCATGGAGAAGGAATCGTACATGAAGCCAATTTGCTAAGGACCAAATGCACACATTTGAAAAGTTATTTAGAACTGTGATATAACTACATCGTGCGTAGGGGTGGGGGAGTGTTACATAATGAGATGGTCGGTGTGAGAGCTAAATCCTTAACTACATAAAAAGGAAAACCAGGCTGTGTCTAAAATTAATGAGGATTAATATTAGTGTATTTAGAAACGGAAGCAAATACCAGATCTAACAAGATTTGCAAGTAGTGGCCTCTGGAAAGCAAGACGGCATGGAAGGGGAAAGTTGATGAGGCTCTTTCTAAGCCTTTAAGTCTACATGATTTTTTTAATGTATGTTCGGCTATGTATGTGCATTACTGTTACCATGTGGAGCTCTTAGTTGCGATGGAAAGTGGCATCACAGTAAAAAAAATGGTTAGCAGGAGAGCTCCAATGGGAGGATGAGAAGGCAGGACAGACAGAAGAAAGTGCCTTAAGAGAAATGGTATAAACTAAAGAAGGAATCCAAAATTGGGCCTCAGCTGTAGCTACAGATGAATATGTTAGATTGTGAACCTAGAAATGCTGAAAATGTCTTATCTGCAATTTCAAGCTATTCAAACCATTCCCCAGCTAATTTAATTGATGTGACCAGTTTCCTAAAAAATAACTCACACTGCCTTTAAAACTTTAGTCTTCTGAACAAAATCACTGGAGGCATCACATGCCCTGATTTCAAACTATATTACAAAGTATAGTAATCAAAACAATATGGTGCTGGCATAAAAACACACAAATCAATGAAACAGAACAGAGAGCCCAGAAGTCAGCCCCTGCCTATACAGTCAATTTATAACAAAGGAGTCAAAAATATACAATGAGAAAGAGACAGTCTCTTTAATAAGTGGTGCTGGGAAAACTGGACAGCTACATGCAAAATAAACTGAACCACTACCTTACACCATACACAAAAATCAGTTCAAAATGGGTTCTGATTTAAAAGTCTGACCTGAATCCATAAAACTCCTGAAAGAAAACATAGGCTGTCAGCAACTTGACATCAGTCCATGATTTTTGGACTGGACACCAAATCCAACAAAAGGAAGTGCAATTTAAAAGTAAACAAGTGCGATTACATCAACCTAAAATGTTTCTACATAAGGAAACCATCATCAAAATGAAAAGGCAACTGAATGGGGGGAAATAATTGCAAATCACATATCTAAGGAGTTAAATTAAAAATATAAAGAAGTCATACAACTCAGTAACAACAAAAAATCCAACTAAAAAATGGACAGAGGATCTGAATAAGCATTTTTCCAAAGGAAATATATGAATGGCCAACAGGTACATGAAAAAGCACTCAATACTACCACCATTACGGAAATGCAAATTAAAACCACAATAGCAATCACCTCATAACTGTTAGAATGGCGATTATAATAGACAATACCAAACACTGGACAGGATGTGGAGAAAAGAGAACCCTTGTGCACCATTGGTGGGAAGGTAAATTGGTGCAGCCACTATGAAAATAGTATGGAGGTTCCTCAAATAAGTAAAAGAACAACAACCATATGATCCAGCAATTCCACTTCTGGGTATTTATCTTAAGAAAATGAAAACACTAACTTCAAAAGCCACATGCACCCTCATGTTCACTATAGCACTATTGACAATTGCCAAAATAAGGAAATCACCAAAATGTCCATCGATGGATGACTAGATAAAGAAATTGTACATAAAGTGGAATATCATGCAGCCACAAAAAAGGAAATCCTGCCATACGTGGTATCGATGAACCCTGAGGGACATTATGCTAAGTCAGACAAATACCATTTGACTTCAATTATATGTAGAACTTAAAAAAGGACCCCTGAACTCACAGCCACAGAAAGTAGGTTAGTGGTTGCCAGAGGTGCACAGTGGCGTGGGGGTCGGGGGGAAGGGAAGAAAAGGCTGAAGGGTAGTATTACTGAGGATGGGGCAGGTCAGAACTAAATTTCCTGGGTATGTAATGTATAACGTGGGGACTACAGTTTATTGAATGTTTGAAAGATGCAAAGATCTTGAAAGTTTTCATCACAAGAAGAAAAAACTGTAACGAAGGAAAATGTAACTTATCACAGGTAAAATTTCACAATATATACAAATAGGGAATCATTACTTTGCACCCAAGACTAATAATCTTATGTGTCATTTATACTTCAATAAAAAAATAAGAAAACCTTTGCCCTTCTGGTCTTGGTTCTCCTCCTCCTCGCCACACCAGCGTCGTCTCTGGGAGAATGAAACTGAAAGGTTGAGTCTGACATGTTCCCATCTTCACGTCCAATTCCCGGGCTGAAAGTCAGAAGACTGAACTTAAGTGGGCTGGAGCAACAGCTCTCAGAAGGGTCCCTCACCCACCCCATGGGCTGTTACAGCCTCCTCTTCACTTCCTTCATGTGGGAAACACTGTAAAGGAGATAAAAGTGGGGCAGACAGTTCATTTAGAGATGAATCAATGCCCTAGATAAATCCCAATCCAAATATCCAGGAGACATGCTAATCAGCAACAATTAAGGAAATCATTTGGGAAATGTAGCAAATTATATATGAACATGAATACCAGAGGCAGATATCATGGGGGGAAGGGGAAAAGGGACCAAACTAATTGTTTTATGGGCCAAGTCTGGGATGTGAGGCCTTGTTGAGGTGAGTTGTTTGATCCTGTGCTCCCAGGACCAGCTCTGCTGTTTTCAAACTGAGCTTTGAGCACCTAAGTTTGAACTTCAGCATCTCCCAAAATATAGGCTAGAAGCACTAGTTTGGGAGTTGAGGTTCTAACCACCCAAGGCTATATCCCTAGCAGCTAGTACAGAGCCTGCTACAAAGTAGCAGCACAGAAGATATTTGTTGAAAGAAGGGGTGAAAAAGACACTTAGGACAAATATCTTTGAATAAAATGCAACTTTAAAATCTCATTTGTCTAGTTTGTTAAAACATGGGAATGAAATCCGTTTTTGTAAAATTACCGCCTCTATCCTGTTACTACACTCCTGTTTTGATATATGTGGCATACAGAGTACAAATAAATGCAGCTGGGGCCAAGGTTAACCCTCATAATAATGAAGGGACAAACATGTCAGGTCTCCACAGCAGGAAAACGATGTTCATCAAATCAAACTTGGGTACATTATAGATTATACTACTACTAAATCCTTAATACACTAAACCTTAAATTTCAACTAATAACCAGTGAACTGGCCATGTGAGACAAAGCCATAACAATTAACTTCAAAAGAATATAAAAAGTGGTTACACCGTCCTTTCTTTGAACTTGCATTGCCAGTACTTACACTATATTCCAAACATTCTTTTCTGAATGGCCTCTGCTGTGGAAAGACTTACACAGTTCTGGATGAAAAAACACACCCATTCCTTTTTCCAGTCATGTATTTCACTGGACTTTCACCTACAGAATTGTGAATCATAAACTTAGCTTAAAGTCGTGGCTTCCTGGAAAAATTTAATTGGTCTCTCCCTTTGATTTTGAGAATTTTACTGTTCAATACCAAGGTAGCAAATATGCCGCCTCTACCACAGCTCTGCCCTCCAGAGAGCTGCTAATAAACATTGTTACAAGACTGGAGCTCTTCAAAGGCCCAGAACAGCCTCAGAGATTCATCTCCACAGAGCCTCCAACAGCCACTGCCAAGCGGTTCATGTGCCATGGCACATGAAAACGAGCACCCTCTCTGGCTGACCTGGAGACAAGGGGTCCTGAGCATTCAAGTTCTGCATGTGACAAAAGCATCGACTAAGAAACTCCAATCTTAAATTTGTCTCATGGCTCCTATGCTATTGATACTTCCTAGAGCCAATCATGAATGTCTTCAAAACAACTCATTATATACTCAGGATTCTTTAAAAACGTTGATGCTGTGACAGTGCAAACAGCATTCATTTTATTGCTCAGCTTCGGCATGGGCACATACATAGTTAATTTTTAAAAACCATTTTTACAGATGTTATTGATAAAGCTCATGTAACAACTGAGTGAAAATACAAAGAATATCAAAGCTAAAACACTCTGTAATAAATACAAATACAATGAAAATGATAAAACTTTGTTTTTAAAGTCAGTTTGAGAAAAGGAAGAATATTACATTAAGTGAACTAATTACATCTAGAAACAAAACAACTCAGCATTTGGTACAATCATCATCCTAAACGTAAGAATGTTAAATACCACAAATGACACCCGTTAACTGTGTGCTGCAGCTTAAAAATAGAAGCAGGAGCTGCTCCCTCAAACTAAAAATGGGTGGAACAGTTTCTAACTCCCATCAATGCAATCAGTTCAATGCACCTGGGAAGTTCTAAGCCGACTTAGTGTTATAAAATAAAGCAAATTACACTGTATTTAAAAGGAAGCTTGTGCTCTGGACTGTAAATACAAGGGGGAAAAAGGACTTGGTAAAAATAAAACCCATTCAGGGTAACAAACTATGTGCAAAACAAAATGTACACTATACACAGCACTATTTAAAAACTCTTTACATCAAGAAATAAGACCTTCTGAAACAAAACTCACCTCTGAACTAAGTATGAGCTCTACAAAGTAACCTCTGTTCAAAATTAAGCATTAGTGATGGAAAGGCAATGTATGGAAACAATGACATCAAAAATCTGAAATAACCAGAGGAAGAATTAGAAAAAACCCGGTTAAGGGGGACATGTGGAAATAAATATTCACATTAAACGTGAGGTGCAAGTCCAAGGTTTAATGACACCTGGGGAGTCTGCTTAGCACCTATTTGAAAATATTCAGGTAACATAATTTGAAATTGAAATTGTCATGTGTTTATAAACAATGTTGGAGATACCATATACTATTATAGGGTAATTTCTTCTTTTAAAGCTCTATTAAGTCATTATTATAAAGTTAAAAAGGCACTCAAAAAGCGATGGTACTTGCCTGCTTTATATTGTACATTATGTTAGTAGCATTTCATGATTACTGCATCCATCAGCCATGATTTTTCTAATGTGTTATGTACTTTTGACTGAGAGATGATAAGTAGGCACAATTACACTTGTACTAGTGCTTTAATATAAAAGAGAGATGGACCTGTCACTAATAAGGTACTATCATGAAAGCTGAAAACTGAAAATCAAATAGTATACAGGAACGTCTCTACATTTCAAGATGCTCTTCGGTACTGAGAATGCAGTAGGAAAACACAAAAGTGTTGGGGAAGAAGTCAGCATAAGCACATTACCACAGCACAGTTATGACTGACCAGTCTGCCTGTAGCAGTCAAATTTGGCTGAATGAAATAAATTTAAATACTTAGAAACTACACAAGTATTTCTCAATTTTTTTAAAGCAGCAAAATTTCCATTTTTCATTTCACCCATGTCTTGTCCGCCCCCACCCCTCCAGCCCCCGCCCCGCGCCCCTTCCCGTTAAGAGTTACTTGGATTTCCAACACATCAAAGAAAAATTGGAGCTGCTCTGAGTAAAGGGGATTAGGGGTAGGGACCCCCTCAAACATCAACTAGGCCTTTCCCCCTCTTAACCCATTACGTCTGAGGCACCTCTGAGGAACAGTGTGGCTCCCAGAACACAAACTGAAAACTAATCCATCAAATGAAAGAACACAAAGGGCCTATTCACTTGATTCATTAAGCTGCAAAATTTAAACATAGCTATCTCATCATAATTTGCTATTCTTGATTTCACATCAATGTAAAAGAAAATAGTGCATATTTCTATGGTTAATTTTTTTTTTACAATCCACCCATGATTTCAGATTCTTCCAGTCCCTCCCTCCAAAATTTTGGTTGACTTCTGGACCATGCAACATGCCACCCATGTTGAAAACTAAATCTGGACATTTCAAAATCAGATGCTGACCTTTAATAACAAGTAAACTAGGATTCCCTTATACTTTCAAATTTAACTCTTCAGTTCTTTTAGGCAATTTATACTACTAAGTTAGAAGCACTGTTTTTTTCCTTTTAGCAATCACACCCCTTGCCCATCACCCCCATTTCATTTTTCAGATAAAAGCAGGATTTTCTAAGCTTACTAAGTAATCTTTATAGCAAAATTTTTCCTTTTTCATAATTTTAGCTGATTAAAATAGCAGCTAAACGGAGATTAGGATGGTTTATTTGATAGAAACTTACATCATAATTAAAATATAATATAAATTAGGTGCACTTGTCATAAGAGACTTTGGTTTACAGAAAAATATATGTGTGTGTGTGTATATGTATACATATATATATGAGATAAGCTGACTTAGCAAAAGAATGAAAATCCCATCCACATTATCTGAAGAGCTATAAAAATGCAGTATTTCCATTTAAGATGAAAAGTAAATGTGTAATACCTGATATTGATTGAAGATAAAAAATAAGAATTTTTAAAAGTCTCTTAAAAACAGGGAGCCCCTGAATATATCTTATTGAAGCAATTAAGCTGCTAAGTTTATACTAGATGGTTGCATTAGGAATCTGACAACCAAAATTATCGAACTTTATTCCAGGAAATTTGTGCTTAAAAAATATAACAAAGACTCACTTAGATTAGGCTGAAACGTGTTTTTAAAATATAATGCTTTGCTATAGAAAAATGTAACTAAACATGTAATTTTTTAAAGATGATGCTTTTAGCCAATTGTTTACAAATGTAGAATAATTCAAAATAATTTTATTTTATTTTTTTACAAAGAGCAAGTACAGGAGCTATTCAGAATCATGTATTCAATCAAAATAAAATGTGTCTTGTACCGACTGCTGAAGTTGTCCTGATGTTTGAGAGACTTGAAATCTGTGAAGTGATTTGAATAGATTACCTTTTATAAAAATAGTAGTAGTCTTTAAGTGTAGAATACTGCCTAACTCTGGAAATGTAGGAAAAGTCAGCATTCTTTAGGTTCAAGATATTAATTTTAAATAGCAGCTGAATATGGCCTCATGGCAAAGCATAAAGACCTCTTTTTTCCTTGAAAAGGAATTTCAAAATCGTCCTTTCCCCTCACAGTGTCCTAAAACTTTTAAGGGGGGAGGGGGGGCATTTTCCTGTGTTTCAGCATTCCTTGAAACTGCTGAAAAGAGGCTGTCGGTCAGGGGTATAAATAGAGTCCTGGGCGAGTCCTCGAAGTTCCTCATTCCACAGCAAATCCACATGTTTCTTCGATGGCTGTTAGCAGCTTTTCATATAACTTTTCATAGCTTTCATAGGGCGGAATGTCTATTCGATTGAAGCTGTGAACAAGCAAATCAGATTTTACATAGTTCATTCAAAATAAGTAAACTGGGCTAGCAAGTGTACACTAATATGGACATATCACTCTGTCACAAATTAACACAAAAGGTTAACAGGTCTCTAAAGTATTCCCTCTTTGAGGTGTTTCTACTGATTTCTGAATAGTAATCTTAAATCATTTAAAAGAGTTGCTATCATTTCTTTCAGATGTCCATTTAGTAGTAAGAACCACTGATGAAAAGTCAAATCTCTTTGAAACTAACACCTACTACATGGGCTGGTGTAAAGACACTACAGAAACAGCTTACCAGGTGTGGGCTTTTGGCAGGTGGTTCGTGCAGGCATCAATCTGGTGTATGGTGAAGAGTCGTGGGCCTGCGGCGCCTGTCAAAGAGGAAGATGTGGTTTAAAACACTGCAGGTGCACCTGGATGAGTCTTCACACTCTGAGGACAAAACTGGTACATAAAGCACAGAGTCTTGGGGAAGGAGGAGAATTGACTCCACACAAGATGCCAAAAAGCAGCAGGAAAAGAATATGAGACTGACTCGGATAAGCAGGATTCCTTTGCATGCCAGCATTTCAATTTGAGAAAAAAATTCAAGATTGAACTTTTTATCTTCTATAGAAAATCAATGACCCAAAATTATGAGAAGAAAAGTAATCGGTCAAATCCAAGATAAAAATATATATACAGAAATTCAGATGAGGCAAAGTTAGGTATCATGATTCAAACCTGGCTGAGAATAAAAGATCAGCAGTCTGTAGAATAAATTTCATTTAATATAAGACACCCCATACACACCTAAGTAGAAATACAACTTCACTTTATGCATCTGAGAGGTCTGATAGTGGTGAGTTTTCCACAAGGCGATGGAAGCGCAACTCCAAGTACACCTTCACCAGATCTCTCAACGCTGTGGAGTTATGTACCAGTCTTGCTTTGTACATCCTCAGTAAGCACCAGCAGCAGTTTGAAAACGAAGCGCCTCAGAGGTAAAGGAAGCAACTACCACCCAGTGAAGCCCCATCATCAGCAACATCACCAACTAATCCCAAATGAAACTCATCCCAAACAGAAAACATTTCTTAAAAATGGTACATGGTTGGAATTCAATGGTCCGATGCCATGCAATAATTAAAGTGCTCTGGTCAAACGTATGGCTTCCACGACTCATGCTGCTCTTTCTATGAAGAGGATAAAAAAGAGGAAGAAGCATCCCAACTGGGTAAATGTTTTGGCAGGTTAAGATGTGAACATGGAAGCAGACAGACTTCCCCTACAGGAATGTGCAACAGAATTTAAATGCAAGACGACCGGAAGACAAGAAGCAGGGCCATCACCACATCTGGTCTCTAGCGTGCAGCACTCACTACAATCACAGAGACCCCAGCAGAAAAGGCTCTTGGAAGGGGAACAAAGGAAAGGAAGGAGAAGAAGGTATCAAGATATGAGAGTCACAGATAAGAAACAGTGCAAAGAGAATCTCTTTATAAGCACATGGTTTGTAAACTACATACACCAAATATTGACTCCCTCCCCCAAGCCGATGCCTCGTCATCTGTCCCTCTGGCTTTTTTTTTTTTTTTTTTACCTTGTAAAGCTTTGAAGCCCTGCAGAGGCACTCTAGATGATCCTGTCACAAACTGAAGTAACCGAGCTCGTCGCTCTTCATCAAAAAATTCCACAGCTTTCCAGAACCACTTGACAACGTTGCTGTCTGGTGTACAGTGTTTTAACCGGGTGTTTACCTTCCAGTCATTAACATCTATCTTCCCAAGTCCACAAATAATAAGCTGTTAAAATATTGCACACATAATGAGCCAATGAAAACCCGAGGTAAGCCAAAAATTCCTCAGAAGAGAACTTCATATTTGCAGGGCAAATCTCATGTGGTAGTTTCCTCTCCAGACACATACTTTTTTAAAAACATGTTAGTTCTTTTTTTTTTTTTAAAGATTTATTTATTTATGCATACAAGAACTGGGGTACAGGCCAGAGGTGTGGTGGGTGAGAGATTCACCAGAGACAGAGCGGGGAACAGAACAGGCAGACTGACTGAAATACGCTGATGAGAGGAGCAGTGGGCGAGACAGGAGAGGTCTGCTGCGCCATGTGGGTCTCCTCCCTGGCTGGGGATCGAACTCGTGCTGTAGTAGCTGTGGACAGCTTCATAGGTTGCGTCTTAACCCCTTGCGCCACCAGGGAGGCTAACATGTTAGTTCTTAATCAAGTGTACACGTCAGAATGCAGAAAGCATTTCAAGATACACATACTAGGTCCTCTCCTCAAATACTCTGATTCTGTGGGTCTGGGATAATACTAAGGATCTCTGTTTTAAGAAGCTCCATGGGCATTTATTCACCACAAGCTCCCTGCCAGGATAATAAATGAATGTTTCATAATTTCATAGAAGTGAAAAAAATATTAGTTGACAGAAACTAAACTCAAAGAGTAAATACCATTCACATGTGCCTTCTTAAGATCTGCACCACAATCTGTTTTCAACACTTAGTAGCTTTGGGATTCATGGTTTGGTTCCTGTGCTGGAATACGACAGTAACATCTACTGCACTACATCCTATGAAAGCAACCAGCAGCACACAGGAACTCCAGAAATCTGTGCTGAACAAGTGATACAGTACTTGATAATATGAAAATTGTATCAACGTCCAAAATACATAAAAGTATTTATACACAGCTTTGCTTGGCTTCCTGATGCAGGGCCCATATAAACTATATCAAAATCACTTTGATACTATTAATACATCTTCTTAAAGTCCAAGACTAATCATCTTACATTATTTGTAACAGTGCATTATGGTGGTGTGTAGTGTAAGACAAATGAACTTGCAAATCCTAATTATAATTCTATTAATTCAGTAAAATACTAATGTACATTTTTATGAAAAACTTAATTTCATTAGCAGTAGAAACTACATCATAAACCCCAAACCTAGTGAATAAAATGTCCAACAAGATTTCTATAAAAAGTTCTTAAAAGATTACTGACTCGCAGCCACAATGTACAGGGAAGTAGTTATCCAAACAGGATTATAGAAGTATTTGTAATATACAATATTCCTCCTAAATTCTTTTCTTCGGTACAGTGGTAATTGTGAAGCCTTACAGATTGGACAAATAGACAAGAATGGATTGCCATTCTTGCCATTCTGATTGCCATTTCCCCTTATGTCTTCCTCTTCCTTTTAGTTAATCACAAAAGGAATGGGGATGTATTGAGTCAAGCATCTTCTGAGATCTGTTTGCTAATGTCTGTTAAGAGATTATTAGAGGGGCCTCCCTGGTGGCACAAGGGGTTAAGTCTCAGTATTATCAAGCTATCACCAGCCACTGCAGCAGGAATTTGGTCCCTGGCCAGGAAGCTGACCCACATGGCACAGGAAACCTTTCCTGTCTCGCCTGCTGCTCCCTCAGCACTGCATTTCAGTAGATCTGCCTGTTCTGCTCCCCATTCTGTCTCTGGTGAATACTCTCACCCCCCACACCTCTGGCCTACACCCCAGTTCTTGTATGCATAAATAAATCTTTTTTTTTTTAGATTTATTTATTTATATAAGTACTGGGTACAGTCAGAAGCGTGGGAGAGTGACAGAATTCACCAGAGCCAGGCGAGGAACAGAACAGGCAGACTGAGTAAATACACTGCTGAGGGGAGCAGTGGGCACAGCAGGAGAGGTCTGTGCGCCATGTGGGACCCTCGCTGGCGGCCGGGGATTGAACTGGCGCTGCAGAGGCTGTGGGCAGCTTTGCAGCCCAGTGCTCAACCGCTGCGCCACCAGGGGAGGCCCTAAAAATAAAGCTTAAAAAAAAGAGATTATTAGAGAGGACACTGGTTATGAATGTAATAATACTTGCTTTACATTATTTGTAGACTTAAAATACTTAGCTATCCTTAATCACTAATTAAGCTATCCTTAATCACTAATTAAATTTGGGACCTTTGCTAGGACAAAACCGCATTGTTTTTTCACACTTCAGTGAAATTCAGATATATCGCTTAAGGGTCTTAAAACAGAGGTAAGGTGTTTTAAGGACCAGCTTTAACAGAAAACAAGATTATAGCTAACTGTTTATTATAGCTACTATTAGTAATGAATGTTTACAAAAATGCTAAGGATATTTACTAAGGAATCTATACAAAGTGTTTTAACTATTTCGTCTATGATCCTGTACCAAATGCTTTTTTTTTATTTATACAAGCACTGGGCACAGCCAGAAGCGTGGGAGGGTGAAAGAATTCACCAGAGCCAGATGGAGAGCAGAACAGGTAGAGTGACGAAGTACACTGCTAAGAGGAGCAGCGGGCAGCAGGAGAGGTCTGTGTGCCACGTGGGACCCTCACCCAGCAGCCGGGGGCCGGGGATTGAACCGGTGCTGCAGAGGCTGCGGGCAGCTTCACAACCTAGCGCTCAACCGCTGCGCCACCAGGGAGGCCCTGTACCGAAAGCTTTTTTGTGAAGCCTAGTGTAAATCCAATTGAGCTCTGGCTTTCATCCCAATAAATTTCAATATGGTGGAGACCAATTAACAAAGCTTCAACTAAATCAATAACCATTTCATTAGGGAGTTAAGATTTTGTAATATAAGACTTAAGACATTCAATCTGTTGAAAACAAGTAAATAAGACATGAAATCTATTGAAAACTAGTAAGGATGATATACAATGTAGACACAAAGATTTTCACAATGTAAGAGAAATTGCTTATTTGTAGAAATTCCAAACCATGAAAGGCTTTCCAAAGTAGGAAAGAGTTTTTCTGGGCATAAGAATTCTCACAGCATTCTCCCATAAAACTTCAAAGGCACCAGAAATACAATCTTCCTTTAAAATTAAGTAACAGAAAATTCTCAACCTTTCCTTGTTTTATATATTTGATGATGTCATGATGCTAATATACCGACCTCTAACTCCTTCTCATCGAATGTCTTCAGCAGATGCTGTGGAATTACTTCATTAAATCCTTTCTGCAGAGCCAGAAATTGTGCCTCAATGCCTCGTAAAAATCTCCAGTTCACATACAGCCTGTAAACATTGGGCAGTGGTTTCACATGATCAAATATATCATCTAGTAATGATTTGATTTGGTGATTATTATGAATCTCTATTTTAGCAACACTGCACTTTAGAAGCACCTAGCATTAAGAAGTTAGTATAAAAGAATCTCAGATTATTAAGGCTTAGTGAAATTAAAATAGGGATAAAAGTTCTTTCTAAACTTTTAGCATGAATACCAAAAACCAGGAAAAAAGAGCCCATTTAATCAAAACTGACTGGTTTTCTGGTTTCTCCTGAAAATATAATCTCAAAATTTTGTGTGTTGTCTTTATATTTGGGGGCAACAAATGGGAGGAGTGAAGAAGAGGTAAAAGAGACTCCTCAGATGCAAAAAACAGTAAGCATTTTTTGATTAAATATTCATCGTTTCCTGGAGGCTTCAAAAACTCTGGAACATGTAATTTACCAACAAAAAGGATACTACACTACATCTGATATGTAATTTTACTTGTGCTTTGGACTTAACATTCCTTTTTTCTTTTTTTTGTAGCCAGGAAAATCACTCCATCTCATAAATCTCACACTATTCATCTTTCAAATCTGTCAACATTCCCTTTTCTAAATTTGGAGAAAAAGTTCTCTATTTTAAGAAATAAGTTACTTAACATTATAGCCTTGGGGAGGCAAAGAGGGGAACCTCATTTTTGTTTGTTTAAGGGGACAGCAAAACCACACATCTGTGAAAAATATTTCTTCCTAATTTTTTTATCTCAAAACTACACTTGGCAGGGATAATGATAGTAAACTCTAAACACAACTAAATTCTGGAGAGAAGACGAAGGACCCCAGTAATCCACACTAGATGCTGGAAGTGACATACTGCTAAATTTGGGAAATTCCAGTCATTCTTTTAGTTTTTAATTAGAATGTAATTCACGCTTGTTGTATGTATGCCGAGCCTTGGACAACATAGGTTTGAATTGCACAGGTCACTGAGACACAAACCAGCTTGTGAAAAGACAGCACAAACATTTGGTACCAATAAATACAGTACTATAAATGTATTTTCTTAATGATTTCTTAAAAACATTTTCTTTTCTGTAATTTACTTTATTGAAAGAATATACTATATAATTTATTTAACATATAAAATGTGTTACTCAACTGCTGATGTCATTGATAAATCGCAGGCTCCTGACCCTCCCTCACTGACCCTGGGCTATGAGCACTTGCATTAACCAAAAGAATACACCAGACATGATGCTGGTCAGTTCTAGGCTTAGGCATTAAAATGACCCAGCAACTTCTGCCTTTCTGCTCTGGAAAACCAATCACAAATAAGTTTGACTATCTTGCAGGTGAGAGAGACCACGGCTGTGAGTGATAGGCCCCTGAAAGAACATGTGGAGAACTAGGCCCCAGAGGATGACGAGTGGCCCCACCAGCCAGTCTCCCGCAGCTACAGCCATGCTCACTGAGGCACCAGATACGTGAGAGACTGACACCATAGAGGAGTGGTGTCTGTTGTTCTCTGTCCAAATTACCAACCCGTGGAATTGTGGGAAATAAAATGGTTGTTTTGAAGCCACTGAATTCTGGACGGTACTTTGTGGTGGTAAGTAACACTAACTAAACGCTTGAATGTTTTTCGGTACTAACATTAAAACAATTCTCAGGCTTGAGAACATAAAAGTATTTACCTTACATATTCTTTTTTATTTTCTTCAGTAACAGGGATACTCTTGCCATTTGGTTTAAGTTCATGCTGAATAATTTCACCATATGCATTATGTTCTACACAAAAAGTATGGTCCAAAACACCTGTAATATCATTCTCACTGGAAAGGGGAGAGATAAAGATGGAAATGGAAAACTGAAATACAGATTCTTAGATGTATTAACAGCGAGACATAAAACTAAAGTATTTTTATGACATAACAAGTACAAAGGTCAGACTTCTCCTAGTTTTTGAGCGGAAAACTCAAGAGACATTTAAGCTTCATAAACACAGGAAAACATTCTACTTCCTGTAAATGAGAAAAAGATTTGGCCACAGCTGGCCTTTATATAGGGAAACTTGAATTATGTTTGGCATTCAAAAAAAGAGACCCCTACTAGAATCTGGGTCCACCCCCAAGAGACCAAAACCCTGAGTATCCTGAGTGAGAAAGCTACATGTGTATATGGTAAAAATAAATATGGCCAATGTGTATCTTCATAAATAAATAACCTCTTGCAAAACACAACTGGTTCTTAAAAATACCCTTTTAACAGTTTGATGTCAATAGTCACCACGTAAGCAAGCATTCACTATGCTAACTCATGCAGGCATGAAATAGAAATTGCCTCACATTGAGGAAATCATTATACACAGTACTTTTAAAACAGAATACACTAGATTTTTTCCTTCTAAAAAATAGTAACACTTGATGACTTTTAAGAATTCAAAATATACAGGGAAGTAGTAGAAAGAGGAAAAGTTTACATGGTCTTATCACTCCGATAATCACTCAATATTTCCTGTGCATTATCATTTTTTTTGCATTATCATTTTAATGAAAAACAGTACAACCATTTTGAAACATGTTATCTTTGTTAAAAGCTCAGATTCTAATTATAATGAACAGATACAAGAATCAATACATACAGTATCCACACTAAACTGTTATGAAGATCTGGATCAACTAACTCCATGTCATCCAAAGTAATTGACTTTCCAAGCAACTGTTTATAAAAAGGCAATGTGAAACCACCATCGATATAATGTCCATGAAACACAGCCATTCCCATTATTCGTCCAACAAAGTGGAAATATGATAAATGTTCCTGAAATTGAAAAGTTAACATAAATACTCAAGTAGCAAGGGAATTTTTAACTAAAGTTGAATATTTAAGCAATATTAATCTTTTTTCATAGTTAAGTATCAACTTATAGTCTAATTTACAACTCTTTAAATGGAACTAGCTATCATAGCAAAGCTCAAAAGTCATTAGGGAGTTCCTATTGAGCATGCAATAGATTCCCTACATTACTAACCATAACAGAGTCAATGCATCTCTCAAAGGGTATTCACTTCATAAAACTTATCTTTAGAATTAAGTCCAAACTACACTCCCACAACAGCCTCATTACAGCACCTGCAGATCCTGTTCTCTTCCTCTCCTCTCACCTTCTTTTGAGCCCTGTACAATCCTGGCTCTGTCATGGAAAAAAAAAGCTAGCAATCCTAAACTTCCTATTTCCTGAACCTAATCAGGAATTGAAAACATCACAGATTTAGAGCACAGCTTTGAAATCTAACTTGGGCTAAAGTCCTGATTCTGCCAGTTATTAGCTGGGCAAATTTGGGCAACTTACTTAACCCCTACAGGGCTCATTTTCCACATCTGGAAAAACGAGGGTAATAATATCTAAAAAGGGTTTCTGTGACGAGTAAAATAAGATGACGAAACCTGAAGGTACTGGACCTGGCATATGGAAAAACACTACACAAATATGAGATGCTGTTACCACAGTGGCATAATGGCTCCTCAAGCAGAGGAGCCCACCTGAAAAATCTTCCCTTTATAAAGCATTCCCTGCAATCACTCTAAACTGTCTACCATGTTTGACATATTTGGTCTTTCATAATATCACTTTGTTAGCTGGATATTTACATTTTAAAACTTCTTTTACTTCTTTAATAAGTAGTCTTCAAAATCACCTTTTTTTCCCCCAAAGATTGATTTATTTATACAAGAACTGGGGGTACAGGTCAGAGGCACGGGAGGGTGAGAGAATTCACCAGAGAGCGCAGAGAGCAGAACAGGCAGACAGACCGAAGACACTGCGGAGGGGAGCAGCGGGAGAAGCAGGAGAGGTCTGCCACGCCATGTGCGTTTCTCCCTGGCCGGCCAGGAATCGAACCCGCACTGCAGAGGCTGTGGACAGCTTCACAGCACAGCGCTCAACCCGCTGTGCCACCGGGGAGGCCCTCAAAATCATCTTTAAGCCTCCCTTTTATCTTAAAAAGTTTTTCTTTTTAAGAAGTTAACAGAGCCTCCCTGGTGGCGCAACCAGTTTAAGACGCAACCTATGAAGCTGTCTGCAGCCTCTACGGCATGAGTTGGATCCCCGGCTGGCCAGGGAATAACCCACATGGCGCAGCAGACCTCTCTTGACTCACCCACTGCTCCCCACAGCAGTGTACTTCAGTCAATCTGCCTGTTCTGCTCCCCACTCTGTCTCTGGTGAATCCCTCTCACCCCCCCACACCTCTCCAGCTCTTGTATGCATAATTAATAAACCTGAAAAAAATAAAATAAAAAGTGAATATATGGTCACTAAAAAAATAATATTGAGAAAACAGAGACAAGAAAAAAAAACACCCATAATCTAATACCCAGAGACAGTACCATCAATATTTAAGTGGACAGTCCGTCAATACTGACACGTATACATGTTTCCCAAAACTGCACCACACTGTTTGGTGATCTTCTTTTCACTTACCGTATCACAAATACTATCTTTACATGTCATTAATTACTGTTCCAGAATGTCATTTTACTGGTTGTATAATATGCCCTTAAGTGGAAATAGGAATAATATAAAAATAACAAGCTAATAATAACTTTTGTTGAGTAATAATTTAACATAGGGTTAATAATGTACAGCACCATGCTAGTACTTATTGTGAAGGGCCCTATTTAATTATCATCTTTGTATCTTTTATGAGGTGCAAAGTATACTCATTATTATTAGCAAGGATAAAATTGAGGGTCAAGTCAACGAATTTGTCAAGATCAGGACAGGATTTAATGTCTTTCTAATTCTAGAAAATATGCTCTTAACTACATGTGTCATTCTACTTTGTGTCATCATTTAATCAGCACTGTTTCCAAGCAGGGCTACCGTAAACACAGGTGCGGTCAACATCCATATACTTCAACCCTACACATATCCATAATCATTTATTTAAAAAAGTTTTCTAGAAGAGGAACTGCTGAGTCCAGGGGTGCTTCAGCACGACAATAATCCCATGTCATAAACTACACAGACATTTAAAGATGGAAAGCATAATATAAGTTACAAGTTAATTCACAGCATCATAACCATCAATCATACCGGATTAACAGCAGAATCAGGATTGATTTGCAATGTATAGATATCATCTCTGGAATACTGGAAGAGGCCATAGTATGGATTCAGCATTTCATGTGACAGAAGATATAACCACTCCCTAGAAAACAAGATAAGACAAAGGAATTGTTTTGTTAATGAATATATTTTTAAGATATGCTTTTAATCATTTTAGCAAATAATTTTTAAATAAAAAAATCACCAACTATAGTTATATAAGAAAAATCTACTATGTCCAAATAGCAAATGAAAATTCCTGTTATACTGAAGTGACTTCTCACTCAATTTTGGGCAATTGTATGACATTTATGCATCAGAGAATATAAAGGTGGTATTCAGAAGCACCAACAACTCTTTAGGTGCTGCAGCGCAGAGGTCTGTCACTTTTAACTGCTAAATAAATTTATAATCCATATAACATAAAGCAAAGAGAAGAATATGATTTTATTTCAAAGCATTTGAATGATTTATAGTATCCTGGTCTGCTCCCATTATGGCAGATTTATACTTGTTTATACAAGTAACATTAATTTACGCTCTTTTTTTAAAAAAAGATTTATTATTTATACAAGAGCCGGGGTACAAGCCAGATGCACAGGAGGATGAGAGGATTCACCAGAGATGGAGCGGGGAACAGAACAGGCAGACTGACGAAATACACTGCTGAGAGGAGCAGTGGGAGTGACAGGAGAGGTCTGCCGCGCCATGTGGCACCCCAGCTGACTGGCGGGGATCGAACTAGTTCGGCAGAGGCTGCAGACAGCTTCACAGCACTGCACTCAACCACCTGCACCACCAGGGGAGGCCCTCTCTTTTTTTTTTAACTCTCATTTTTGGAAAAAGATTTTGCTGTTGGTATTGTTTCGGTAGTAAATTTCATTATCCATTTTTCATCATCCTTTATGTGTAAACCCTAAAATATACCAAAATAAAAATAATACTACTCAGAGACTACAAGGCATTTAGATTAAGTATGAACATGAGGACAAACCTGCACTTTCTGGTTAACACTTCTTAGTTTTAAATGTACATCAGTATTTTTAAAACCTCATAATAAAAAGTACTATATCACCTTAACCTTATTAAATCTTTTTATTTCTCAAAGTATGAAAGATGATTTGTTATTCATCTTGATGAAAGTGACTAGTGTAGGACTTAGGAGATTAATTCAAGTCTCAATTCTTGTCATTCCTCAAGTAGGAAAGGAATTTAAACGATATGTCCTGACACTATGGATTAAACAGATTGAGTAACAATTTTCGCAAATGTAGTGAAATATTATTAACAAGTAGTTAAAGGAAAATATTTCAAAGTTCTATAATGTGACAGAGTCCACATCACTACCTTTTACATAATATTTGAAAAACTCTAAAAATTAAAATTAAGCAATCATTCCAGTACATGTTTACACTCACCTAAACTGTCTTATATGCTTTTTATGCATGTAATTTGTTTTAAAGAAAATCCAATTTTTGTTTTGTTTCACCAAGTATTTAGAAATTGAGTAAGGGCAGAAACCAACTAGTTTTGGGTTCTGCTACAGAATAAAGATAAGAAAGAGTAGTTCACTGCCATATCCATTTAGTCCACCCAAGCCTTGACAACAGTTAGGTTATGAAATGATCAACAAAAAAGTGGACTACTGGGGCCTCCCTGGTAGCACAAGGGGTTAAGCACAGCACATGCTGCAGCCCCTGCAGCATGAGTTTTATCACCAGCCGGCCAGGGAGCAACCCACATGGCACAGCAGACCAATCCTGACTTGCCCGCTGCTCCCCTCAGCAGTGTATCTCAGTCAATCTGCCTGTTCTGTTCCCCACTCTGTCTCTGGTGACTCCTATCACCCTCCCCGCAACGCTGGCCTGTATCCCAGCTCTTGTATGCATAAATGAATAAATCATTTTTAAAAAAAAAGTGGACTACCTACTTAGCAAATACATGCAATTATAGAACTTAGATCTAGCAGCAGATAAGTTTTCTCAACAAGCATTCAAAATCTAGTTATGAGTAAATCATGAGAATTCCACAGAAAAGGCTATCAAGGCCTAAATAAAATGTACAAGTGACCAATTCAAAAATTCAAACTAAAAAGACTGTACATTTGCAGATAAAAAGGTCACAGAATGAAAATAAATCTATTGGTAAAAATAAGTAATGCTTAACAACAATGGGAGTTGATGGAAACACAAATTCAATTCAGGTTGGACTTTATTTATTTATTAAAAAGAGTTGTTTATTTATTCAGACAAGAACTGGGGTACAGGCCAGAGTTGGGGTGGTGGTGAGAGGATTCACCAGAGACAGAGTGGGGACCAGAACAGGCAGATTGACTGAGGTACACTGCTGAGGGGAGCAGCGGACGAATCAGGAGAGGTCTGCTGCACCATGTGGGTAGCTCTGTGGCCAGCCAGCAATCGAACTCATGCTACAGGGCTGCGGATAGCTTCATAGTGCTGTGCTTAACCCCTTGTGCCATCACAGTCCCCAGGTTGGATTTAGATTAGGGGAAGCTGACTTTTCATGATGGTCCATAGAATGTTTAAATACAGAAGTGATAATGTTTTTGCTACACTTACATCAAGTGAATTTAGCAGAAACATTACCAATTCTGTACTGAAATATTTTAAGGACTGTTTATGATATAAACATACACACATGCACACAAATATTTCTTTAAAGGGTTAAAAAGCATGCCAATAGAAACAGTATTCAGTTTAGATTACATGTTATTAAAGTCTCAAGATTATTCCTGACAATGTAAAACAAAGGGAACACCATACACTAAAGGAGAGATGGAGAAAAATAGGGCCTGCATGTTGAGAGAGAAGTCTCACTGGGCTATCTGATCCATTACGGAATTCTCAAATACTGTCTGGCAGCAGTACTATCTTACTTTATCATGAATATATCTATTAAGATATCCTCTTGACTGCAAACATCAGGGAGTATCAAACTAGGAGATAAATATGCATGTAATTTAGAGAAGGTCACTGATATTTAATTAATTCAGAGAAGGTCACTGATATTTAAACCTGGACATACAAGGACCATACATCTGACTAACGCAAGCAAGTCTTTACCTGGCAACTCCTCCATAGTCAAGGCCTTCTTCACCACGGAATTTTATCATTAATCGCTTCCAGAGATCTTTTGGTCTCATTTTCATGACCTGTCGATAAGATTCCTGAAAAAAAAAAAAAAATTTAATACACTATTATTACTAGATTGCTTTTAGCCTATTATTTAACCCCTCCCCTTCCACCCACAAAATATGTTTGTTTAAATCATGTGAATCAACAATCAAATCAATGGACAAACAAAAACAAATGGATATAACTTCAAACTACTGAAGCCAATTCATTTAACAAATACTATATTAAAAGGCTACTAAGGGTAAAACTCCATGTTTAAGTTCTACAAACCACAGCAATGATTCCACTCCACTAATAACATTTGGCAGAAAAAACACAATTTTTTTTAAGTTGGACTTAATTCTAGATCTCAGGTACCAGTAGACAGTAAAGGTAAGAAAAAAGTTTCAAAAGAATGTAAGTAATCATTAATGTGATCTTCATTAAATTGATTGTCATTTTACAATACAAATAACTGACTACAGAGTCAAAACTGTCCTTATAGAAAAAAGTCCCCAAACATCTTTTGTCCAGGAATCCTGTAACACTTGTTTTGGACCTCTGCAACTTATTACTTAAGAACCTTGAAGCTGATATTAGAGCTATAAAACACAAATAAAAAAGATATGCTAAAAAGAAAGATTTTCAATAAATTAAGGAAGTAATCTAACATTAACTAAATAAAATGATTTTTTGGTTTAAGATTCCCTTACCTTTTGGAAGAATAAGAAAGTAAGGAATGGATGTGTGTGCTCTCTTAAAACTCATTAATAAGTATTTGCAATGCAGAGACCAAGCCAAGGCAACCAGCACATCTCACACTCTTTGTCCTATTTAAATGTTTATTTTCAATATTAAATTTCTCTAATATCATTGCCTTTATTTCCCACAATTAAAAAAGAAATTTATGAAAAGTTTCCCATTCTAAAGTCTTAAAAGTCTTCCTAGAACAGAGTACAACACTGAATTTTTCTCAATTTTCATTTTAATTTTTTCTCTATTTTAAAACAAGATTTGTAAGTATACCTCAAAAATCTCTTCCCTGGAGACTTCAATGCGGCAATGGCCAGCCTGAGGCTGTTGCTGGGAAAGTTCTTGGCGCAAAATTTTTAGTTTCTGAACCAAGTCTCGCTTATACCGTGGGACTGTGAGACACTCAGGGTCATCAGGACATAGGGATACCACTTGCTGTTGCTGTTGGTCTTTTAACTGGTTCTGCCGACTAGAAATAAACAGAGATAAAAAGGGATTTTAAATAAAACACATTACAAGTATACATTTAAAATAACATACTACAAAATAATGTAGCCATACCATTTTCAGGCCTTATTATAGTTCTGGCTTGACCTTTTTACCAATGATAAGCTAGTTCCAAACTTTATTTCTCAGAATCCACCCACATTTATGGAGCTGAATAATGGAGTTTTATCCATAAAGGTTTATATAGCTGCTGAGAACAAATTTTTCAAATACCGTTGCCATTTTCTTCTGCGCAGTTTACATTCACCCATTTTAAAATTCAGGCATATGCCCAATTCTGTGCCTGTTATCTAGAGTCTGTCCTCTCTGGAAGAGACAGTTTGAACGGGCAGCCTGGCAGGGACCCTTCTCTACACGCTCCAGTCTAGACCACAAGAATGTGGGAAGTCACATGGAAGTTGCTGCCATAGAGAAATGAGCACTTTATAAACAAGTCTAAATGTTTCCCAAAGTGACTTTTTTGTGTGTTTCTACATAATGTGAATTTACTATTTTAATCGTTTTTAGTGTGTAGTCTGTAGCACTGAGGCATTCACATTATGGTGCTAAAGTGACTTCAACCTGCAATACACAGTTCATCACAAATACATAACAATAATCTCCCGGGTACAGCAGAAATAAAATTTCTAAAAGGCATGCTGCTTAGAGATATTTGTATTCTCCTGGCAAAAAAATATTAAGATACATCTAAGAAGTTTTTTTTTAAAGCTCTATGATAAATGAATTAGTTAATTTTAAACTAAGCTGTCAAGTAGAAAGTTTAATTTTACACACAACTGACAAAAGTACAGTTTCTGAACCTAAAGGTAAAGAGCAAAGGTAGCTATGACACAAATAACTTTGAATTCTCTAGTAAATCACCTTTAGCTTACTTTACATACAGTGATTCCTAAGTACCATGTCAAATTTTATTCTTAAAGCATAACTCTATCAAGAAAATAGTTTGATGAAAATTACAAATCATTATTCACTACTCTACAAACATCATAATAAAAATGCTTTTATATATACACATTAGCAAAATCAAAAGACTGTATTTAAGAATATCCCTATACAACAGTATAACTCTAATGCAAAGGAAAAAAAGAGAGAGGACTTGGGTTTACCTTATACCAGATACAAAAATTTAACTCAAAATGGATCAAAGACCGCAATATAAAACTAAAACCATAAAACTTCTAAACACAGAAGACTTTCGTTGTGATTATTAGATAAAAAATTTCTTAAAGGGCCTCCCCGGTGGTGCAAGGGGTTAAGACGCAACCTATGAAGCTATTTGCAGCCACTGCAACACTGCCAGGGAGCAACCCACATGGCACAGCAGACCTCTCCTGTCTCACCCGCTGCTCCCCTCAGCAGTGTATTTCTGTTGATCTGCCTGTTCTGTTCCCCGCTCTGTCTCTGGTGAATCCTCTCACCTCCCACACCTCTGGCCTGCACCCCAGTTCTTATATGCATAAATAAATAAATCTTTAAAAAAAACTTTTTAACTATAACAACAAAAGCCCAACTCATAAAAGAAAAATGGATAAATGAAACATCATCAAAATTTCAAAGAAAACTTGTACTCTTCAAAAATCAATGTTAAGAAATTAAAAAGAGGGCCTCCCCTGTGGTGCAGCGGGTTAAGCACAGCACTGTGAAGCTGTCCGCAGCCTCTGTAGAGCGGGTTCGATTCATGGCCGGCAGGGAGAAACCCACATGGTGCAGTAGACCTCTCCTGCCTCGCCCACTGCTCCCTTCAGCAGTGCTTTTGGTCGTCTGCCTGTTCTGCCTCCTGCTCTACTTCTCCTGCCTCTCACTCTCCCCCACATATGGCCAGTTCTCCAGTTCTTGTATAAATAAATCTTAAAAAAAAAAAAAAAAGAAATTGAAAGGATAAATCCCAGACAAGAAATTTTTTCCAAACCAGTATTTGATAAGGGACTTGTATCTCAACAAGCTAAAAAACTCTTAAAACTCATAAGTTTTGGGCCTCCCCTGGTGGCGCAGGTGGTTGAGCGCCACGCTGTGAGGCTGTCTGTAGCCTCTGCAGCACCGGTTCGATCCCTACCGGCCGTGGAGGGTCCCACATGTTGCAGCAGACCTCTCCTGTCACACCCGCTGCTCCCCTCAGCAGTGTATTTCATCAGTCTGCCTGTTCTGTTCCCAGCTATGTCTCAGGTGAATCCTCTCACCCTCCTGCGGCACATCTGGCCTGTGCCCCAGTTCTTGTATAAATAAATTTAAAAAAAAAAAAGGTTTAAAAAACAACTAATTCAAAAGGGGGAAGGCAAAAAATTTCACAAAGAAGATATAGAGATGGCAAGTAAGCACAAGATGTTCAACACTGTTAGGATTAAAATGCAAATTTAAACTACAATGAGATGCTAATATATGCCTAACAGTAAGATAAACAATACTGCCTTAGAGAGGACCAGAAGCAACTATAGCTCTCCTATGCTGCTGAGGGGAGTGTGAAAGGGTAAACCACTTGGAAAAGCAAACTGGCAGTTTTTTTAAAAGTTAAACATCAATACCATGACTCAGTCATTCTACTACTAGGTATTTATTTAACTAAGAGAAATTCGAGCACATGTCCATACAAAACTCACATATGTACATAATAGCTTTATTTGTTGCGCAAAAAAACTGGAAAACAATCCAAATATTTATTAATAGGTAAATGGACAAATAAATTGTATATCTATACAGTATCTATACAATCTATACAATTGTATATCTGAACTATATGCACAACCAGAGATGAATCTCAAACTCACTATGCTGGATAAAAGAAACCAAACAAAAGGAGAAGACACAAACTGTAGGAATCCATTATCTAACGCTCTAGAGAACACAAACTAACACACAGTGATAGAAAGCAGATCAGTGGTTGGCTGAAAATGGAATGTATATGGCTTGAACTGTGAAGTCCAACATCTAGATGAGAGTGGCCCAAAATCCAATTAACTGGTATCCTTATAAGAAGGAGGAAATTTGCATCCATACATAAGGAAAGGAGTGGCACAGAAGAAATGTACTTTGTTCTTAGCCACCATTCTTGACCAGAACTCCCAAAATACTTGACATTTCCTGAGTGACAGGGATGACAGGTGTATCTTTTGTTCTAATATTAGTCTTTGCCCTCAGTTCAAGACACACAGGTCCCAGGATACACAGATTCTGTGGCCTCTCTGGGTGCATCCCCTAGAACATTCCTTTAGCATGTTTATGAGCATGCTAAAGGAGGTGCCTTTAACAAGGCACCTCTGGGTGGACCCTAAATAACTTCAAAACGGTTGCTGGGGCCTCCCCTGGTGGCGCAGCGGTTGAGCACTGGATTGCGAAGCTGCCCGCCCACAGCGCCGGTTCCATCCCCAGTCACCGGCGAGGGTCCCACACGGCAGGCAGACCTCTCCTGCTGCGCCCGGTGCTCCCCTCAGCAGCATATTTTGTCGGTCTGCCTGTTTCTGTTCCCCACTCTGGCTCTGGTGAATTCTTTCACCCTCCTGCACTTCTGACTGTACCCAGTGCTTGCATAACTAATTAAATAATTCTTTAAAAAAAAATCAAACGGTTGCTGCTCACCAGTAAGGCTAAATGAAAATACTGACTAAAAAATATTTCTGTGGCAAAGTGCTGCATTGAACCCTACTTGAAAGTATTGAACAATGTTTTTACAATGACTTTACATTGTTCTTTGTCATTGACAGATTAGATATTGAGGCATTATGGGAACTGCACAATCTTCAGAACATAAAAAACATTTTTTTTTAATCTCTTCCCTTTGAAGAGAATAACACCAATATTACAGGAGGGGTTCACATTAGAGGCCATGGCTGAGGGAGACTAATTCATCTGTTAAGAAAGGTTTCTTTTATTAAGTCCTTTTTAAAATGTCCTTTGATGTAAATTTTATATAATAGGCCCAGTAATTCTTTTAAGAGGTAACTTCTGATTCCTATTCCCAAAATTCATTCTCAATTCTTCTTAGTTTGAATACCTTATTCCCTTCAAAAATATATTTTACTCCACCAAATTTTTATCTGGCTCTGACAAGATTATTATGATTATACTGCTATCATCATTTTCTCAGTTCCTAAATGCTGAAACAGAAAAAACAAACAAACAAACACACCAACCCCCCCCAAAAAAGCAATCCTGTAAAAACATTTATGCATATTATATAATAATACAATTCACACAAAACAACACCATAAAATTAGGAAGAAGGGTCACATCAATTTCATTAATTCTAAATTAGTCTCATCACTAATAGCCTATATTCTTACATTTTTTTGCAGGAAAAAAACACATTAGAGCTACCAAATAAAGTAACAAAATATCTGACACTCACAGACATCAAATAAAACTCCTTTAAAAGGGATACCCTGTGGCACAATGGCAGCACGTCTGACTCCAAAACTCCCTCAATACCATCTTAAAAACACATCGCAACTTAAAAATCTTTTAAAATAGAAATAAAATATGTCATCAGCTAATTAGGGAAAAGCAAATTATAATCACAATGACATGCCACTACACATCATCTGACTGGCAAAAACATTTTAAAGTCCAGTAACACCAAAGCCTAGCAAAAAGTTGGAGCAACAGGAACTCACACACTGCTGGTTAGAGCTGCACAACTTCAAAATAAGTTCCTTTGTAAAATATCCTACAACACAGTAATTCCATTACCAGGCAAGCGCCTAAGAGCTGTCTTAACTCAAGGGGTAGATTGCAGACTCTCTCTTTTGCTAAGATATGTATCTTAACTTATAGAAACAGTTCATATTTCTTTGTATTTCTTAGTGCTGACACATAGCAATGTTTACAAATATTTGCAAACTTCATTTTTAGCTAAAGTTTTAGGTTCTTCTATCTACAAGCTGAGATCTGTTGACACAGGAGCAGCCCTGGGGTAATTGTACATATGTGAAAGAAGGAAGCAATGACAGACATTTTAAATGCTTTCTCCTGTTACCCTAAACCATTGTAGCAGTTGCATTTAAATTTTCTGTTTTATTTAACCTAAGCTCCAAAAATTGATTAATAAAACAAGGATATTTCCAAAAACCATCTTGGATGATACTGTCTCCTTTTTTGACATTTTTATACACATAGAACTTAACAACAAATGAATGACAAAGGTAAGAGTATGTGTTAATCGCATGGAGAACAGAGAGGGAATTATACAGGGTGACAGGGTCTGTCCTCTACGTTCTTATCACAAGCAAGACCTGTGTTGTTATGTATGTATCAAAGTGTTTTTGCTTGAATTATTGAAAAAAAGACACCCCTGCTCCTTTATTTGGTAATGAAGTTTCCTTTTCTCTCTTTCCTTTTTTCTCTTCCTCAGAAAGCAAGGTAATAAGACTTCAAACAACAACAACAACTAGGCAGCTGGAAAGAAAAGAATTGCAAAGGGTGCAAATAATACTCAGGAAATTGGTTAACAGCAGTCCAAAACAAGTGTGTCTGGGTGAGAATTCAGACTTGTACTACTTACTGGTGATCTACTAAAAGTCACTTAACCTCAGTGCCTCAGTTTTCCTCCTCTACACAAATGGCAAAAAAAAATGACCTCAGAAGTTGTTCTGAAAATGAAATGGCTAGATTCTATAAAGTACTCAGGACAGCACTTAGTATACTATGGAAGTGTTAGCCATGACTACAAGTAGTTGTGTTGCAAATAGCCAACACAAAATTGGCCTCTATGTCTGTCAAACTACTCCCTTTTAAATAGACTACCCTCTCTTTAGCGCCACCAATAAATATCCTTTTCCTAACACTTCAAGACCAGTTCTTACTTAAACTAAGTGGGGTTAAAAAAACTCATATTAGAGTAAAATCTGTAACAGTCTCGATTTTGCTTACTAAAAGTAATTCATAATTGAAGACAGTAGACATTCTAATACACTTGATACACAAAGCAACTATCAGTCTTCACGTCTTCAGATTGGCATTTTAACAAGTATTGTTTCCAAAACTTACTTTAAAACTAAATGCAAGTTAGCAGAGAGTCGAGGATCTGTAAACTGTGTTGTTCTGTTGTTATGGTCAACGAAATAAACTCTGCCTGTGGCTGTATTACGGATCTCCCATCCAGGAGGCAGTGGACCAAGCTCTTCACAATTGATGTTGCTAAGATCCCTGAAATAACAAATATAAAATGAAAAATACATCCATTGCAGGGCCTGCTGAGCCAAGCAAGTGTGACACAGAACAATTCCATGAAGTCTTAGAATATGTATTGTTTCAGAAACTTGAGATGTTCAGTTGGAATCTCTAATTCCCAATGGTTTAAACAAACTTGCATAGTCAAAACTCAATCCATAAATGGTTCAGAAACTTATCACACTGCCTACATTTTTAGTAAATTCATTCCTCAGCTTTAATGTAATGCAGATTTAAAATTAATATAAAAGCAATCACAGCATCTGCCAACATAAACTATACTTTATACTTGTCTGACAGAAAATAGTCTTACAAATGTCAGTGACATAAGTAATTAAATGTTTTCTAAAATTTCCCTTCAATTATTTCATTCTTTACTACACTACAAAACTTGTAAATAAATGTTCATTCCATCAATCATTTAAGCTTGCCAATAAAGCAAATTTGAAAATGTTAAAATCATGATTCTAAAAATAAAGCATATTTTGAAGGATAACTGCTCCATTTTGAATTTTAAAATCTGTAAAGCTAGTGAATGAAGATGTCAAAAGAAGTATGTTCAAAGCTTACCACTACAAAAAAGACAGACTTTTAATGGACCAAAGACCACTAATATATTATACATTTTTTAAATAGCACTATTTCATATACAAAGTTTTATAGGACCTTAAAGAATGAAAAAAAGCAGCAAGATCAATGTAAACTTCAACTATCACGGGTAATTACAATGATGAATATCATCAAAATGTTTTTTTTATTTAAAGATTTATTTATTTATGCATGCAAGAGCTGGGGTACAGGCCAGAGGTGAGGGTGGTGGTGAGAGGATTCACCAGAGACAGTGTGAGGAACAGAATAGGCAGATTGACTGAAGTACACTGCTGAGGGAAGAAGTGGGTGAATCAGGAGAGGTCTGCTGCGCCATGTGGGTTGCTCCCTGGCCGGCCGGGGATCGAACTCATGCTGCAGAGGCTTCGGATTGCTTCACAGTGTGGTGCTTAACCCTTTGCCCCACCAGAGAGGCCCCCTTATCACAATGTTTTAAAAGTTGAATTAGAAAAAAGATTTTCCCTGTAGTAGCTTCTTAGTGAAACACAAAGTAAGCACATATCTAAGCACCCATACATTTTTAGAAACAGTGATTCTGACTTCTGCTTATAGGGTCTCCAAGAGTCCATTTACAGATTTTAAAATTCAAAATGGAGTAGTTATCCTTTAAAATATGCTTTGATTATTTTTAGAATCAGAATTTTAACATTTTCAGTTTGTTGGCAAGCTTAAAACATTCTACTCTAATGTTTAGAAAGAATATATCATCTGAGATACTACTAGTTTCAAAAGAGGCAAGAAAAGTTAAGAATCGTCCTCAAATTTAAATTTAAAAAAAAAAAAAAGTGAATTGAGCTGGAGCTGGCACCTGAGTGGCAAGCAGGCAGAGGGGCAGGGCTGCTAAAAGGTGCTGTTCACTGGGAAACAAGTCTCAGGCCAGCAGCACAGCTGAAAAAGGAAATCTGGAATTTCCCCACTAAGCTGGGGAACAAATTGATTCCAGGAAGACTTCCTAAATTCCTACTTAGGTCCACAGAAATCCAACCAATTAAAAACAAACAATAAACTCACAATAAAAGATCACCAAACACTTCAGGAAGGGAAGTCATGATGAATGCAAGTTAGTGGAAACAAAGCACTAAATTAGATACCCAAGTATTGTCAGAGATCAAACAAGAGAACAGCTATGATGTGTAATGCTTTTTAAAAAGGGCACAATCCCAAATACAAACTATCAATGAAAGACTTTTAGGAATGAACATATATTTTAAATGGAATTTTAGAAATGGACGCAATCACTGAAATCAAAGAATACTTCTTTATATAATTTTATAAACCTATAGTTGTACGTTAGAGAGCTCTTAAAGAACTGATTAAAAGTTTAAACAGAAAATTGGAAACAAGTTTTATGTCCAAGTGGGACATGATTAAAGAAAAATGGAATGTTATGGTCATAAAATGTAACAAAGATCTATATTTCAAGACCATATAGTGTTTTAAAGAGAAATGTAAAAACATGATAAAATGAAACTTCTCAGATAAATATGCTTACTGAACACCTTTAAATAAAGTTAATTTTCACATGTCTGAGTTTAAAATGTCTTTAGTGATTACATTTTAATAAGATTTGTATATAGTCCACTTAAATAACAGATAGGCCATATGGGCCTCCTTGGTGGCTCAGGGGTTAAAGTCTCAGCACTATCAAGCTATTGCCAGTCACTGTGGCATGAGTTCCATCCCAGGCTAGGGAGCTAACCCACACATGGCACAGCAGACCTTTCCTGCCTTGCCTGCTGTTCCCCTCAGCAGTGTATTTCATTAGATCTGCCTGTTCTGCTTCCCATTCTGTCTCTGGTGAATCCTCTCACCCCCCCACACCTCTGGCCTACACCCCAGTTCTTGTATACATAAGTAAATAAAAATAAATCTTTATTCTTGCAACACACAATTTAAGAGCAACTTTCTCACTATTATAAATCATTTATTTTAAAGAATCATTTTCAGGCCTCCCCAGGTGGCACAGCAGTTGAGCGCTGGGCTGCGAGGCTGCCCGCAGCCTCTGCAGTGCCGGTTTCATCCCCTGCCGCCGCCAGCGAGGGTCCCGCAAAAAAAATAAATAAATAAATAAAATTTAAAAATCCTTTTCTTGGGGCCTCCCTGGTGGCACAAGAGGTTGGGCACAACACTATAAGGCAGTCCACGGCCTCTGCAGCACGAGTTCGATCCCTGGCTGGCCAGGGAGCAGCCCACATGGCGCAGCAGACCTCTCCTGGCTTGCCCACTGCTCCCCTCAGCAGTGTACTTCAGTCAATCTGCCTGTTCCATTCCCCATTCTGTCTCTGGTGAATCCTCTCACCGCCCCCCCCACATCTCTGACCTGTACCCCAGCTCTTGCATGCATAAATAAATCTTAAAAAAATAAAAATAAAAAAATCATTTGCTTATATACATTTCCTTCAAAAGATTTAAAATAATTTTATAGAATAGCTCACTACTGACCTTCAATTTGATAAATGAATCCAAAATATAATTTACATAACAAGACTCTTGTTTCTCAAAGTTAGGCCCTTGGATTTTTTTTTTAAACTAACAGTTTATATTATCAAGACAGAGAAATGGCAGTCTTAATACAATTACTAATGACAGCATATTTATTTCCTTGATTGCTACCCTCATGGGGGGGGGGTTCTAATTAAGCTCTATTACAAACATTGTCATTACAATAGCTTTTTTTATAGAGAGTACCAAAGCAATCCAAGATCAGCTAGTAACATCTGTTTTTGATTCAAGTACATGATTCTTGAAAATAGAGACTTGAGTGTAAGCTTTAGGCAGAAAAAGATCTCCTGACCCTCTATGGGTCCTTCTTTTTGGAGAGGGGAATGCTGTACTTAATGTTTAGGACATCAGCTCACACAGGCATACATGCAACTGGATTCAGAGTTTAATTTAGATTTCAACCTTTTTTGCAGTTTCAACTTGACTACTTGGCATTTTGCATTTGTTCATTAGAAAATAACTCAAAATAACCAAGTAATATTTTAAAAACTTACTATTTGATACTAAAATGTTTTGAAAATTAATTATTAAATATATGTGTATCATTCCATCTTCATGAAATTAAAAGAGAACTGACAGTTTGGTCATTAAATGTACTCCATGATGCCTGCAATTTTAATGTATAATAAGTTTTGGCATTTAAAAGAAATTTAATTTAATTAGGTCATTTTCTTTTCTACATTAAACTAAGATTTTATTAAGGACTTATAAGTTAAAAAAAAATTTCAACTTAAAAAACTAGAAAATAGGGCCTCCCCTGGTGGTGCAGTGGTTGAGTGCTGGGCTGCAAAAAACTAGAAAATAAAATACCAAATACCCTTTAAAAGGGGGTATGACAGGAAACATACAATTTTATAATGCGATGCTTAAAACATTTTAAGGATATGTAGTCTTTGTAAAATCTTGTTTTCCCCCCCCCCAAATCAATTTTCAAACTCAAAAAAACACCTTATTTTTACACCAATTTTTAAGGGGAAAAGGTGAAAACGACCGGGGGCTACCTGTAAGGTCGGTCGCTGGGATAGGGCTACAGAGAAATAGGTAAGACTGTTTCCTAAATGTCAGACTAAAACAAATCACAAACAGCCAAAATTTTACACAAACTACTTTAAGAAGCTAAAAATTAAATAATCTAAGAAGTCCTAAGTAAAACAGATAACCAATCATAGGCAGAATATTTAGAATATGTTCTTACCTAGGCACTCTTGGGTCATGCCATGTGCTCACACCAGTCTGAGTATGTAAGAAATATACCTGACCTTGCTGTGTTGTCCTCTGTTCTGTAAAATTAAAAAACACTAACAGTAAAAACATATTCAGAATGTCCAAGTCAAACACCGCTACAGACACTAGGATATTACATTAATAGGAAAATTCTCAAATTACGAATCTATTTTATTACCGAAGAATCACTTTATAAATCATCTGTTCTGATCTCAGAATACGTTTTCACCTGGAAACAATCTTATACATGGGGATGAGGGTCACAGGCCATCTATCTAAAAGCCAAATGCTTTCATAATGTGGCTCAGATACTAAACATGTTGCATTAGGAAAACAGAAAACAACACTGTGAAAATACCAATAATTAAATAAAACAAAGATGAAGAAATGAACTTTTATTTGCCTTAAATGTGAAGCCTGAGAGGAACAAAAGAAGGCTCAGAGGAAGAAGCTAGTCAAATTTGGGGAGATAGCAAAGGAAACTGCAGAAACTTTTGAAGCATATGCAGGCTTGTAATGCTTTGTAATTATGCCCAATTTTATACCCAAACTTAAGTTTTTCTCTTTTCTTGACAGAGGTATAACCTCAATACTACATCTGGGGAACTCCCTGGTGGCACAGGTGGTTGAGCACAGTGCTATGAAGCTGCCCGCAGCCTCTGCAGTGCTGCTTTGATCCCAGCCGGCCGCGGAGCAACCCACAGGGTGCGGCAGACCTCTCCTATCTCACCCGCTGCTCCCCTCAGCAGTGTATTTCAGTCATCCTGCCTGTTCTGTTCCCCGCTCTGTCTCTGGTGAATCCTCTCACCCTCCCACACATTTGGCCTGTATCCCCATTCTTGTATAAATAAAATAAATCTTTAAAAAAGATTACTACACCTGTACTCAAACAGAAGCCCCCCACCAAAAAAACAAAACAAAACAGGGGAAACACCCTATAGTCAAAATTAGGCAAGGACTGAAAAATAATTAGAGAAAGAAGGACTAAAGAGCAAATGTGCATACTGGGGAGGAAAAAATCAAAGCTGAAATTAATTCAAAGCCCTTCAGAAGAGGAAGAGGAAGCCAGGACAAAAAGAAGGAATCTGTAAAAGTTTCAATGGTGTTTTTTAAGCACCAGAACCACTTTTCTTCAAGTAAATCTAATAAAAAATTCTGACAAAGTATTTAAAACATTAGTTAATATTAGCAAATTAGTTTAAAAATCTGTCCATCAACTAGTTTTAAACTTTTAAAAATTACAAACATAAAAATGTTTTAAATTGTTTTAAGTTAGAGCTGCTCAATTTCGGATTTGAGAACCACTTTATTCCCCTATTTTGGTTGTATAAAAAATTTTTGATACAAATAAATATTATAAAAATATAATCACCCCCCACTCCAACAGTCTGACTCATAATCTCAATTAAAGAGAAATAATAGAAGATACTTTATACTAAGGTTTGAACATTGATATAGCTAAAATTTACTAAGTGCTTCCTGTGCCAGACAGTATGTCAGGCATTTCACATAATTATCATTTACTACTTGCTACAAACCTACACAGTCAGTACTATTATTTTCCCCATTTTATAGAAAATAAAAGTAAAGCTCACAGAGGTCAAACAATGTGCCCAGTGTCAAATACTACGTGGCAAAGCCAGGATACCAACCCAGGTCTATCTCCTCCACTCTTGCTCTAATCTGGTCACAATGTAATAATCCTGCTCTCATTACCCTGTGCAGCACAGCACAATTAATGGACAAGTGAGTTTTGTTTTAATTTAAAAGTTTAAATATGTTTTAAAAAAGATAGAATTGTGCATTTACAGAACAGTTTAAAACATATTCTAGAGTAAAAAGTGTCAGATCAGGCAATTCCCTAAGTTGGTCATTAGGTGTCACCATGAGACCAGAACAGTTCATCCACAGCCTGTTAAGGCAAGAACGCAAGGAGCCTTGGTTAAGTTTTTAGCAAGCAAGTAGAGTTCTCTGTAAGGTTTCAACACTTATGATTATTTTAGAAAGTTTTGTATCCACTATAAGATTCATGCCCTCTACCACACGAAATTCTGCAACTCTAAGAAATTATATTAAGATTATAATAATCTGACTGCCTAGCAGTGACTAAGTCATTAACAACAATAACCCACTCAAATAACCCAAAACTATAGATAATACAAATATATAAATAGCATCAGAAACATGCCTTGAAATTATTTCTAAAAATGTATGCCTAGAAAATTACACTGGAGGGCCGCTGTCAGATCACCACTACCAGTAACAACACCATCTCACCTTTACACAGTGCTTAATTACAAAGTAGTCTCATACTGTTTCATATGCTCCTCACAATATCCTGGTGACAAGGAGAGGCAATATTTAAACCATTTCGTTACAAGAGAGCAAAAAGGCTGATATTAAATGACTAGCCCAGTTCAAACTATTGGTTAGGTAGTTTTCTAACACTTCCAAGACTAAGTTAGGAAGTTTTACATTTACTTTTATTTTCATGCAGAATCCCTAAACCCAGATTAACAAATTCTTTAAAAGTTGATTTCCTGACTTTTCTTAGCAAGCTGAAATCAGCAAACCACATTGTATTTTTCCTCTGCTAGTTGTCATTACCATAGCCTTCTGGTAGGTCTGGAGGAGTATGTAAATGTGTCCTGCTCATGTAATTTCTATGTCGTTGTGACCTGACTCTCCTCTCTGCCAGCCTGGGATCTGAAGACTGTCCACATGTTGCACCATTTGTTCCACTAATTGGAGTGTTCTCATCAACAAAGCAGCTAAGAGGTCTGCCAGGACTAGAGTATTCAGATGCCGGTCTATTGAAAAGTAACAGGGAAAAAAAGTTACTCAACTCAGATATCATATGTAGAGTTCTCTAGACAATGTTTGTATTGCAGTAACAATCATAAGAAAATGGAATGATTAATACAAAGAAAGATTTCAAGAAACCCTGAATAAAAGCAAGCCTGAATGAAGCCTCCTTAAGTACCAAACAAACTTAAGTGATAAGCAGGTTGTCAATAACACACTTAAATCACTTTATAATGATTTTAACTACATTGTATATGAAATTCTCATATATTTGTAGATTTGAGTACTAGCTTGCAAAGCACTATTCCATTTTGCTACAACCCACCTCCCGGATCTGACTTCACACCAATTCCCCATTCTGCTTCTGTCACACTGGCATTCTTGTTGCCTGAACTTCCTAAGGCCTTTCTACCTTTACTCCTGGAGAGTATTTTCTTTCCAGCTAGACTGTTTTCTTCTATTCTCCCTAGGTCAGGCTCTTTTTTGTCAATCACACAACAGAGTAAACGTAAATGTTGCCTTTAAGAGGTTCTTCCTGACCTGAGAATCTAAAGCAGTCATCCAGGAATTTGATTATATACCATTTTATCCCTCAGCATAGCAATTATTTCTGGAACTTTTCTTCTTGCCATTCTCATAATGTCTTCTCCCACTATAATCTTTACTGAATATAATCTGCCCAGTTTGCTCTTATATCTATGCAGGCTATAAATACTTGTTAATGAATGAAGGAAAGATGATAGTTTATCTCTTCAGAGCTTCCATCTATTTTAAGTTATTCAAACCACAGGGACAATCGAGTTAATTTTTAAACTAACATTTACAACAACAATCAACTTTATACATGTGGAAATTAAAATCAATTTTATCAGTTAAATGAGTCAGAAGGAAATAGACTTCACAAAAAAGCCTGACACAAGGTCACATTCATACATGCTGAGATACAATAAAAATGGGCTCTGACTTCAATAAAATCTTTGGCAGTGTAATACTAGAAGTACAACTCCTAAAAAAGCATTTTTTAAAAATGGCAATATAAGCTAAGCTTTTACCTGAGAACCGTAACATTGAGAAGACTTTGTGATTTAATGAGTTAACCAATTAACTCCAATAAATAAAAATTTGTATAGCTAATGAAAAGCATTTCATGTTCTATGCCAGATACCAGTCCTGCTCAGAAAGAGGGTAAATATAAAAAGCTGAGTAGTGGTGGCAAATAAAATTTGTTCTTATTTTAAAAAATAAAAAGTACACTCAGCTACTTATCCTATTCATTTTCAGTTACTTAAAAACCAATTCTTCACAGTTTCTAAAAAAATATCTTGTATCCTCTTATCTTTGTATACATTAAGTTCCATAAAGAAATGCCTTTCTTCCTTGTTCACTGTTAGGATGACCTGCTAAACAATCTTCATTGAAAAAAAAACTTTCAAAAATAATAATGGCACTTACTGTAAGATTTACTGATCTATAGCAATATAAACCAAGAAATCTAGTAAAGCTGATAGGCATACAGAAAGAAATGACTTCAAAGCATATCAAAACATTTGTATGTTCTTACCGTGTTGGACGTTCCCACTGTGTAGTTCTTGTTATGTGGTTTAGATACTGAATTCTTCCAGAAGCAGTTCGCCTTTCTTCCCAGCTTGGAGAAAAATATTGAGAGATAAGGTGTTAATGGGAAGCTGGAAATAGAATGTTTTTACTGCAATAACCAAGGAAGGAAGACATCTGTTGTTATGAATCAGGAATGACAGACTAAAAGACCAATACACAGAATACAGGAAATTTTTCCACTTATTTTAGACTGTGTATCTCCTGGAATTCTTAAGCTTCTGAGATATTTACATTGAAGTCTGACATTTTCCATCAACCAGACTCAAAATTTTCAAAAATGTCAACAATGGTCAATTAAATTATATTAACTTCTCCACAATTTAGTGGGGAAAAAAATGACCATACTAAAAATAAAAATCACACATAAAATTTTAAAAATTAAATTTCATTAGAAAAGTATATATATAAAAGCTTTTCTTTTTTTTTTTTTAGGATTAACTTTTTTTTTTTTTAAATAAAGGCATGTTTTATTTATTTATTTGTTTGTTTGTTTGTTTTGTTTTGTTTTGTTTATACATGCACTGGGTACAGTCAGAAGCGCGGGAGGGTGAGAGAATTCACCAGAGCCAGAGCGGGGAGCAGAGCAGGCAGAAGGACCGAAGTACACTGCTGAGGGGAGCAGTGGGCGGCAGGAGAGGTCTGCGCGCCATGTGGGACCCTCCTCCGGTGGTAGGGGAGCAGCCGGGGATCGAACTGGCGCCACAGAGGCCATGGGCAACTTCGCAACCCAACGCTCAACCGCTGCGCCACCGGGGAGGCCCTAAAAGCTTTTCAATGTATGCAACTCACCCAAATTTTTAAAAAACCGAAGAGTGACACTTCTTCCTCAATGTCTTACTTTTTTAAAAACAAAAACCCTTTTACATATTTATTTATTTTATGCATAGAAGAACTGGGGTATAGGCCAGAGGTGCAGGGAGTGAGAGGATTCACTAGAGACAGAGTAGGGAGCAGAACAGACAGATCTACTAAAACATACTGCTGAGGGGAACAGCACGCAAGACAGGAGAGGTCTGCTGCACCATATATGGGTTAGCTCCCTGGCTGGGGATTGAACTCATAAACTCAGGCCATCATGGTGATAGCACGCTGAGACTTAACCCATATGCCACCAGGATGCCCTCTGAGTATCTTACTTTAACTGGTATAATAAAAAAAAAAATGAGCAGATAACTATTAAAATGTGGTAACTTTAATATTTCTACTAGACATAGGTTTGGAGGTCTCACAAAATAAAAAGATTCTGAAGGCTTTTTCTCCCTGTGATTATAAGAGTGTCACAAGTTTAGGATAACAACCTTTTTTGTAATTTCCATTTAAACCTGTCCCTCAAAAGCGCCATAATCTACCTCACATTTTGATAAGAGTTAACAGATACATAAAGAAGCTAAAAAATGATCTATAAACAGCTTAAATTACAGCAATGTTTAAGTTTAAACAAACTGCATAAAAGCCGTAGCGTGAATGTAAATTATATCAAAATTCAATCAATTATATACCACACTTTAAGTAGATATAATTTAATGCATGTAACTTAGACCTAAATGAAGTTAATTAAAAATAACTTTAAAAGTTAAAAATAAAATCAGAAAAGTATCAAAAAAAGAAGAATGATAAACAGTATGAACTGTGGAATCAAGGTTCGAGTTTCTGTTCCAGTTCTGCAATTTACTATGTGGTTTTTGGCAAGTCACCTTACTTTTCTGAGTCGCAGGTATTTTAACCTGCGAAATGAATGAGGGTAACAGCAATAGCAGCAGTAGTAATAGTAGCTATTTGTTTATTAAGCACTTACTCTATGCAAGACACTGTGCTAAGAGCTTTCCACAGACTACTACTTCATTTAATTCTTACAACAATTTATGGCATATGTGGCTTTTATCATCATCCTTTTTATAAACAAATACAAATCAAAACTTAAAAAGAGTTAAGCTGATTAAATTTCAGAAAGCTAGCAAAGCATAAGATTAAGGACCCAGGTGGCCTAATTCCAGAATCATGTGCTCTGAGAGTTAAATGACATAATGTATATAAAGTACTTTACTGCAGTATCTGACACAGGCGTGTTCAATAAGTATTACTATGCTATTACAACTACTATTTGCCAAATTCTCTATCCCATTCTTCTAAATACAGGAGTTTCATATGCCGCACTGACCTGTTTTCAAAAATTTATTCAAACAGTTAAGTTTTTCTTCTGAATATATGTTCATAGGAAAATTGTTATCTACCAGGAAATTCATTTATCTTCTAGTCAAAACTCTTAAAAATTATATTTAACAAAGTTAATTTATGGCTAATTTTATAAATTTCTAATTTTCCAAGTACAAGCAAAAAGTAGATTGTAGAATATATGGGCAAATTTCTCAAGTACACAATAAACACCAACATATTTCTCATTATTTTAAGAGTATTATGTAAATATTTCTCAATGCATTTTAGCTTACCCATCTGGTAAATCATTATCAAACAAACGACTGCAGTCCACAACTTGTCCTCCTGTGCCTATTCGGTCTCTGGACTGAAGACTTACTAAAACAACAAAAATATAACTAAGAGTCATACAACTAGAACAAATAATTACAATTTAAATATTTATCTTTAAGGCTATAGCTTAGCTTATTTCAGTATTTTAGAATGAACTTTTTAGTTTCTAAATTCTGTAATTTCTTTTTCCCTAAGTTTCTCCTGTAGGAATGTGGGAATTTTAAGGTTTTCTATATTTTTATCATGTTCATAGAAGAGAGTAATTCACTTTTTCCCATCTTACCAAGGCAAAGCAAGACAACTAATGAACTTAAACAGAGGCAATGCACATGAATGATAAATTTATGTATAGAGAAACTTTGAAAAGTTAACTTTGGGTTGAATTCTTGACCATCTTTTAAAAAATAGATGATTCTGGCAACAGGTCAGTCCTTCGATTCCATGAGTTAAACAGTACCTAATCATCCAGTGTAGGATAAAATCACCATTGTATACTTGAAAGTCAAGAGATATGTGAACACAAACCAGGCTCAACCTACTGAGTTTAGTGCTTGACCCTGAACAAAACTCAACATTCTTCAGGTTTAGACAATCCCAATCTGAATAACGAGGAAGTTAAGCTAAATGATATGCCTTAAATCCTAAAAGTTTTGACTTTAATTCTACTTTTTGGTGATTCTCACAAAAAAATAGAAGAGGTACAGGCAAATTTGACTATAATACAACTTTTTAAAGAATAGGTTACTATATAAAATATGTCATCTTAAGACCTTTCTAGGAAGTGTCTCAAAATTCTGAAATCTTCAAGTTCTGTAAAAACTTCAAAATTTCAATACATTGCTTCTTTATATAAGTTCTGTTTACAGAAGACAACACTTATATCTCTGAAGTAAACATCATATGAAAAATGTAATATAAAACTATATTAATCAGTTTTTTAAAAAGATTTTTTAATTTAATTTTTATACAAAAGCTGGGGCACAAGCCAGAGGCATGGGACGGTGAGAGGACCCACCAGAGACAGAGCAAGGAGCAGAACAGACAGACGACGGAAATACACCACTGAAGGGAGCAGCGGGTGCGACAGGAGAGGTCTTCCACGCCATGGGGAATCTCCCTGGCTGGCCAGGAATTGAACCCGGGCTGCAGAGGCCGAGGACAGCTTCACAGTGCTGCGCTCAATCCGCTTCACCACCGGAAAGGCCCAGTTTTTTATCAGTTTTTATACAGAAAATCTAACTGAAATGCTCACTAAAATATAATCATAGTAAAAACAATATATTTTCTCATTAACTCTGCTTAAAAAAATACTAAGGTTCAAAGCTAAAGGACTTCCTGAGCCCCAATTTACTTCTCCAGAATGCTGTATTACAAAACATCTATGCAATTTTTAAATGGGACTGTTAATAAATGTCCCAATTTTAGAAACATATAAATTGAGTCAAAGAAATACTATGTTTATCAGAACACTGTTATAACATTTAAATGCCAAAACCTAAATACCTAGTAATAAGGGACTTGCTAATTATTTACCTACCATGGATTACTACATAAAATGCTATAGAAATGAATCCATATAGCAAAAAAAAAAAAAAGAAAAAAGGAAAGAAAAGAAAAAAGAAAACCATAGGATATTCAGAACTAGTAAAAACAGGTTATTTTAAAAACTGCACGGTATAATCTCACGGTATAATCTCTTTTAATAACAAAGGAAAAGTATACATGAAGGTAATGACAATGATTGCTTATTATAGGTGCTACTTGGATAACATTTGTAATCCTTAAATCAAATCACCTCAATTTAGGAAACTGTTTTCCCTAAGTTAACAATCCAAAAAAAGTGTCAAGCTAAGTGTTCATAAATGTTTGCTAGTTTCAATATTATAACAGCAAAAAATCACTTAAAGGTCAATGATTACATTATAATATAATAACTCATCCTTTGAAAGTCATTAATTATAAATACTAATGATGGTTATAGTAAGGAAAAGAAAGCCAAACCAAGATTTTATGTTGAGTGTGATTAAGATCAATATACATGCATATAAAAATTAGAATGAATGAGATTTTTTTTTAATTTATTTATTTATTTATACATACAAGCACTGGTACAGTGAGAAGCGCGGGAGGGTGAGAGAATTCACCAGAGCCAGAGCGGGGAGCAGAGCAGGCAGAAGGACCAAAGTACACTGCTGAGGGGAGCAGCGGGCGGCAGGAGAGGTCTGCGCACCATGTGGGACCCTCCTCTGGTGGCCGGGGAGCAACTGGGGATCGAACCGGCACTGCAAAAGCTGCAGGCAGCTTCATAACCCAGCGCTCAACCACTGCACCACCGGGGAGGCCCATGAATGAGATTTTTTAAAGTTGGTATCCTAGTGTACTTTTTTTCATTTTCCAAAAAAGCATTATATACATCTATTTATAATTATCTGTAAAGGTCACCAAGAAAGAGAACTTATCCTAGTCTCAAATAACGGGATCATAATGTATAATGTATGAGTCCAACTAACCTCTATTATGAACATCAAATTCACACAAGAACTTTAAATTCAAAACACACACATTTAAAATAAGTTTTTTAATGTAGTATAGAGTCCAGTAGGGATATTTATATACACATAATAAAGAAAAGTTTGCTATTTTATAAAAGCAATTTCACACCTAGCAAAACTATTTTGATTACTACTAGACATTAGTTGGCAAGAACCACATAACAAACCAAATCAAATAGAGGAGGAACAATAAGATTTAGAAAGTTCTGATGCTAAGATATATTTTTGAGGTATTTTATACTCCCTCTCAATTTTAGAATGACAGGAATTGGGGCCTCCCTGGTGGCTCAAGGGGTTAAGCACCGCACTATGAAGTAATCCGAAGCTTCTGCAGCATGAATTTGATCCCCTGCCAGACAGGGAGCAACCCACTTGGCGCAGCAGACCTCTCCTGACTTGCCTGCCCGCTGCTCCCCTCAACAGTGAATTTCAGCCTGCCTGTTCTGTTCCCCACTCTGTCTCTTGGGAATCCTCTCACCCCTGCATCTCTGGCCTGTACCCCAGTTCTTGCATGCATAAATATATAAATCTTTAAAAAAAAAAAAATGACAAGAATTATCAAGAATGCTGTAGTGCAAACACCTCCCTGTGAAGACAGCCAATAGAGCTTTGTTATGTTGCTAATGCTGGCAATTTCCTAACTATGAACCCAATTCATTGCCTTGTAAAATGAAATTCTCTCTGATAGCTCATAATAATCAATTTTACTAAACTCTGCTCTATAATTAAGTGGTAAGATCCCTATAGCATTTTTCCTTCTTTTACAAAAAATTTTTTAAATATTTATTTATTCAAGCATACAAGAACTGGGGTACAGGCCAGAGGGGTTAGGGGGTGAGGGGTGAGAGGATTCACCAGAGACAGAGTGGAGAACAGAACAGGCAGACTGACTGAAATATACTGCTGAGGGGAGCAGCAGGCGAGTTAGAAGAGGTCCACTGAGCCATGTGAGTAGCTCCCTGGCCAGGGATCGAATTCGCGCTGCAATGGCTGCAAACAGTTTTGTAAGTTGCATCTTAACCCCTTGTGCCACCAGGGAGGCCCATCATTTTTCCTTCTTAAGACGCCTCAAAGGAGCCCACCTCAGTGTCCTATGATACCATGTATCTAGATTAAATCTCAATACATCAATTCTTAATCTAATAGAAAGTCTTTTCTCTGGGTAAATTCAAAATAGAACAGCCCATAAGGTATGGTAAAAATTCCTCCATTTTTCAATGAGTGTTATACTATCATTCCTTATTCGACTCGTCTCAAGTAGCACAGATTATTTTAAAATTATAAAGCATAAGCAAAAAGTTCAACAGAATATTCTCTTCTTATGCAAAAACCAGTTTAAGAATTATTTTTGAAAACTTTTAGTATTATATATATCCTCTCTGTCAGTGCTCTACTATCTTTATATACCTTTAAAGAATTTCTTCCTCCCTTTCTTTCGGCCAATCTATCATCTTCCAGAAATGGCAAAAATGACCAACACAAAGGGAAAGAAAGTCACTCATTGTATGTTCTCTGAGTTTTAGAAAACATAGAGTTGTTCCTTTAGCCACATACATGCAATTCTATGAGGATGATATTGTAGACATCAAGGGGATGGGCATCACTCAGAAAGGAGTCCCTGCAAATCTTACCATGGCAAAACTGGAAGCCTATAATTTTGCCCAGCATGGAGTTGGCATTGTAGTAAAACAAACAAGTAAAAGCAAAGATTCTTGCCAAAAGTATTTACGTTCACACTGCGCCTAAACAAACACTCTGACAGCTGAAAGTATCAAAGAAAATGATCAGAAAGAAAAAAGAAGGCAAAGAGAAAGGTACTTTGGTTCAACTGAGGCACCAGACTGCACCACTCAGAGAAGCACACTTTGTGAGAACCAACGGGAAGGAGCCTGAGCTGGTAGAACCCAGGACCATAAATAAATAAAATACTATGGACTATGAAAATAAATAAAAGAATTCCTTCTAAAAAGAAAACTATCGAATGGTTTCAGTTACAGGTAGAGCATAGGAAAACCAAACAAAGGGTCAGGAAAAAAAGCAAACTTGCAGCTGATCATAGACTTGAGGCAAAGAGTGAAGGAGAGGGGTTAAAAGAAGGGAGGGAAGAGGGACTATGGTGACAGTTCAAGGTGCTATGGTGGTGGGAGAACTATGGGGACTACACCCGAAGGGAGAAGAATGATTTAAGAAAATAAGTAAAAAATTTTTTTTTTAATTTTTTTAAAAATATATTTATACAAGAGCTGGGGTACAGGCCAGAGGTGTGGGAGGGCAAGAGGATTCACCAGAGACAGAGCGGAGAACAGAACAGGCAGACTAACGAAATACACTGCAGAGGGGAGCAGCAGGCGCGACAGGAGAGGTCTGCTTCGCCATGTGGGACCCTCGCCGGCTGGCCGGAATCAAACCAGCCTGAGAGGTGCAGACAGCTTCACAGCGCGGCGTTCAACTGCCTGCGCCACCAGGGGAGGCCCAATAAGTAAAAATTTTTTAAAAAGGAACTCCTTCTTATAAGACCAATAATTCTTCATACTAGGCAGCTTTTTTTCTTTATTCATAGTTTATTTTTTAAATTTATTATCCTGGATCCACTGTTGAAAACATTTACTTGATGCATATTAATGAATGATAGTACAATGAAGCTAGTGATGTACTTTGATTTAAAAGATATTGAGCACTTAGGTCAGTTTGAATGAAGCCAAAATTCACTTTACTTTAAATTCCATACTTACCTACTATCTGCCCTCTGACTGTATCATTGTCATTTGGCCCAAGTTTGCACAGATCCAACCTCTGATCTATTTCAAATCAACAACAAAAAAAGTAATTACAAATTAAAAGTAATACTAACATCTATAGAATGATAATGAATTTCCATTAAATATTATTGGAAGTCAGGTCTATCATTTACACAATCATGTTTTAATGAAGAAACATGTTTAAAATGTTTTAATAGCATATGTAATTAGTATACGTATCTCAACAAAAGTTTCAATAACAATTTCAAAAGCCATTAAAACAATGGTGTATACATTTTCAGCATGCAGTTATTTTCTCTCTTAAGATTCCAGACTACTTCAGTCTGAGTCTTGGTTTGTCACTTAATAGCTATGTTCTTAAGCAATTTATCCCTGAGTCTTATTTTTCTCATATATGAGGTATTATTTACCTTATATTTTTTAAAAAATTAAATCAGATTATTATATAAACTCTTAGTACAGTACCTGGCGCATAAGTATTCAAAAGATGTTAGTCATCATCATTATTACTTTTCATCTAACCATTTCAAATGACCCCCTCACAAACAAAGTTGAGCATTAATAAGAAGCCAAGTATAAACTGTAAGATAAGGGCTGGGGTCAGTTCTGCTACTAACTCATTTAGGTCCACTTATTTATTCTCTCATGCCTCACATATAAAACATACGAAACTGGCCTAGCCAGTTACAGTAAGGAACATGGTCTCCTAAGGCTAATTTTACTTTGTTAAAGCACTTATAACTGAATTCTTTTACAATTGCATACCATCTGTCTACTTAAATAAATGGATCATGAATTGATAAAAGGATAACATATCTTAGCCACTGTATTCGCTACTCCAGCCTGGCAGAACACTACATCAGATGCTCAATAAATGTTTGACGATTAAATATTACTGCGCGTCAGTCAAAAAGGTCATATAAGAAATACCTCTCATATCACCCTAATAAAAGAAAGCAAAAACAAGTGTGTGCATGTGTGTGTGGGGGGAGGGGGGAGACGTCAAATAAATTAAAGCAATGAAACATCCACAAACATCAGAAAGAAAAATTCATGCTCCAAAATAGCTCCTGGTTATTTAGCCAAAAATACAGACTTTTTTCCCTTTGAAAAACAAATGAACACTACTAAGTCAGCTGCACAGTGGACTTATACAGAACAATTCCTCTTCTAAGCCCTTCCATGGGTCCTGCTCCCTTTGCCAGCATGTCTTTAGCCTTGCTTCTCAGAGGACAGGATTCATGCCCTTTTTACCTCCTATCACCAAGGTTTAGAATAGTACCTGACACATTACAAGTTCAATAAATGTAGGCTTATTGAACCTGAGATAAGGTCATACATGTAATCCGTAAGTTTTCAGTTTGCCTGCTGGGTTGGTAATAAAACAGCTTATTTTGATATGCTACAATTTTTCCAATCCAACATCTTTGTGTCGGTCCCTTTTCAACTAAACAATGTGAGACATTCTCAGGAGTCCTCAAATTTCCCTAACTCGGAACTTTAAGTTCAATTTCCTCCCTTTCTCTTTTTAACAAAGCAATACTTACATATTAGGTGTGATATCACACAACACAACATTAAAAGAGGTCATCTCCTGGGGCCTTCCTTGGTGGCGCAACGGTTTAAGTGCTGGGTTGCGAAGCTGCCCGCAGCCTCTGCAGCGCCAGTTTGATCCCCGGCTGCTCCCCCACCACTGGAGGAGGGTCCCGCATGGCGCACAGACCCTCAGCAGTGTACTTTGGTCCTTCTGCCTGCTCTGCTCTCCCCTCTGGCTCTGGTGAATTCTCTCACCCTCCCGCACTTCTGACTGTACCCAGTGCTTGTATGTACGTATGTATGTATGTATAAATAAATAGATAGATAGATAAAAGAGGTCATCTCCTAATACAGCTAACATTCATGGCTAAATTTACTCTAGTTATTTATTAATTTCCTTAGCTAGATTCTATGTGAATTTGTTCAGCATAGGCATCTGAGCTAAAATCCCAAGACTAGATAAAATCCCTTGACAATGACTGCATTTTTTTAATATTATATAAAGAATTTTGTAGAAACACAAAAAAATCTATTGAAAAATATAATTCCATTTATGTCTAATACTTCCAAAAAGATACTTTGTCACCTGGTTACATCAATTATACATATGCTAAGTCAGCTTGTCAATCCAATATGGAAATCACTCCCAATGTCTAGTCTTTCAAATGCCCAAGTTGGTGTAAAACTAAGTTACAGCTAAGCAGTTAATACAACTATCTTATACTCAAAATATTTTACATTTCTATAACTAGTTTTTTCATAGCAGTTTTATATATGACTCTTATTCACTAATAATTCCCCTTTAAGTTCCACCTTTAAATATTCCAATCACCTAAAACCTACTTTGTCTCACAAATCCACCAAAAAACAGGTAAGAAATTTTAAAAAGGCATATATACTTTGAAAACTTTCTTCTTACTGTTCTAGATATTCATAATTTCTTAACACCTATAAATTCACTGGAAATTAAGCATCAGCTCTGATTTAGTTCCAGTTTTCACACATTAAAAACAATTATTTTTAAGTATAAATATATTTAAGTCTAAATAAGTCTAAATAAATTTAGACCAGAAATTTAAGCCACAGGAAGTTTTAAGTTTTGGAACCACTGCCTCCCCCCAAAAGCATATACATGTATGTTTATGAGAATGTGTATGTTCATATATATATTTAAATTTTTTAAAGCACTAGTATCTACTCACAACCAGTATCTTTTAGGCGATTGATGGCATTGGAAAGAAGACGAACACAACCAAGAAATCCAGCACCTTGTTTTTTATGGATCTTCTTGTGATTCCATACACTGATCGTAACTGAATCAGACTTTCCAATGTACCTAAAAAACAAAATAACCGCATGAGTAATTTCGCAATTACAACTTGTGTAAATTTTTTTCTATTGTTTTGTAGTGTAAAGTCACAAATGTTTCAAAGTATGGCTAGATAAGGCAAAATAGGTTATAGGTTCAATCAATTCATAGGAATGAATTTAAATTTTTTAATTTTTAAATATCTTTTTTCACATTTGTCATCCTCAGAGTAACAATTTTTGTTAGCTTACAAAAAACTTTTTTAGCTAACTGAAACTGACAATTTATGATGATTATTTCATTTCTAGAGCAAAAATCTTACAAGAACTTTTATCACAATCATCTTTCAATGACATGACCTATATTACCTCAGAAAGAACTCAGTTCATTTTCAAGAGGCATTGTCAAGGCTGACAGACCAAAAATCTGACATACCTGGTATGTTTTAAAATGTTGTAGAACAAAAGATGTTTGTAACGCTTTTCCCCTGCTTCTTTCCTGTATGCAGGCCTTGAGCTAGCAGGACTCTTGCAGATTTCACTTCACTGCCTGCAGACAAGCAGAGCAGGGAAAAGCGTTACTAAACTTGTCCATGCATATACCTGCAAGTATGTAAAAGCTCTACCACAGTCAATTGTTAACATGGTGTCAAACCATGCAAAAATATAACAGTGTCATCAGTAGAATCCTAACTATATTTCAATGATTCTAAGAGGTCAAATTTTTGGTCCAGCAACCTTGACCTTATAACAACATTCAGTAAAGCAGTAATATCAGAAAAATTCAACAAGCACACAAAAAACATAAACCACCTATGTGAGGAGTAAAACTTTTAAATGAGGAATTCACATTTGAGCCTCTGAATCCAACTATGCTTAAAGTATTTTCATTCCTGGACTTTTAACTAGGCAAGCTAATACCTCTTTAAAAAAAAAAAAAGCCTATTTAAATTTTGTTTCTGTTCTTGCAAATGAAAAGATCTGTACTAAAATATCACTTAGCATGCATGCATCAATTTTCCAATAAACCTAACAGACCTAACTGGCAAATGACTACTACTGAGACATGGCATGCCCAAATTGTAGAGCCAGAATAAAGTATTAAACAGTTAAATCACCCCAAACATCTTTAAAAATATATTAAATCAGAAAAAAATATGTATATATATATATATATTATATCAGGGCCTCCCCTGGTGGCGCAGGAGGTTGAGCACTGCATTGTGAAGCTGTCTGCAGCCTCTGCAGTGTGGGTTCAATCTAGGCCGGCTGGCGAAGGTCCTACATTGCGCAGCAGACCTCTCCTGTCGTGCCCACTGCTCCCCTCAGCAGTGTTTTTCATTAGTCTGCCTGTTCTGTTCCCTGCTCTGTCTCTGGTAAATCCTCTTACCCTCCCGCACCTCTGGCCTATACCCCGGTTCTTATATAAATAAATGAATAAATCTTTAAAATATATATATATATGTATATATATAAAATCAGTTTCTGGTAAGCTTGATTTAGATATGTTAAAATATTTGATTCCCTACTGTCTCAGAGCTGGCTTAAGCATCTGGTTGGAGGTTGGCTGTCAAGGCAGAGAGGGAAGTCTTGAGAACATACATTGAAAGCAGCAGATCCTACATAATTGAATGACTATGTGACAGTGTCTCAACAGTGGTTCAGCAAATGGACTTTACATACAAGGTACACTTGTATTGCATTATCCACTGAAGATCTGGGGTTGTCTGCTGCAGCAGTTAGCCTGCTCTAACACAGGGGACAAACCATAAATGGCCTTGTCAGTCATGGTATGAACTCTGGCTTTTATCCCAAGTAAGATGGGAAACCAGTGGGGAAGATTTAAGACAGAGGATTAACAAGATTTCAAATATGTTTTAGCAGGATCACTCTGGCTACTATACTGAGAAAGACTAGAAGTCTTGCTAGAAAAGCAAGGAGTCTAAGGCAAAGATCAACAAACTACAGCCTGTGAGCCAAGCCCAGGAGAGCACAGGGCATAGTACCATTCATATTCTCTCTCCCTTGTCTCTCTCTCGCTTTAAGGCCATTAAAAATATCAAGAGTATGTACATCTTTCCACTGACAATTTTTCTATAACAAAATCATCATTTTCTACTTGATAGATTACTCAATAATACTGGACCTAGTCTCCTTGCCACTCCTGCTTCCATCTTAGCCACTCCTCACATTATAACCAAAGTGTCCATTTAGGATTTAAATCTAATTATAACATTTCCCCACCCAACACACTGTCATTGCTCCCCACTGCTTTTAGGAAAACATTCAAGCTTATTAACAGGTATGCAAGAACCTTCATGAGCTGGTGCCAGACTTGCCTCTTTTCGCTTGTCTTTTACCACCTTCCCCTTACCTTGCTGTATATCTGAACTGTTTTCAATGACATATTCTCTCTCGCTCTGGTTCTTCACACAGACTACTTTCTGCTTCCCATCTTTTCCTTTTCTCCTACTAAATGCCTAATCTCAACAATGCTACTTTTTCTTAGAAGATCTCCCCAATGCTTCAATCGGTGGAAAAAAAAAATGTATTTCTATAGCACCCTACACTTCCCCATATTATTATCACACTGCTTATAATTTCCTATTTACTTGTCTTTAAACACCACTTAACTGGAAAACTAGACCAAAGCAGGAAGAACTGTGTCTTGGTCACTATTATAGTTGGGTCTAGGGCTAAATTTAAATCTGACTGAAACTAAAAGAAATGGCTTAAAACAATCTGATTAAGAATCAAAGGTTTAGTCAGTGAGATAGACGGTAGCTTATTATAGCTATGTTTTCAAAATTCCTGAAGGTTAAATCGAGTAGTAAAAAAAAGGTGATCTAAAATACATTTACTGAAAGCACCTAATATTTTAAAATGACACTAAGTTACATTTGCTAGTCTAAGTACTTGTACTATCTCATGTAATCTTCTATATCAATCATCTAACAGTAGGTTTTTTTTTTTGTTTGTTTTTTAAGATTTATTTATTTATTTATTTATTTGCTTACTTACTTACTTATTTATTTATACAAGCACTGGGTACAATCAGAAGCCCGGAAGGGTGAGAGAATTCACCAGAGCCAGAGCAGGGAGCAGAGCAGGCAGAAGAACCGAGGTACACTGCTGAGGGGAGCAGCAGGCGACAGGAGAGGTCTGCGCGCCATGTGGGACCCTCCTTGGGTGGCCGGGGAGCAGCCAGGGGTTGCACTGGTGCTGCAGAGGCTGCAGGCAGCTTCGCAACCCAGCGCTCAACCACTGCGCCACCGGGGAGGCCCTAACAGTAGGTGTTTTTGTTGCTGCTGGTGAAATTATCATTAGACAATTAACTGATAATCACAGTTAATTGTGATAAAGGTAGAAAGCTAAGAAGTTCTCACTTATCTTAATTCCCTACCTTTTTAAAAGTTCCTATTTACATGTTTATTAACCCCAGTTAATGAGCTGCAGTACCGAGGTGTATGCAAGAAAGCATATCCTTAGTGGTCTCCAGGTATCTTAATACAGTAATGGAAACATGACATTTGTTCACATGGGTTTAGAAGGCCAAACTGAAGTCACTGACCAGAGTCAGGGCTGAGTGGGGTACTATAAACAATTCTATAGCTAACAATCTAAAAGTAAGGAGGTGAGATGTCAGGGATAGAGGTTTTGATGGAATATCTTACATTAGTTTTTTTTTTTTTAATATTTTTTTTATAGAGGCATGTTTTTTTTATTTATTTATTTATTATTAATTATATTTGTTTGTTTGTTTTGTTTATACATGCACTGGGTACAGTCAGAAGCGCGGGAGGGTGAGAGAATTCACCAGAGCCAGAGTGGGGAGCAGAGCAGGCAGAAGGACCGAAGTACACTGCTGAGGGGAGCAGCGGGCGGCAGGAGAGGTCTGCGCGCCATGTGGGATCCTCCTCCGGTGGCCGGGGAGCAGCCGGGATTGAACCGGCGCCGCAGAGGCCGCGGGCAGCTTCGCAACCCAGCGCTCAACCGCTGCGCCACCGGGAGGCCCTTACATTAGTTTTTATAGGTAAAATGAAGTGGAACATTTTGAAGAAAAGTTGAAGCTGATGAAGAGTGACACAGAACGACTGTGAAGCTTAAAAGGCTAAGGACTTGGGAAGTCAGAATCAGTACAATTAACATTTATAATATGAAAGAGGCTGACAAAAAGCTGAAAGTTTAGAGAGCAGATAAACATGTGATAACTGGATTAGCAACCTGAAGAAAATTAAAAACTAAGCCTGCAAGGAGGTACAGCAAGAAGCAAGATTATTACTTTCCATCAAACCTCTGAAATATTTCCAAACTGTAATCTGATGGTGATGGAGGAACTGAAAGAGAGAGACTGGTAAAAATGTTTACAGGGAATGGAAAGATCTCTTGAGCCACTTCCTCCACCTAATTCATTCCCAACCCTGGTAGGAAACCAAAGGTTTATTATCTGAAACATTCTCTGCTTAGGGACACTAGGCACAACTAAGGAAGGAGGTGAAATTCCTTAACAAAACAGGGGCAACAGGGACAAGTTAACCTAACGAATGGAGGGTCTCCTAGCATAGAGCTGTAGAGTTCCAAGAACACCACTAGCATTCCAGAATACAGCAGCCCCCTGGCAGATGTTGGGGGAAAAGGATGTCCTGAACAAACTCCACAAATAGGTTTTATGGACCCCACTGCCACCCAAGACTAAAAAGACCCAAGACACCAAGGACTACAAATCCCATAATGTCATCACCACTGAAGGAAGGATTACTGGGAACTGAGGGTGGAATTAAGCAGCCAGGTTTGGTGTATAACCAGACATGTGGGCCTTGGGGCTGCTTGGTTTTTCACCAACTTTCAGCGTGCTACTGGGGTTACAGCTCAGCGAAACTGGTAGGATGCAATCATCAATTTTTCTCTCTCTCTCTTTCTCCCTGAGTTATTCCTTTCTTCATTTCCCTTTTTTGTAAATAAGCCCTTTATTAACCTTTTTGTGTATGCCTGCAGTTGAGTCTCATTATAAGTCCCTTTTATGCCTGCTCGTGAAGTACCACAGTCAGGCAACCCATTTCATATTGGGGCTGCCCTGTAACAGAAACAGGAGAATTTGATCTAATGAAAATGTCACAGTCAGACCTGATCACATTAGCAGGATGAGCAGCTCTACCCATGAGCATCAGAGTTTCCAATCAACATTTAATTACCTCCTTTAAAATATGAAAGACAGAAACTAAAACCAAATTAACAAAAAAGGGTAACTCTTAGAAATCAGAGGCAATACAAAAACAGAAGAAAACTACAATATTCATTTCTCTCATCAGAGAATATACTACATCCAAGAACTATGAGGAAATTACAAATAAGGGATAATCTGAAAGCAAAATGACCCTGGAAGTTAAAAATGTGAGAGTAGAAATTATAATAAATAGGAATACTGGAAAATAAAGTTGGAGAAACAGCTCAGATATTTCATTGTGTTTTTTTTTTAACCAGAACTAAAAGTTTTTAATTAAAACTTTTTTCCTAAAAAAGAGAGGATATCTATTCAGAAGGAATAACACTCAAATAACAGGAATTTCAGAAAAAGAGAAAGAAAATGGAGAAGATATCATCCTCAAGTGGAAAAAAAAGAAAAATTTCCAATAACTAAGGAGTTTAAGTAACCAGATTAAAAAGTTCCACTTAATACCTAGCACTATGTTTCAAATATACTAAGTTCACACCAATAATAATAATAGTAATAGTAATAATAATAATAAATTGCCTAGGCATTAGAAGAATACTATGAAATCTTGTGGTGAAAAGAAAGAAAGTACCAAAGTCAGGAAGTCATTAGAGACACTCCAAACCCGCAGTGTCCAAAATGGCAGCCACCAGCTACATGGGATACTAAGAACCTGAAACACAGCCAAGTTCAAGTTGAGGGGCTGTAAGTACAAAACAAACCCCTGACTTAAAAGACTTAGTTTAGGGCCTCCCCAGTGGCGCAGCGGTTGAGCGCTGGGCTGCGAAGCTGCCCATAGCCTCTGCAGCACCGGTTCAATCCCCAGCTGCTCCCCGGCCACCAGAGGAGGGTCCCACATGGCGTGCAGACCTCTCCTGCCGCCCGCTGCTCCCCTCAGCAGTGTACCTTGGTCCTTCTGCCTGCTCTGCTCCCCGCTCTGGCTCTGGTGAATTCTCTCACCCTCCCGCGCTTCTGACTGTACCCAGTGCTTGTATAAATAAATAAAAAAATAAATAAATCTTAAAAAAAAGTCAACTATATTTTAAAAAAATAAAAATAAATAAATAAAAGACTTAGTTTATTTTTTTATGTGTGTGTATATTATATGTAGCATAACAATAATTATTTTATATTGATTACATATTAAATGAGAATATTTTGGATATATTATTAAGCTTAATGTTTCATCTATTTCTTTTTTTTTTTTTTAAAGATTTATTTATGTATTTATTTATATAAGCACTGGGTACAGTCAGAAGCGCGGGATGGTGAGAGAATTCACCAGAGCCAGAGCGGGGAGCAGAGCAGGCAGAAGGACCAAAGCACACTGCTGAGGGAAGCAGCGGGAGGCAGGAGAGGTCTGCGCACCATGTGGGACCCTCCTCTGGTGGCCGGGGAGCAGCCGGGGATCAAACCGGTGCCGCAGAGATTGTGGGCAGCCTCGCAACCCAGCGCTCAACCGCTGCGCCACTGGGGAGGCCCTCTTTTTATTTTTTTAAATGTGGCTACTAGAAAATTTTAAATTATAGATGAGCTCCCATTATATTTCGATTCAACAGTACTGAGCTAGACCTAGAGCAATGTATTCAAAATTTACAGAGAAAATGACATCTCACCTACAAGACTCAAATTATCAATCAAGAAGACAAAATATATTTTCAAACAAGATAGCAAAGAATTTTTTTTCCATCTTTATATTCTTAAGATGACAATGGAAGACAGACTTTACCAAAACATGGCCATAAAAACAAACAAAAATAAGTCACTGGACCTAGTCAAGTCAAAAGGAAACCGCCAACAATGATAAAGCCAAGTTCCAAAACAACTGTGCAGCAAATCTTACAGAATCACAGAGCAGACTGGAGCAAAAGGACAAGAGGCTCCAGGAGGCAAATCTCCCAGAAGAAAATAAAACAAATGGAATACACCATGTGTTTGAACATGTCCACAGGAGATGTTCAATCCGGTAGGAGAGTTTAGGAATTAATTAATGAGACAGAAAATTAAACAAATAGCAAAGTAAGATAGTTATGAACTTCAAAACAAACAAAAGTTGTTGAGAAAGTAAATATGATCATTGCAGATGACATGACTCAGTTATGAATATTCACGTGATCATTGTAACGTAAGCACAGAACAATAATTTAACCAAAAAGGTTTAAATAACTACACAGGAGGGCTGGGAGAAAGGAAGGGGCATGCAGGGATTATAGAAGTGGTGATAAAAGATATCAGTTATAAAAGCTAAACATCTTTATGGTAGGAAATTTTAAAATAGCTAAAACTAAAATAAATGTAAAATCTTGAGGGACTATAAAATAAGCATAATATCCAGTAAAAGAAGAAAATACCAGAATAAACAGGCAAAGTTACTGAAAACAGTTAACTTGAGAATGGGAATCAGGAATAAGAATGGAGCAGTAACTACATTTTCCCACTCTATGTCTTACAGTACCATTTGTTCTTCCTAAAAAGGACATATACTACCATGATTTTAAAAGAAAGAACGCCTATGGGTATACCCTAATTCTGACTTCTGGTCTTATAATTGGCCTAAAGTGAATCAATACCTTTATTTAAATGAAAAATGGGGAGGGGGGTGTTTTGAGGGAGACTGACCACACTGTATATACACTTTGTTCTTCAACGGCCTATTAAGGGTCCTCATCTTCCAAAACCAGCTCTCAATAAGCCAAAATACCTACCTGCTGTGAAGACTGAATTATACCACAGATGATTTTAAGTGATTCTTTTGAAAGACTATGTCAAATGATACTGATTCAATGTTTTATGTCAAAAAAAATATTTAAACCTACAGGTCATAATGCTGATTCCACTTTGGATCAAGTGTATTCTTCACAGTATCTGTAGAATGGCATTGTCCAGATCCATCAACCACCACCTTAGCAAACGGATCAGGAAGTCCTGTGAAAAAAAGGGCAAGATTTTTTTTTCATTAAAGACTAATTTGATATGGAAGATAAAATCAATTACAACAATATTACTATTGCCTACAAAAGATTATTTTATTCTTATAAAAATTTTAACATTTAGCTAGAAATGAAGTGATCTTAAAGCTAAGATTAAAGTCAATTGTACATTAAATACCAAAATCTTCATTGCTTTTCTTGTTCATGTCTCACAACTTCCCAGCTTAAACTACAAGAAAGTCTAGAGATTACCTCCTAATGTGGAAGCTTCTACGGCTCTTACCAGCCCTTTCACCCCAGTAAGGTAAATGCTTAAAACACTACAAGCTCTCTTACAGAGTTTTCCCAAGGTTTTCCTTAGTAGTTTATTTAAAGAAAGTGCTGGTTAAGGATTTCACACAGAAAAACAGGCTACAAAGAAATCAAATTAACCAAAAGGTTTTATTAGGTAACTTAAAGAAAGTGAAATAAAGTATCTAGTACCTTGCCTTAAAAGAGCTTACTATCTAATTAGGAAAATAAGAATAAGCAAGTGTTTCTACTGATTACAAAGAAAACACTTTTAATACTATGTCAGACACTGTTCTAAATGATACTTATTAAGTCTTATATCTCACAACAACCTTATGGAACAGATACTGTTATAATTTATCTTACTGCTAAAAAACTGAGGTACAAAGAAGTTATACAAGCTGAAGGTCTCACAGTAGAGCTGTAACAGGGTGGTGCCCAGGAAAGGGGGAGGTTCCAGGTTTCCTACCCCACCCAAAAGAAGGGTGTAGCTGAGAGAGAGAAGAAGCTGCAGAGGAGACTGAGGAAGGAAGGAAGCAGGATGGAGCCAGAAGGAGACCTGGACGAGGCACATGGAGCCGAGAGACACGTGAAGAAACTGTGCTTGCCTTTTGGTCATGGACTGGGTGACACGGATGTGGGTGAGAGACCTGTGGGGAGGTGACAACGGCGGTTTTTGTCTTGATTTTGATTTTGCTCTTTTCCCTCCAGACTTGTCTGATTGTTACTGTTCCTTTTCTGTGGGTCCCCACTGGAAGATGCTTTAGACTTGTGGCAGGCTTTGGGACCTTGCTCTGGGCCAATCCTGCTTGGGTGGACTTCTACCCACGAGGGGATGGGTAATGTTGGGTGCTTGATTTAGAAACTAGATTTTTTGCCTTTCCTGTATTGTTTACTAATTGTATTAAAGTTCCTTCCCATTAAAGTCTCATATGTTTTGTGTTGATGCAGCGGAGCAGAACCCATTTAGAGTAGGCAAGTTTGCCGGGTCTGGGGTGCCCCTCTCCCTGCCCTGTAACAGATTCACTTTAGTTGAGACTCCAAACCCATGCACATACATGCTCTTAGTCACTAGCCTGCATTATACCTCTCATTTACTAAGTACTAAGTGGTTCATGCATAGAAGTCAGAGCTCAAAAAAAAAAAAAAAAGTTTGAAATTTGAACAATTTGAGGGCATGGGATTCATTTGGGCTTTAAAGGAAAAATGGGAAGAATACTTAGGAGAGTATGCTAATATCTGAAGGGCTCTAGAGTCTAACCAAAGTCTTTGTGCTAAGGTATAAATGTAAATATTGTTGGAGAGGGAAGACTGATTCATGATTTAATAAAAGAGATTTTAAAATCCAGAAAATAAAAGCTTAAAATGACTGAGGCAGTAATGAAACCATCTGAGGTTCTTGACATGGCTATATATACAATGCCATTTTTTTCTACTGGAGGTATTCAGGATAGACCAGGAAAAGAAAAGACTAGAGACAGACTATCCAATGAAGTGGTTGTGATAACATAGCAGTGGGATGAAAACTAGGGAAGTCACATGAAAAGAAAAAAGGACATGACAGTTAAGAGACTATTCTGAAATACCTAATTTGAATTTATTTTTTTAAAGATCACACTTTATTTATTTTTTTTTTTTTAAGATTCATTTATTTTTACACAAGAGCTGGGGTCCAAGGCCAGAGGCGCGAGAAGGTAAGAGGATTCACCAGAGACAGAGCGGGGAGCAGAAGAGGCAGATGACCGAAAACACTGCTGAGGGAAGCAACGGGTGAGACAGGAGAGGTCTGCTTCGCCATGTGGGAATCTCCCAGGCCAGCCAGGAATAGAACCCATGCTGCAGAGGCTGCGGACAGCTTCAGGCGCTGAGCTCAACCCGCTGCACCCTAATTTGAATTTTTAAGAAACTAGTGTCAACAGTGACACTTCAATTTCCAGCTCAAAGTAACTATGAAAATAGTGATTCTTCTGGGGAGGGGGGAGGAAGAGACTGACTAAATAAAACATTGGGATAATGAGACTTCCTATGGAGTTGAAAATGCTACAACAAAATGCTGGTATTGTTAACTAGAGAAACTCTGCGCCCTGATATCTATGCTAATCTTTTTTTTTAAGTCAGGACACTAATTTGCTAGGATTCAAGGCCAGTCAGAAATCACCAGCCAGTTTCCCAATTCTAATTCTGTGATCTGTTAACTTCAAATAAGTTAAGATCAAAATTTAAGAGTACTGGTAAGTTAGGGTATCAATCTATTGAACTACATTGTTTTGGAAGTTTAGTGCTATTCCCATTACCTCAATAATACCTATTATAAATGAGTTTAAAAGAAAAATACATTTCCCTCTACCTTCTATAAGATTAAGAATTTTCTCCTGGGATGAATCTATTCTGTCTTATTCTTTTGATTTTATTATTAAATGTATATTTGTAAGCAAAAATAATCACATTTCTACCTTTCCCTTTGAATGTTGTTTAAAGAATTAAGAACTAAGAAAAAACTTTGCCCACACAGAAACCCTAGATGTGGCTTTCTGTTCCTTAATTAAAGGAAAGTTGAAGTTACAGTCTATGTTTCTCTACTATTAAATAATAAGCATACAAGAACATGTAAAGAAAAAAAAAACTTTAAAAGAGTACATATTCTGTTATTAGGTTATTAGCAACAGGAATGAGATGGGCATTCAGTAGTCATCTAGGGAGGTAACATTAATTGGTGGAAGCAAGGACAGAGGCCACTCAGTTCTCCTGCTGTGACAAGCGGTAGGGTTTAGGCCATGTGGTACATAAATTGAATACTGCTTATAAAGTTCTTACCTGTCCCAAATTATCCTATGTAATTGCTATACAAGCCCAAGGATACCATAAAATTTTTAATAATACAGTTTTATAAAATGTCAGGTTCTATTCTAGAAAGATTGGAAGTAATCAATTTTCAAGTAGAATGAATTAATGATTTTAAAATATACCAAGAGTTTATTATTTTTTCATTAAGCCCCTGAAAATTATAATGTCATATTAAATTAGCATACAGAGTCAGTTTTGCTGGCTTGTAGAATTTAAATTTAAAAATCTAATGAATCTACTTTTTTTTTTTTTAAGATTTATTTATTTATGCACAGAAGAACTGAGTTGTAGGCCAGAGGTACGGGGGTAAAGACAGAGGTTGTCTCTGTAGACAAAGTTTTTTTTTTAGTTCTTGATTCTTTAAACAACATTCAAAGGGAAAGGTAGAAATGTGATTGTTTATTTTTGCTTACAAATATACATTTACATGCTTATTTCTATAATAGTAGGCCAGAGACAGAGTGGGGAGCAGAATAGGCAGATCTATTGAATACACTGCTGAGGGGAGCAGCGGGTGAGGCAGGAGAGGTCTGTTGCGCCACGTGGGTAGTTCCCTGGCTGGCCAGGATCGAACTTGTGCTGCAGTGGCTGGGGACAGCTTGATAGCACTGTCCTTAACCCCTGCGCCACCAGGGAGGCCCAATCTTCTCTATTTCTAACTTCAAATATTTAACATAAAAATTTTATTGTTAGAGTTTTTTACTATAAATTTTGTCATTCGTACTCAGTAATTTAAAGCTATCATAAAGCATGCTACTACAGAGTAATGATTTCAAATACACATGAGGGGGTACTTTCCAGGCCTCCCTCACAAAAACTAAGCCTAACCCTAAATAAAACAAAAAAAAATTCATAACCGATTGCGAGACTGCAAATACAGGAACCAAATGTATGCTCTGGAGTCTGGGACATAAGAGGATCTACGATCTACTGTGGCAGGGATTTCTTTTCTCCACTGTGAAAATTCTCAGCAGGCTGAAGGACATTCTGCCTTCCAAGGAATACTGACTTCATATAAAAGTTTCTTAAAAATGTTAAAGAAAGGCCTCCCTGGTGGCCCAAGGGGTTAGGATGCAACAATGAAGCTATCCGTAGCCTCTGCAGTATAAGTTCCATCCCTGGCCAGGGAGCTACCCACGCAGACCTCTCCTGACTCACCTGCTGCTCCCCTCAGCAGAGTACTCCGGTCAATCTGCCTGTTCTGTTCCCCACTCTGTCTCTGGTGGATCCTCTCACCCCCCCCCCCCCACCGCCCAAGCCTCTGGCCTGTGCCCAGCTCTTGTATGCATGAATGGATAAATCTTTAAAATATATATGCATATAAAAGAAGAAAAAAAAACAACCTCAAATCTTTTCTAGGAACCTAGTAGTATGCACACATTCAATACACACTTGTCCAAGTATATACTCATACCTGCACACACACAGACACACTTCACACAAATATGTGGGAGGGGTGGGTAAAGGGAAAGAAGCACAGAATCCTCTTAAAAATGTGATGCCAAAAGGCTCTGAATCAAAGCATTCATGAAATAACACTAAGTGTAATTCTGAACAGTTTCCTAAACTAGACAACTGCGAAAATACTATTCAAAAAATTGTTCACATAATAAACAAGATTTAAAGTTAGTTTACTTACGGAAAAAATCCTTTTTCACCAAGTTTTTTGCACAGAGTACTGTAAAGGAAACAAAAAAAAATACATGAGAAAAATTAAAATAAAATGGTAAGATTTTATTATCAAATTTTACCTTAAAACTCCATGAATAGGGCCTCCCTGGTGGCACAGGGGTTAAAGTCTCAGCACTATCTAGCTATATCACAGCCACTGCAGCATGAGTTCGATCCCCAGCCAGAGAGCTGATCCACATGAGGCAGCAGACATCTCCTGTCTTGCCTGCTGCTCTCCTCAGCGGTGTGTTTCAGTCTGCCTGCCTGTTCTGTTCCCCACTCTGTCTTTGGTGAATCCTCTCACCCTCCCCCCACCTCTGGCCTACACCTCAGTTCTTGTATGCATAAATAAAAATCAATTTTAAAAAAACTCCATGAATAATTAAACACAAACTAGAGTATTTGATATGAACACCAAAAAAATTTTTTTAAGATTTTCTTTACTTATGCATAGAAGAACTGGGGTACAGGCCAGAGGTGTTGGGGGGGGGGTGAGAGGATTCACCAGAGATGGTACGGAACACAACAGGCAGACTGACTGAAATACACTGCTGAGGGGAGCAGCAGGCAAGGCAAGAGAAGTCTGCGGGCCCCATGTGGGTAGCTCCCTAACTTCACAGTGCTGCATCTTAACCCCTTGTGCCACCAAGGAGGCCTGAAAATTTTTAAATATGTCATTTCATCTACATCTAACCCCCATGGAAACTACACAGCAGAGATAAATTACCTTCTAAATCATCTGCTCAATGACTAGATAGATCTAGTATACCTTCTAAAAAATTAAGTTAATATATTGAGCTAGAGATCCCAATCCCACATTTCTGGATTATCTTTACTCTCAGAGTCTACAGGTCAGGTATAATTCAAATATTCTGTAAATGCCTTTGTTTTCTCAAGAAATGCTTTTAAACTTTGCAAAAATCTCTTTTAGCATATTTTATTTGGGGGAGTAACTGAGAAAACCATCTGCAGAAATGCAGATAAAATAGATACTACCAATTCATTCACGTTAATTTCTTTTCTGTTTGGAAGGATTATTCATATGCAAGCACACCATGACATAATACAAGAGTAAATCCCTGCTGTAGAAATAGAGAGCCATGTTCTTATTGTTCTTATTGACCTAGACTCCTAATGAGTGGCTGTCTATGTATATTCTGAATAAAACTCCCAACTGCTCAGTATCCTCTTGCCAAAAATTCCCTTTCCTTCAAATTGGAGTTGCATTCCAATTACACTGCTGACTGGAATGAGACTTCCTGAGAAAAAGAAAAAACTCAGACATCCCATCTTCCTCCATCCCACAAAAAGACTTTATAATACTGTTGGTACAACTCAAAAGTTGCAGAGATTGTTTTCAAACAGATTTTTCTACTTTTCTTTGAACTTACATTACCTTTGTAAAATAAAACTGAAATTCAGGATAACGTTCCTATATGAATTCCAGCAAGATGGCCTAATGCTTTAAAAATGTCTACTAATACGCACCCCTTCCTGCTCACTGGCACATGACAGTAATTTAGATCTTTCTGCTCCAAGAAACAACCTCTATCTCAACTCCTAAACATAAAATGAAATGCAATTTAAATTCTACAAAAAGCTTGTACACAATATAATTTTCTATGTATTTATTTCAGTTGATGTTGCTTGAAAACAGAAGCACTACACAAAGATTCACTTTCAAGAGTTATCACAAAATGGTGCAAAGGGCAAAAACATCAGATACATCCCTAAGGCGACAACAATAATGAAATGGCTAGAACTGGCAAAGAAAGCAGGCTGAATACTCCCACAGTCACTAAAATTAGGTAAACATATTTATAGAAAATATTTTCTTAACATGCTTTTCAGAGTAAACATTTATGAAAAACACATTTAATAAAATGTAGTTTTAGTAAGGAATATAAAAATATTAGACAAAATTTACTGCATAAAAATATTAGACAAAATTTACTGCATAGTTACTGTGTGTAAGTGTACCAACTATTCTGCGAAGTAGGAGTAGTAGTAGTACCACCAACATTTTAGAGATGAAGAAACAGGTTTAGTCATAAATGCTAGAATTGAGATTCCAATTCGGAAATTACAGAAACCACATCTAATTACAAAAACTCTTAACTATCATACACTGAATGCAACAGACTCTCAGGCTGGCTATTTCATCTTAAAGAATCTGACACTAATGCAATTATTGGGAATATGGGTTAACAAAATAGCTACAAGAAACCTAGATTGCATAAGGGACTTCTCTGAAAGATTACTAATTTCACTCTTTCAATAGATATAATTGTGTGAGACCTGCTTTAAATTAAATACATCCTACAACACTGTTCAATCAAGGAATTTTTTTTAAAGATTTATTTATTTATTTTATACAAGAGCCAGGGTACAGGCCAGATGCGCAGGAGGGTGAGAGGATTCACCAGAGACAGAGTGGGGAACAGAACAGGCAGACTAATGAAATACACTGCTGAGGGGAGCAGCAGGAGCGACAGGAGAGGTCTGCCGCGCCATGTGGGACCCTCGCCAGCTGGCCAGGGATCAAGCAGGCACTGCAAAGACTGCGGACAGCTTCACAGCGCAGTGCTCAACTGCCTGTGCCACCAGGGGAGGCCCTCAATCAAGAAATTGTTTTTTAAAGATTTTTTTAAAGATTGATTTATTTATGCATACAAGAGCTGGGGTACAGGCAGAGATGCTGGGGGTGAGAGGATTCACCGGAGACAGAATGGTGAACAGAACAGGTAGATATACTGAAATACACTGCTGAGGGGAGCAGCGGGTGAGCCAGGAGAGGTCTGCCACACCATGTGGGTTGCTCCCTGGCCACCGGGGATCAAACTCATGCTGAAGAGGCCGTGGATTGCTTCACAGCATGGTGCTTACCCCCTTGTGCCACAAGGGAGGCCCTCAATTATTTCTCTTTTTTCTGAAGTTAGTCTGAGTGGTTGCTTTCCTATGACTTACAATTGAAAATGTCTTCATTAAGATAAAAGTAATCCACAAGACTTATCAGAGTACTGGCATAGGCCAAAAGGGGCACTTATCCAAAAGTGCAAACATGTTAAGCCCAAAAAACAGTAATATTTTAAAGTCACTTAATTTGTCGTAAGTCAAAGTTTTCAAATATTAGCTCTAAAAGTCAACAAAGTATTTGTGTTCAAAAATCTATGCAGAGGGCCTCCCCGGTGGCGCAGTGGTTGAGCGCTGGGTTGCGAAGCTGCCCGCGGCCTCTGCGGCGCCGGTTCAATCCCCAGCTGCTCCCCTACCACCGGAGGAGGGTCCCACATGGCGCGCAGACCTCTCCTGCCGCCCGCTGCTCCCCTCAGCAGTGTACTTCGGTCCTTCTGCCTGCTCTGCTCCCCGCTCTGGCTCTGGTGAATTCTCTCACCCTCCCGCGCTTCTGACTGTACCCAGTGCATGTATAAACAAAACAAACAAACAAATAAATAAAACATGCCTCTATTTAAAAAAAAAAAAAATCTATGCAGAAATAACATATGAACATAAGAGAATGTTATAGTCAACAGAACTTCCATCCTACAATCACATCAGGAAATCAACATTAGTGTAGATCACAGAGATAGAACTAGTGACTGAATCTACTCTACCATCTTAGAGTCACAGAGCTCAAACTTTAGTAGGCATCATCTGGGGGGGAAAGGAGGAACCACACCCCCATAGTATTCAGGGCTGGACTTTGGTCCCAGGACTATTCCCAAGTGATGCTTATGATACTACTGGCCCCTGCACCACACTTTGAGAATCATCCTTAATTAAAGTGCTGATTCTTAATTTTGGGGTGTGATGAGATGGTGGTAAAAGGTCACTTTGAAAATCTAATAAACACTATGTATTTACACTTTACACCGAGTGTAATACTCAGATCACTATCCTAAAAAGACGGAATATTTAGGACATTTGTTCTGGTGTTTGTATCCTCAAAACTGACTAAAATGTGGCAGGTACTGCATAAAATCTGTAAAAAATGAAAAGCCATTAACACTTCATTATATGTAGTTCATAAACTTTTATTTCCACATTTTGAAGAACCAGATAATTTAAGTGTAGTAAGGAGTTCTTTAAAGGATTTTAGGATGCTCTTTAAGACAAGTTATTTTAAAGGGTATAGCTGAGAAGTGCACATGCTACAGACTAAATATTTTTAGTACCTCCAAAATATATATGTTGAAACCTAATTATTTTCAATGTGATGTTATTGGAGTTGGGGTATTTCACAGATAATTTAGTCATAAGGGTAGAGTTGGCACAAATGGGATTACTGCCCTGAGAAAAGACACCTTGACTGCTCCCCCATCCCTTCCACCACGTCAGGACACAGTGAGAAGACAGTCTCTGTCTAACCTAACCAGGAAGCAAGGCCTCATAAAACCCTGAATCTGCAAGTGACTTGACCTTGGACTTCTTAGCCTCCAGCACGCTGAGAAATAAATTTCTGTTATCTATAAGCCACCCAGTCTATGGTATATTTGTTAACGGCAGCTAGAACAGACCAAGGAAAAGCATATACAACTTTTTCTTTTTAAATATAAATGAGTATGTATTTTAATTTGAATGTGTTTCACAAAAATTCCAAGTCGGCACCACCATAACCTCCTTTATTATTCTCTATTAATTATTACTTCAAAGGTAATTTTTCCTCTTAAAAATAAAAAATTTTTTTATAAGATTTGTGTCAGAATATTTTCTGAAAACAGTCTACTGAAAACTATTAAGGGGCCTCCCTGGTGGCGTAAGGGTTAAGACGCAACCTATGAGGCTATCCACAGCCACTGCAGCACAAGTTCAATTCCCAGGCAGGGAGCAACCCACATGGCAAAGCAGACCTCTCCTGTCTCGCTTGCTGCTCCCCTCAGCAGTGTACTTTGGTCAGTCTGCCTGTTCTGCTCCCCGCTCTGTCTCTGCTGAATCCTCTCACTCCCCAAGCCTCTGGCCTGTACCCCAGCTCTTGTATGCATAAATAAATCTTTAAAAAAATTTTTAAAA